ACTAGCGCTAACGTTCACGCTAGACGGACTCGGTCCTGTCAGGCACGAAGGATGCGGCTGTGGTCTGTTCGCTGGTTGGTTTGGGCATTGGGGTTGGTTTGATCGGCTGGGCTAGCTAGTCGGGCCGTGGACTGGGCTCAACTCGAGCGGGCTAAAGCTGGGGCTGATGCTGGGACTAGTAGTAGGCTGGCTAGGCTCCCAGCCTAGTCTCTGTGCTTTTAAATCACCACGGACGCAATCGGAGCTCTGTAGCCTCCGGTATGAGATTGAGGCTGGATTGCGTCTGTGTTCGGCACTAGGGTGCGATCTTGGCCTTGGTAGTGGCGATTAATTAAGGCGAAGGTGGGTGATCGTGATCATCCGTCCTCTTGGCCCCTAGTTAGCTGCCAGTGTGGACATCACGTAGTATCCTTAGTGGGACGTTGGAAATACAAGGTTTGGGCTTGTTTCAGGGCTGGCTTTGGCCCGTGACTCGGTATGGCTCGACGATTTAACGAGGACCATCGTAGTAGTAGTACGGTGTACCTAGTACCTAGCGGTGATGCCTTGTAACTAGTCTAGGTCAATGGCACATTAGTACTCTGACATCTACTCCTCCGTACTCATACAAGAAGTCCTAGAAAGCGGTCGATCTATTCTATTCGGCAAGTGGCGAGAAAGCTCTATATTAACATGCCCAGACCGTGATAAAGAACATGACAAATGGCAAATTATTAAAATAAAAGTATCTTGAACCATACCTGCGGCGAACTTGCTCACTGGCCCTTTTTGCCCTTAGCCCGCGCCCGGCTTTTCTTGCCCGTCTTGACGGGTGCTGGCGCTGGCGTGGACTCCTTTTCTTGCTCTTGCTCCTGCTCTTGCTCCTGCTCTTGCTCTTGCTCCTGCGCGCGCTCGTGGCCACACTCCGCGGCCTCGTTTACGGCCTGTGCCACGGCAGACCCAAGCGCGTTGGCAGCCGGACCAAAGTCGACACCGCTAACAAAGAGCTCGCTAAGGAATTCCAGACCCGCAACGAAAGTGCAGAGTAAGCTAGCGATGAAGAAATGGCTGATGGTCATGCCAATGTCGAGCCAGGATCCCTCGTCGCGGACCATGTAGAAGAAGTTCAGTGTCATCACGTCGGAGATAGACATCACGACCATGAAGAGTGCACTAGGGGCAACTTCTAGGCGTCGGTTCAAGATGCCCAGGTTGGCACTGATGATGGCGAAGGGAATTAGGATTTGGAAGATCAACAGCGCACCTTGGCTGAATGGATCGAAGACCGGGACGAGGCGGCGAACACTGTCCAGGGCGAAGGTTGAAATTGAGGCAACATTGCCCGTGCTGAAAAACGCAGATTGAAGGAGGAAGAAAAAGAATAGGGCTACGCGGGTGTCGGAGAGGGTAAGTGCGCGGTAGTGGTATGTGAGGCCGTCGACGGTTGTGGAGCCGGTTGGGGCGGGTTTGGAGGGTGTGACAGAGCCATTGCGGGATGTCTCTTTAGCATTGGCTGCGTTGGCCCCGGCTGTGTGCACGTAGATGGCGTGTTCGAGGCGCACCCATGTCACAAGGGTCATGCAAAACACCAGGTAGAATAGACCCTCCCAGGAGATCGCAAGGATAATGAAGGTCGGCGAGAAGGTCAAAAAGATGATCATTAGTCGATGGAGGTAATGGCTGTCCGGGTACAGTCGGTGGACAAATGGCAAAGTGACAGAAGCGGCCATAACGACGAACCCGACCACTTGGTTGCCGAGCGGTAGACCTTCACGAGCCTGGAGAGAGGCTATGCTTGATCGAGTAATGATCACTGAAAGAAGAACCATCCCAACCTGACATCCCATAATTATCCGCGATCCAACATTGTTGATTCGAGATTTGGAACTGTCCCGGCCGAGGATTGCATCCTCGAACAGTAGATACAGGATGCCGGTCAAGAACATGAGAAGACCCCCGTATGTGACAGTAGAGATTTCCTCTACTTTGGTGACCGGCAACAGAGTAAAGATACTCATCAGAAGACAACCAAGCGCCCAGGTCACGTTCAAATATACATGCGTGCGAACGAATTTGAAGCCGTAGGCGAAGGGCCAAAAAGCGGCCAGAGTGAATCCGACGGTGAAGATTTCGCGGTGGAAATAAGATTGAACCTACAAAATATTATTAGCACGGGTCCAACAAAAGAGAGAGAGGAAGAATGAACCACATACCAGGGCCTCCAATACACCAACGAATGCCACCAATTGCAATCCAAAGCTCGCATATCCCGAGAAAGAGCGAACATGGCCGAGAATGATCTCGCGGCCAGCGATCAAAGCCTTACGGCGCGCGAAGACCTCTTCCCAGAAAAATATGGGGAAGAACCCATAAAAGTAGTACCGCCACGACGATCCTTGGTAAAGGAGAACAGAAAATAGCGCCACCAGAATAGATGAGAAGAACGAGATGCTAGCTGTAGTTCGATGGGCATCAGACGTCCCGTGTAAGACGTGGAGATCAATGACCGTGGTCAGGGAATAGGCAATCCAGCCTAGATAGCCAAGAGATACGATTGTTCGCAAGAACAGCCAATCATAGGTCTGTAGATAGCGCAGACCCTCCAGACCGACAATCAGCAGCTCATGGGATAGTGCAATGGAATCTTCGTACGCTCCATTGGAGATTAGTGCCTCGAGATTCGCGATTCGTCCTTCGATGGATGTCTCTCCATCACCAGAAAGATACTGGAAGGGTACATATCTGAGCACCGACGATCTCTTCTGCTCTTCTTTGACACGGTACATTTCCAAAATTCCCTGAGTGTTTGCCAGGGCAGCCAATGCCTTTTCCTTGGGGCTCGCATCGAGATAATCCAGTGGTAATTGACCGACCGAATTGACAGGGTAATCGACGCCAACAAGGTACGCCATCAAGGCAGCAACATCGGCCTGCTCAACATCATTTCTTTGGACGTGGTCAAATCCCCAATCTGATGAGAAGCCGTCTTCGTGTCCCGACGCAGTGCCTATTGTGCTAGTAACGGGTTTCGCGACGCCAGAGCCCCAGGCAACAAGGGGTGTTCTTGTATTGTCGGGGTGGCCGTCGCCGTGGCTTCCCAGATCACTCATTCCATGATCGGCAGTGAAGATAAAAGAGGTCTTGTCATCTCCGTAGAAGTCTTCGACCAGCTTGGTGACTGCTTGCACACCTTTGTCCACCACCTTGATGTTGTGGAGGTATTCCTTCGAGTAGGGTCGGTAGCCGTGGCCAGTGGTGTCCAAGCCCAGCAGATGGAGGAAGAAAACCAACTTGTCTTGCCGCAGCTTACGGTCCAGCTCTGGGTCCATCTTGGCAGACTCAAAGAGCTCATGAACTTTGTCAAAAACCCAGGTATCAAGGTAGGTCGCATCGGCATTGAAGTCCTCCAATTCTTCGCCGTAAGAGTCCGCATCCACTCGGCCGGGCTCCGCGCCCTCCTTAAACATGGGTAGAATATCGGGACTGCCCCAGCTCCATGTGTGACGACTGCGGTTAAACACGCTGTCAAAATTGACCGGATTGAGCTGCCAGCCGGTCGTCACAGCTGAGACATCTTCATACAGACCCGCAATGAGAGCAACATGGCCGGGCCGCGACTCGGTGGGGACCCGGGTATGCGAAACACCAAAGGTTCCCTGCGAGAGGACCTTGGAGCGTATGAACGGCGACAGACGGATAAGCTCGTCGGATTGTTGTTCGGATTGGGAGTCGAATTCGGGGGAGGGATCGGGGAAGGCCTGGAAGGCCTTGTCGGCGCGTAGGCCATCTGCAACGAAGAGGACGAGACGTTGGGACGGAGCTGTTGATCCGGTGGGACGGTCGACACCAAATGAGCGCATGCCACTCACAATTGGGCTCACGAAGTAGATGTCGAAAATGGAATATGTATAGATCAGGTGGAAGATCACCGCGAGGGCGAGGAACCCAACGCGGCCGACACGTGCCATGATCTATCTTCTTCTCGCCGGGAGGGGGTCCAGCTTGGAAGGATGTGAAGGAAGGAGCGGGATTGAGGACTCCTGCGCAGGAGAAACGAGGGAAACAGGTCAAAAGGAGGTCGACATCTCGTGGTTGACACTTTGCACTTTTGGTTGTCCGCGCGGACAGCCACCTTGCGGGGGCGGTGAGGACCAATCACGAGCCGCCAATTGGACACGGCAGAACCAACTTTGTTTACTTCAAGTTTTACTTTGAGCACATCGACACCGAGTACTAGTGAAATGGCAGGTCTATAGACTTGAATATAACTTATCATTTATAAACCATGTTACATGTACAGTGTACTCAAAGAAACCCCATTTTTTATATCTTATATACCTGTATATATACCTGTATATCAGGCGTTTATCCGACTCGTTCAAGTTGACCCTCACACGGTCACCACGACGAGGGTAGTGCCTGCCGTATGATACTATGCACTTCCTTGCAGCGTACCTTCCAAGGTTAGCATAGCTAATAGTACTACTACTACTACTAGAGTATCAAACACACTCGCGGCACTCGCGGCACTCGCGCTTTCCGTGAGAGCAGCAACCACTGGCAGATATCTCCAGGGCTCGCTGGAGATCTTAACGGACCTGACATTCTTCATTGATTTCCAACTCAGATATCAAGGTCAGCGACTCTCGTCAGAAGCCGAGGGGCCGTCTAGAACACTACAATAACTCGCAACTGCAGTACCTTGCCGAAAATTCATTGACGGATTTTACCAACCGATTTTTCTTGCTCCATACCTTCCTCTGATCCGACTTGACGAGGTTTTTTGTACTTCCCAAATGTCAGAAGTACTATACATTGTAGTATTGAGATGCCTAACGGGAAGTGGCTAGCTGCCAGTATCGCTTACATTATCGCCATTGCGTGCCTAGGGTTTCCTGGTAGCCAGCCCTGGAGTATGCCTGCGCCTAGCAACGCCAACTAGCAATCCTGTAAAGCTCCATAAATAGGTGTGAAATACTAGTAGGAGAACCAGACGACTGCTGATTCTTAGAGAAGCCACGTCACTGCTCGGTTGCTTCAACTTGGTCCGCCGTGGGCAACCGGCGACGGACGGCGCCGCTGTCAGGGCCTGAGACAATCCAGGTGCCGTCCCCTAGGGGCTCGAAGTCATATTTATCACGAGAGTATGCCTCGAAGCGCCCGCGCGGTGTACCTGTGCGTAGGTCGATGATGTAGTGGCGGTGCCACTCTTTGTCGTCCTTCTCACCCGCGATCGTGACGACCGCGTTGTCGGCATTGAGGAAGCCGCCGTTCCACTCCATGCCTGCTTCATCATCCCCAAAATACTCATAGCCAAATGTTTCGACTGGTACCTGCAGTACCACCTTGCCACTTGGAAAGACATGAAAGGTGACATCATACCGGCCCTGGTCGACCGTCATGAACCACTGGCCATCGGGCGCCAGGTCGATCAAGCAGCGATCGTTCCACCCATAAGAGTGTAAGTCGATGTCATCGCCAGTGAATGCTGCTCGGTATAATTTCACACCGTCCTGGCCCTCGCCTACATCTAGCAGGATATGCTGCCCGTCGGGATGTAGGGCGAGCTCGGCTCCCTCTCCAACGCTATCCAGCTCCGTCCTAGCCACTTCCTCGCCTGTGTCGGCGCGCAGCACGACCAGTAGATCAGGGCCACGACCGCACATCGCGTCAGGGCGATACACCCACACCCAAGCTCCGTCCAGGGAGAACAAGCATCTGGGATCACGCAAGTGGCGCTGGGTGGAGCGAGGTTCTAGGTCATAGTGCCATAGCAGGTCATTGTTCTGGCTGATGCACACCACACTGTGGGAGGTAGTGTAAACAGCCTGATCCAGGTTCGGCGCCACCGCGTGGCTCAATTGCTCGTCAGAGCACTCGACCTATAGGTCGCCGCCGGCTCGAGAGGCCCGTACACACTACCTGAAGCATGGTAGGCACGTATCTCCCCATGTAGATAGCGCGTGGTTGTCAGCTTCATGTCTGCTAATTATCCCTAGCGTGGGCCAATTCGAGAGTAGCGGCCGACCTTGGATGGCCAGTGAGTCTAGTACACCCGAAATTCCGAGTGGAATAGACCGTTTTTACAAAAAATATCTGTTCGCTAATGGACAGTGTCAAGATGCCTGGTTTACTACCTACCCCTGAATATTGGCAAATTGATACGAGTAACGTAATCCACTAGCGAGCCAGCCACCCAGCTAAAGTCTTAATTTTGATTTGCATATACCACCACCTCGAAGCCATTAAATTTTAATCATTATCACTTCGTACATCTATTTATCTTATAACTATCTCCCAGAACCCCTCTATCTTAGTGGAGCCCGATTTCGTTGAGTACTGGCCTAATTTGTGATCTTCACCGAAGCTGATGCTTTAGGTTGAATAGGGCGTCAGGCGGCTTATATCAACATACCTGCCTCTTTAATCAAGACCTGAACCGAAGCCATACTACTAGTAGTACTATGTGATGAAATAAATCACACCATAAATTTGCATGGACTATGCAAGCATTATTTTAGTGTATTCGGTCAGACGCCATTAAATCATTGCCCACTACCACATATCACCCATCATAGTCAATACGTCCCCCTCCTCCCCGGGCCGGATACCAAGCAGACGCTAACCGTCTCTCCCCACGAAAAACGCTCTCCATATTCTCCTCCGCCCAGGATTTACACGCCTTCCAGTACACAGCCTCGTGCTCTTCGCACAGGTCATAGAACCCCATATTGCTCACCATTAAATTAACATAAGCCAACACGGCATAATCGGCTGTCGTCCGTTGGTAGCCATAACCGGCGTGAACCAGAGCGTGGCTACGGTCTATATCATCACTGATCCAGAAGCGTGTGCCTTCATGAGATGCGATGATTACCTCAGGTGCCTGGTATCGTTTGTCGACTGGAGTGTTGGCCACTTCTAGGGTCTTGCGGTCAACGGCAATAAAAAACTTTGGGCTCTTTTGTCGTTTAGTTTCAAAATATGCGAGTAGGCCTTCCATATCAGGAGATTCCAGTTTGCTTGACACGTTGATCCAGTGGAAGTCTTTAGAATTCAAGAATAACTCTGTCTTGATCTTCTCTAGCTCCTCTTCGGTCATAGATTCTAGGATAATGACGATATAATCCTTATTAGAGGAATATGGCTCCTCCTGATTTTGAATTACTTCAGTCTCCTGGGCTTTAGTTAGTTTGGTCGTAAGGAAGCTACCTTGGCACTTTGATAAACAACATACTTCCGAATCATGACTGTCTGCGACTGGAGACCCTTCAAGAGTGGCTTTCCCCCCAGTCACAGCACTAAGAAGCAAATTCGCTCCATTGATAGGCACCCTGACAGCCTTAAGCTCAGGTTCATAGAGCAGAACAATAGCTGTATCATCTTGTCGCGATTGCTCATCGATGAAGATTAGTGAGTCCGGGTGGTACAGTCGATCGAAGATATCGTAGATAATGGACGGCGACGGGGTGGAGTCAAATACCCACGGCAGTTCAATCATCCGGCGCATTTTTCCCTCTGGATGACTAGAACACAGTTCATCGCCATTAATCAACTTATGCATGTAAATATCCCTTTCATTGTCGTTCATCGAACATAAGAACACGACCATCCATGTTGGCGGCATCGCCGGGTGCATATAGGGTTGGAGATCCGGTAGTTGCCATAATTGGATATTCGCCATTTGTTTCGAATGCTGTTGAAAAACGTGAGAAATATTGGAGTGGTCCCTTATCCGTGCTGTTGCGTTTTGCAATTTTTCCTCTTGTGGGGGCCACAGATGATCATCCGTGGGGCGGGCTGCGGGCTAGAGGGACCTGTGGACAAAATCCAATGTTATTTAGAAAAGGATGATAAATCTGCCACACGAGACTCGCCATGTGGTACATTGCTCAAAATTACTCATTAGGACCCGAGTCCGTGTATGCTGGGAGCTTGGCACATCAACGGTACGCTTGCGACTTGGAGTCAATACTAAAGGATCACCGTGTGGTTCTACCCAGCAAGCAAAGTACGTTCACCAACTGATCAACCACTCACTGTGACCAGTGAGCAACTCATGTGTAACACGATGCTTGCCGCTCTACTATTGATGTTCCTAGGAGCCTCCGCGATTTGAGCTTGAGATGATGTTTGGAATAGTTGGATACCCAATTGACCAACGGGCTGACCGTCGCGCTTCCGTAATGGAATATTTGCCATATCCCTAACCATTGATGGTGTAGGAACATCTTCGCGTTGATTCATATATAAAATCTACTGTAGGAGTGATTGACCTTCCTCAGTAGTCAATCTATGACCATTTGCGCGCGTAACTTGGCGTTCTGTTGTGCAATGTCGACGCGCTGAAAAAAATGTATAGCGAGTTCCAAATACGCATGTAATTTCGCGAATACAATGGGAATTCTCCATTTTTTAGGCTTTTATTGCAAACTGAACCCGACCCTCTTGAGCCTAGGAGTCTTCGGGTTTTTGACTGCCGATTGGGGGCATAGTGGGTAGTTAAAAGGGGGAAAGGGACCATCGGGACGCGATTGTGATTAGCTTGTTCTACACCGATTCACATATAGACCGTGGGGCGCCAAGAGAGATCAAGTGGGCCAAGCAATTGTAGGCCGGAATAAAATCTCCACACCGAGATTTTCCTTCCTGGATATCAATATGCGAATTCCTTCTAATCAAGATATAGCTTGGTACTAAATAATACTTCAAGCCTCCACTCTTGCCAGAAGGACGGCTGGATTGGTGCGGACGACATAATGAATCAAGCTCAGGCAAAGGGGATAGCAGGGATGATAGTATAAGGCAAGAGGCGGCACACACGATTAATAGTTAGTATTACCCACGAGGAAGAATAGAGGATCTCACGGGGGAGTGATCGACAATTAAGTGATCCATAATGTAGCTCCACGCCGTCAGCCCAGCGCTGTGGATACGATTACTTGGCGTCCAGCCCCCCCGTAAGAGACGGCAACAATAAAAAGCACAACATGTCTTCCAGAGGGTACGGAGTAAGCTAAAATATCACGGAAAATATCTGCTAGATCCCGGGGCATACTCCACGTCCGGCTACATGTTCCAACTGACAGGGGCACGAGTATCTTGGTCGTCCAGGAGACAGGGGAAAAGTACCACATCTAGATCCAATTTTGACTGTACTCAGTAATCCAGACCCAGCTGATAAACAATAAAGACCCATAGTTGATCGGGGGTTCGTGTGAGTCCCCACTTTTAGTGCATTATCATATCGCATCCCTTCCTAAGATAGCTAAGCTATGGGTAAAATTTACGTAATGTCTTACTGTGACCAATGAAAATTGGTTTAAAATCAAATATGTACGGTGCATATAGGGCAGGAAAGATTTGCTTTCATTCGAACTATTGGGAATTCAAACGAAGAAAAAATCCACGAAGGGACGTGATTGGCGATGCAAAACCACGTGTGTGTATATAAGCCCTTGGGAATCAGACTCGGAAGATCACCATCAACAGTTTTATGTTAATCAGGTCACATACAGACTTGCTCTCTCATCCAGGTTCTCTGAAACCCAACACATAACAAACAAATAAAATTATGGTAAGTCGATTTATAATATCCTAAAACACATAGCAAAATCCTTACTGACCTTATCCCAGTCTCGACCATTGAAAGACTTTCCGAAGCGAACGGTTCCCATGGAAGTTCTCAACCTATCTATGCCCCGTACAGGATCTCTATGTCAGTCATATCTCCCACCAGCGGCGCTGCTCCTTCTGTTGCCCCTAGTGCCTTCTCCTATCCCTTTCTTCCCTTTGAGTAAACGTTTTTCCTGACTGTATGTCTACATTTAGCTATCAAGCATGCTTTAAGTGTCTTGGGTATCAACTGTTACCACGGTGTCAATTTAGCCGACAATAACACCGACAAGTGGTTTTTTCTAGAAGCGGCGCGAGCGAAGGTTCAACAAAAAAGCCTTAAATACAGTCATCGAGAATGGGACCAAGTCCTTGCTAATTTTGGTGGAGTGAGCGATAACCCTTGTATTGCATTCACTGATGAGCTTATTGCGGCTTATCCCGATGCCAAAGTCATCCTAGTCAAACGTGATGTCGAATCATGGGCTGAAAGCTTTTTGGAAATTCTGAAAGACTGGAGGGGAGACTGGAAATTTACATGCCTTTCGCGGTAACTATGAAATCCTGACATTTGGTGACAAATAAGAGAAAACTAAAGATTTGTCAGGTATGACCGCTGGGTCTTTGGACCGCTAGATGAGCTCCTGACGCTATCACTTCAAATACTATTTGGGGGCTCTTCGACCGAGTACCTTGAAAAAACAGCAACATTGAAGTACAAGGAGCATTACCAGCATGTCAAAGCAATCACACCTCCAGAGCAACTGTTAGAGTATAGGTTGGGAAGCGGCTGGGAACCCCTATGCACATTTTTGGGCAAGCCAGTGCCGAAGGAACCTTTTCCACGAGTGAACGATCGCCAGTCATTTCTGAAATCTACTCGGTGGATTCGGTGGTTATATGTGGCTCTATTGACAAGTACTGGTGCGCTGGCCGCTTCCATTCCAATTCTATTCGGTTGGTGGATGTATTAGACAGTCTCTGCTTTGGGATTTTACAGATGTAGTTCTTCTGATGGACTGTTGGCAACTTTGGAAAGTTCCGAGAGGGCAATCTTCCATCTCTTTATTGGAAAAGCGAAAGCGCAGTCATCATCAGACGTATTGGTCGAGGGCAGTTGTGGAAATAAAACAATGGAAATTTACTAGAATGCTAAAGTCTTGAGTTTTTGATTTGAGAGAAACAATGTCATTTAAGATGCCCTGTGTAGTGTGTGCGGTACTGCTCTGTCTTTAACCAATAGGAAGCACGTTAGGTTCCATGAAATAGAGAGAGACAGTAGTGACGCCGAAAATTAGCCATCGAGGTAGTAAGGAAATGCCGCATGCAAAACTCTGTTCACGTGATTGCCAAAGGCTCGTAAGTTCCGATTTATCTAGTCCAAATGTGTACACTAAATCGATTGGGCGCTACACGGGATATGGGAGAAACTCTAAGTGGAAATACTATTATATGGGATTCTGATAACATTGTAGTTTTACTAGTGGAATAAAACTTTGAGCATTGAAGTCTGAAACATACTATTTAAAACCAAGATTGAAACCTAAAGAGTGTTCGGATATCAACTTCCAAGGTTGGACATCTGGATGGAATAACAGACTACTAATAACCTTAGCACAAAGCGCTCCACATACCATAGTTCTAGTACTAGCACTAGTACTGAGTATGTAATGGTTAGAAAAACCTCAAAGATAATCATAATGACTTCAGGGGTACCCAGCACAAAGCTTCATCGTTTTTTAATTTGAAGGTGCGTCATCATCCGGGCTTTGCATTGCTGCCATTGACTGAAACCTTCGGCTAACCGGTGCTCCATCCAAAGCAATCCGACATATCAATCCATCTATATGCGGAACGTCGGAAATCAATTTGGTCTCTGACCTGCTTCACAAATTCTTTATATTCAGGCTCCGCTTTTTCGTTGAAATCGGAGCGGCTTGGAAGCACCTCAATGATCCTCCATTTCACTTCCGGAACTTGTTCCATATAGAGAAGGGCATTATCAAATTGATATTGAGGGCTGCCCGAACAAAAGCAGGTTAATGGACCAATCGTCTTGAGTTGCTGGAACTTGATGACGAGCTGGTAGAAATCGGCAACAACCTCCCTACGGATCGAAGATTGAATATGGAGAAGTTCAAGGTAGCTGGTATCCACCAATTCATTATCTTGCGGATTCACAAGAGGCTCAATCCCTTGATTGTCGCTGTAAAAGTTTCCCACAGTTCCCTCAAAAGGAGTGTCTATAAGAATGATACCGGCGATGTTCGCCGCGATTCTGAGATAGCGAGGATCGGCACTCAGATCTTGAAACATAAGCATTGCCTTCTGGATGATGATTCCACCTAGATCATGCCCAACCAAAACAATTGGGAAACTCTTATGTTTCTGGCGCAATACATTATCCGCCAAGCTACTCAATGTCTTGATGAAACTGCCAGCCAAATCATGCATGGTATTTGGAACAGTCCAATCCCACCCACAAGTATAGATATTTGCATTGAAATCGTTTGGCAGAAGCTTCGAAACCCATAAGGCCGGTTCGTTGTCATCTTCGCTGGGAACTTCGTTAGGAGGGCTCGGAGCTTCCCAGGTAGTCTTGCTATCACCGGTGATGCCATGGAGAAAGACCAAAATCTGAGCTGGGTTTTCCTCGACTTGATGAACCGCTTCGAGGGCCATAAGCTCTGAATTTTGTTAGTCACGAGTTTCTTGCTAGAGGGGGGGAGGGGCTTACTTACTCTCGTCAAACTGATCGAAATCCATTTTTTCGGGCCGATGCTGCTATCGTCTGAAATGACTTGTTGATGGGTGTTAGGCATAGAAGTGGAACCATCGAGAAATTTATAGACTTTTTATGCCATATAATACAACTCGATTCTTTGGTAGGAATTGATTTCTTCTGAAGCGTCATAAACTTGGAGGAGAAAGAATCGAGGCCCCTTTCATAAACAAAAGAGATGTTGCGCGATTCCCGATGCAGAAAGCCCTATGGTCAAGTTCATTTTCTTTTATTACAAAGCCTTTTACGTGCAGCAGATCGTCTTTGTAAGGTTTCTATATTGAGATATGGCCAGCTCCAGTGGCGGCTTTGGATGTGCCCTCTAGCGTTAGGTCAAAGGCTTCTGGAATTTTGATGATCAGCCACGAAAATGATCTCCCATGGCTCATGCCAATCGAAATCACTATGTGAAAGAAATGACAAAGCGTTCTAAGCATGGTATGTAGATATTGCAGGGTGCTGCTCAATGAAGAACCTGTCGCCATCCCGCATTTGTCGTACATAGTTTGCCGACATGAATTTCTTTGTGAGTTTCGGAGCCCCTAGGATGATGTAACCAGTCAGATACCTCAGTAGATAATTAGCTCTGCGGGTCTATTACGCAACTCATAATACTACTAGTGAATACCAGTTAGGGTCTCAGCTGAAAAGTAACTCTGGTAGTACTCAGAAGGTGTTGTCCAAGAATAGTTGAAGGATGGCCACGAAGTGGTTTCTTACTGTTATACAGCTCGGGGGAATGTCAAAAGGGAATAACGCTCAAAGCAAGATGGTGATATCCAGATTATATAGCAATTACTATGTAGAGCTGATCCGTCGCTTGGTCAGAGCATCGATGACACGCGAGTAGAACTTCGTCACAGCTTGTCGCTCAAAAGTGATGTGATCCATCAAAAAGTCAGGCAAAATGTCCACTAATTCGCGGTCACGGTTGGCGTCTAGAAGCGGCATATACTGGTAGGTTGCTTTCTCCCATGCCCCGCTTGTTGTTTTGGGGATGACCAACTTGAAATGAAGCGCTGTAGAATAGTGAGTCAGCAAAGGTTGGATGCCTCGAAAGGTGACATGGGTACTTACTTCCGTTGACTCCAGTCTGGATGCAATCATACAGGTGATCCTCATCTCTTGATTTGACATCGCGGATGATGAGGCCTGTCAGGTCACTGTACAAGTCTTCCCTCAGCTGGGCCAGTTGGGCGGACTGGACTGCTTCGGCATTTGCAGCTGCAGCTGCGCGGTTTGCGGCACCTCCCTTGATGGCGCTTCCAGGGACCTTGACCGCGGATTCCAAACCGGCAGCTGTGTTCCGGGCAGCAGCAAGTTTTGTTTGCAAGGCTTTGATCTCGGATTGCGCCGAAGACAGCTGAGCTTCGGCCCCCTCGGCTTGGGTCTTGAGCCGAGCCACCTCGGCGTCACGCTCCTTCAATTGTTTTTGGAGACCTCGACTCTGTTGTCCCAATGCTTTCTGGGCCTCCAATTCAGTTTTGAGGGAAGAAACGAGTTTGTCAGAAGCTGAAGCTGGCATTAGCATAGCCGACCCAGAGATACACGTAAAATAGCAAGGAACATACCCATCGTGATGCTTTCACACTGCTTCCGCAGCTTGTCTATATTTGTTTTCGCCTCTTCAACACCAATCTCTCGAAGATCACGATATTTAGATTCCAACGCATCATTTTTCCTTGTAAGATCCCCAATGCGACGTCTCAGCTCCGGATCTGCCTGTTCAGTAGCAACACCAGACTTGCGCTTTCGCGGAGAGGCGTCCTGACTGTTGCGCGCTGCGGCCGCGCGGGCCTTTGCATTCTTGGTGATAGTCGACTGTGCATAGTTCGCAGATGGCTCGGGCATGATCGACTCCTCCACTTCGTGTCCCGTCGCATGAGCGTCATTCATTTGCGTGTCGGGGATTTCCACCTCCTTCTGTGATGATTGCGCGCGCGTGGGTGTATATTCGAAATCGCCATCTGTTACCGATGGCCTGGCGACACTGGCCGTACGACCTCGGCCTCGACCTCGACCACGGGTCGCAGTAGATCTTGCCGTCCTTGTCGTTCGCGTCGCCTTAGGATTTTCTTGCTCCTGTATTTCTTCCTGAGGCTCAACCGGTTGTTTTGCTACCGATGCGCGCGAAGGTTCCGCGGTGTCGGAAGTGCCACGAGGCCTTCCTCGCCGAGTAGCCTTCGCGGGCGCTTCTTCCTCTGGCGCCTGTGATGACCCTTGCCTCTTCGATCTGGCAGTAGTTTTCGCATCGGCAGCAATCTCGTTCGACGTGCGTGGTCGGCCTCTTCGCTTCTTGGCCGGAGGTTCGTCATGCGGTTCTGGTTCATGTTCCTGGCCCTGAGGTATAGTTTCGTGTTCAGTAAATCCCATCAGATCGTCATCGTCGGATCCGACAAAGCCAGATAGCTTGGCCTGGGCCTTTCGCTTGGGCATAACGCTATTGGGCGGAGAGTCAATTTGTGGAGGGCGTGGAGAAGTTCAACTCTCTCGGGGAAGACGCGCCGCGCCAGTCCAAACAAGCGGGGAACATGTGACATTCCTCGAGCCACAGCGCCACAGCAGAGCCGATCCGTCGGACATCACTCTTTGCACTTGCGGTACACTCAGACTCCCACTTAGACTTGGCCTTGGGCACTTGCGCATCTTCTCAGCTTGAGCCCTTTCTTCTGCTTTCGCTTTTTCAAGCTCGATCTTTATTTCGATACAACCCCCGATCGACTCGCCATCCCGTCCTTCGTTACTCTCCCCTAATCCTAATCCCCCACACCACTGTCGTCATGGCTTCAACGGGCCGACGATGGCAGCAGTTCTTGCAGGAGATGTTCATGGTTGCTGGAACAGTGAGTATCTCGCAAAGGATCTATCTGAATATGAGTTGACTCCATCCTAACCCGTCATATAGTCCGCCTCCGCATACTTCCTCATCAGATACCTCCTATCACGTATCGACTTCGACCCTGAGAGTCAGAAAAAGGAGGAACAAAAGCGAAAGTCCACGGCCATTCTGCGAAGATTAGATGCGGGAGATGAATCAGACGACGAATCACCAAGAGGAGGAGATTCGAAGCGTGGGAAACCGAAACGAGCGGAGCTCACTCTCAACCAATACGAACAAGCCGTTGCGATGGATGTTGTCGCACCGGAGGATATTTCGGTCACATTTGAAGATATTGGTGGCCTGGATCATATCATCAAAGAGCTGAAACAATCCGTCATCTACCCGTTGACTATGCCACACCTTTACGCCTCCACATCATCCCTCCTGACCGCTCCCTCCGGTGTCCTTCTCTATGGCCCACCTGGATGTGGAAAGACCATGATGGCCAAAGCACTTGCCCACGAGAGCGGTGCCTGTTTCATTAATTTGCGCATCTCCACCTTGACTGAGAAATGGTACGGTGACTCGAACAAGCTTGTCAATGCTGTATTCTCTCTTGCGCGCAAGCTTCAACCCTCAATTGTGTTTATTGACGAGATTGATGCCATCCTTGGCACCCGACGAAGTGGCGAGCATGAAGCGAGCGGAATGGTGAAGGCGGAATTCATGACACACTGGGATGGTCTTACTTCTGCCAACTCGAGGGGTGAGCCGCAGCGCATTGTTGTTCTGGGTGCCACCAACCGAATTAATGATATCGACGAGGCGATCCTCCGACGTATGCCTAAGAAGTTCCCCGTCGGTCTTCCTTCAGACGTCCAGCGCCTCCGCATCCTCAGCTTGGTTCTTAAGGATACCAAGGTTGACCGGGAGGATATCGATGTGGACTGGCTGGTCAAGAAGATGGCCGGTCTGTCCGGTAGTGACATTAAGGAGCAATGCCGCAGCGCAGCCATTGGCCCTCTCAACGAGCAAATCGAAAAGATGGAGAAAGCCGGTCTGCCATTGACCACCTTGGACCCTAGTCAGGTTCGAGGCCTGAGTATGGATGACTTCCCATACGGCCGGCGTCCTAAGAAGGCGGGGAGCCAAGGCAAGGCTAGCACGGCGAATGAGGAAGAGGGCTGGCAGACTGAGTCTGAGGCCGAGGGTGCTTCCGAAGCCGAAGCCCGTTATTCTGTGATGGCCGAGCCTCCAGAGTAATAGCGATATATCACTCTATTTCTATTCTAATTTAGATGGGCTATGCTTTTTTTTGTTTTCTTCTAACACCAGGCAGTACGGAGGAACGGGCGTTATTTCACGGACAATGCCGGGTCTTGGATCTTCTCCATTCTAGTCGGATTGCTTGTTTTCTTTCTATCTCGTCTCATCTTATTTGGCTGCAGGGTTTGCAGCCCTGGCTGGGCCGGGTTGTCCATAGAACTGATTTGATGCGTTTGTATCTTGTACAATGATTAAGATTTGGGCTTCAATACAATATCTACTTTATCTCCAGGGCTATACGGGACAGCTTCCTGGTAACCTCACAGCATTTGCAGTTGCTTCGTAGCCATCTAGGGGGAATTAGTAGACCGATCATATGTACATACTGATAGTATTAGCACCTACTCATGAACAACCTTATCACCAAATAAATTCCCCGAACTTCCAACTATAAACCACGCGAGTTCTGCAAGGCAATGCAGGTAGAAGTATCTGCTACTTATGGCAAGGTGGCCACTACATAGTAACATGAAGTACCCGCAACTTTTGGCCGAGCGGCGAAGTCACCTGCCGATCCGGCCAAACCTCCCTTCCTGTTCTTGTTCTTCTTTTGGAGACTTCGGCTTGCTCGCATTTCGCTTTCGCTCCTTGAAAATAGCTCCCCACTGTCGATTGTTAGCTCCGCGCTCGCTGGCAGGGCGTCTGTGGGTCATCTTCATCAGCTCCTTCTATCTTCTCCCTATCGCCATTTAGCATCATCATTCCCCCCCCCACCACTAACCGCCAACCATCCACTACCAACCACCTCTCCATTCCCTGGAGCTCTCAATCCGTCTTATAAAAACCCAAACAACGTGTCCGGTCGCAGCCTCGGATTACTTTCTCCCAGGGCGGATACCTCGAATGCGAAACACTGAGTGGATGACGAATGGATCTCTCCTAGGAGACTCCTGATGGCAACCAGTGCCTTGGCAATACATCCACCTCTTCCCAAGGGAATTCTCGACCCTGTGTCCTTAAATAAACCGATCTTCGGACTCGCTGTCGGGAATGAGTTCCCACAATAGCTTCACCAATGCTTCCTTGAGCTCCTCCAACCCAGTCGGTACAGCCGCCACGTCTACCTCCGCGGTCCGGTCGCGGCCGCGCCGCCTGGTCTCCTTCATGGACGATGAAGATGACACCACCGTCACTAAGGCCTCCAACTACGCCTACAATGACACGCAACCTTCCACGACGGGACTCTCCACCACCCTTTCAACAATGGACATTGGAACGACGCGCTCTCGTGGCGCCACCCCTTCGCCGCTGTCGTCCCGCGGAGCTTCGCCGCTGCCAATGAAACACCCATCCCGCGTCACCGAACGTGGCCTCCGTGGTCGCCATGAGACAACATCGCTTGGTTGGAATGGATCTTCGAAGGCCTCATCGTCTCAAGGAGCACCGGATTTTTTGGAATCCCCGTGGTCTTCATTACAGAACTTGGCATCCTCGGTACTAGGGAGTGACATTGGACGGAACTCAGCGAATAATGCGACGAAGACACACACCCGGAGAAAACCATCAAAATCCGACGTATATACTCGAAGCATCCCAAGGTCTTTGCCTTCAGCGTGGGGCCCCTCCGCACCCACAACCCCAGAAATTGGAACCGGAACCAAGGAGGAACGCCATGCGCTAGTACAAGCGAAGAAACGGGAGGCGCTTCTACTAGCAGAATGCGACCCGGTCATGAATAGCAACTCCCGTCACAAACGGCGGGACTCCGGTGACTATTTCGATCAACAGCCAATTGAGTCTGATCAGGAGGAGGAGGCGCTTGCCTACATTCATCCCGTGGCGGCAACAGACAGCATCACAGGTGTCACGATCAAATACGGTTGCCAGGCCGCTATCTTCCGGAAAGCAAATGGCTTCTGGCCCAACGATAATATTCAAAGTCGCAAGACAGTTCTTCTTCCAGTGGATGCATGCACGGTCAAGGGAAGACCAATTCAACCTCCCGACAATGTTGATCTACTCAGCAATGATACCGAGTACCCATCTGATGGCTCCATTGACCCCGCGACTGCGAATCAACCATCCACAGATGACAATCCGCCCAATCCCTCCGATACTGATCGGAATCAGATTTGGAAACACGAGTCCTGGGTACAAATAGACGGATTTCCAGCGCCGATCGAGATCGGTCGTGTCTCTCGAAGATCATTGGGTTTCTTCCCACGGACCCGTCGAAAATCCGTTTCATATACAGATTCCGAACCACCTTCGACTTATTCGCGAGATTTGACGCGAACTCCATCGCCAGCTGCATCGCCGCAACTTGGTCCTTCGCAGGGTATATTACCTAAGATTAGAAAGACCAAAGACCAGTCCCGGCCTAGTGGAGGACCTCCTGTTCGGTCACACCGCCGCCAGCGCAGCAGCATACACCTCTCAGGAACCGGTGTCGGTTCTCTCGACCGCACCTCAACCGCACCTGGGCCAGCTATGGATGGTCTCAGCAAGTTCTTCTCCCAGCATATGCCTTATCTCGCACCACCAGCCCTTCCACAAAATCAGCGGCGGTCGTCCTTTGGCTCCGAGTCGACCGTCACATCTAATGCATCGGGCCTTGAGAATATCGGTGGTGCCCTCGAAGGCTGGGTTCGAAAAGTCGCGGCACGCACCAAGGCCGGCATCACCGAATTACAGCAAACACCTCCAAACCAGCACACAGCCGACCGAGGTCGCAGCGGAGGATTATGGGGTGTGGGTGATTTGATCGAAATGGACGATGCCTCTGAAGGCCGGCGGTCTCCCAGCCTCCTGGGCACGCGACGCCTCGACCAGACCACCAGCTCCTCTTCCTCGTCATTCCGACCAGCTGCCACATCCGCATCCGCGACGAGCAGGTCTCGCGCGACAGGTCTGGGCTCGGGCTCGAATGGGTATGGCGAGCGCGTAAAGGATGATTAATGTGTGATTGTTTGACCACGGAAATCTGCGAAAGCGTACATAATAGAGTCCCTTGGCGATTATTGCGTAAATTCCTCTGAGGCGAATTTACAAATTCTGCATTTTCCTTTCTTGTCTCTCTCCCTTTTCCCTTTTTCTGTACGTTTTCAAATCTTCTTCTTCCTTCCTTTTCTTCTATCATGAGCGGCTTGGTGTTCTTTTCTTTCTCATTCCCCACACGAATGTTTTCTTTCTTTGCTGAGCCTCCAGGCGAAGTCTACTGGATAATCAAATGTACGACAGGATAGGAATGGGCAAGGGTATGCCTCCCTCCGCATTTCGCTGTTGGCATTTGACATCTTTGTTTTTCAATTAGATATCAATCAATGGAGCTTATATTGACGGTTCATTTCATTTTGAACCGACTGAATCACCTCAGAACCTTTTATCTTACCTACCAAGGCACTGTCCCATATCGATCGAATGATTATATTGCTGCCTTGTACTAGCAGAATTATAGTCAGCTGCAGATCCTAAAATTTCAATCTAGCAGGCAAAGTCCTGGTCAACGACGCGAAGTTTGAGTACGTATGTTTGTGGCTTAGCAGTGATCAACTGCCGAGTGCATTAAGCTAAACTCACAAAGGGAAGTATACGGGGTAACTATCAAAACTATTCCGAAGCAACTACTACGGCTCTTCTTTCTTCTTGTAAAATTCGCGAACATAGGGCACGTCATTATAACACTATGCTGGAACACATTCCTTGAAAGAATTTGTTATACTTTGGGATTCCGTCCCTTTTTCGCCAAATACGCCTATCTGGCAAATTTCGGCAACTAACTATAAAGAGTCCCTCTATGTCTCTTTCGAAGGAAATAGCCCCGAGAATGTGTAAATCGAAGAAACCGTATGGAGATACCTAAGCGCAGCTGATTAGACATTGGAAAAATTTCAATCCTTTGGAACTGGCAACCTACGCTGCAAAGACAAGTACGAAAGTTGTATACCCAGCAGCATCAAACTTTGTCAACAATGGCAGCTGCCAGAGAAGTGAAATTGCCGACAAGAGGTCAAAAAGTGACCTCATAAACAAAGCAATGCGCTTGGCGCCTTTGAATGTCCCATATAATAGCATGGCGAATTCGGCCAAAGACCAGCCACATGGGATGAGAAACTAAGACCATATCAGTTGTGCTAAGACTTCTTTAGGCATGATGATGATCTTACGTATATTTTCGAAACATCGAAATCCAAATAAAACAGTGAATAAATTCCCAAGGCCTCGCTCAAAAGACAAATTTGTCTCAGTGTTCGACAATGCTGCAGATACCCGGAAACATGGCTCTTCGCAGGTGCGATTGTGACGTTCGTCATGGTTGAGATGATTATAAGAAACAAAAAATAACCAGTTCAACGACTACGCATTTACTTAAATACCTTTTCAAGCTTGAAAACGGCCTATGAAAAGCTCACAGGCAGCAATAATTCGGTGATACTTCATAGCCTCGCTGCCAAGCACCGACCCTCAAACTGCTGATAATGCATGGATTGCCCTTGAAAAAGCGGGAGGTACGTCACCTACTAGTAGTAGTATCAAAACTAATAATCTCACTACGGCATTATGATATTTGGTCTCCTTGTTCTTATTGCATCTCGAGCATCAGGCTGTTTGTTATTCGCAGCGTCCGCCTTTACCTACATGATGCGAACAAGTTCTTGGCGAAGGAATAAATCTCCACCTGGGGGCCAGAGGCTATGGTTCGGCATTAGTATACGGACTCGAAAACTGCACAGCCTGTTTTCTCAAGTGAAGCTCGGGCCAAGGGTCGGGTTGACCATGCTATAACTATTGGGCAATGCAAGTATCGGTGCAGTCAAGAGGCTTCCAGCCGCTAGCATTGGGACCACTTTGAAGTGGAAAAACCTAGTTAATCAATTGCAGGCTTTGCAGCAAAAATGGATATGTTAACGAGGTTATGGAGCATGCTTTTTATACTTTTGATTGACTCTCAGAGAAGCTGGTTGTCCCCGGGCCTGATTAGCCCAAAATGACTGATAGAAAGTGTGTAAACGCATTAATTATTTGATAGTAGAATCTGACCTCGCGGATCAAAAAGATTTCATCTCTTTACGGGAAAATTTTCTCAAAAAAAATGCTTCCCCGCAGATTCAAGCTTCGGATTGAATTCAGAATGGGGACTTAGCGCGGGGCAAGAAATCCCATAGGTGGGAAATTAATCATGGGGAAATTCCGGGGTAAACATGGAACAATCTAACTCCCAAGCCCAGGTGGTTATACATTGTGCCGGTCAGACTCCAAACTCTTTATTTTGATTGAATAAGTTGAGAAATCTGCTGTATTCATATCCCAGTATCCACAAAGCCACCGAGATAATACTCGATAATCACGATGCTAGGCTTGTCTCTTGGGCTACTTCTAGCCTCAGGGTCGCTTTCGAGCGGTCTCTCGAACCAGAGGAACATACACGGCACGATTACCGGCCGCAACAATCTCAAACAAGGCTAATGGAGGTTCTAAAACCGTTTTTGTCGGCCGTACGCTTTCTGAATTCGACCAAGATGTCTTCCTGGGTATCAAATATGCCGATGAACCCACTCGCTTCACGCCATCGGAACTGAAGACTAAATATGCGTCCAATGACAGCAATTCGGGACCATTGAGCTTAAATAGGGTCGGGCTTACTTCAAGCTCAGGATCTGTCTTTTACAATGCTACGCAATATGGATACGACTGCCCCGCTTACGGGTCCGACACGACCAAACTAGTGAACATGGGCCTTGCAAAGTTGAATGAAGATTGTCTGAATCTGAACATCATTCGACCTAAGACTGAGAGTGAGGAGCTGCTACCTGTTATGTTGTGGATCTTTGGTGGTGGGTGGCAGCAGGGGGCAACCGCAGACCCTCGGTATGTTAACCCTGTCCTCCGAAGTTATTACTACAGCTTCTTACGTCTGGCTATAATTTAAGGTACAATATGAGCTACATAGCTCAGCAAGGAGCCTTGAATGGGAATCCTGTCATTGGAGTCTCCATCAATTATCGACTGGCAGCTTTTGGATTTTTGGATTCCGAAGAAGTGAGGGTAAGTTACCCTCGAACATTCAACCTGAGAAAGCCTAGTTAATTCACACCACACAGGCAGAAGGAAATACAAATCTAGCTCTCCGTGATCAGAGAATTGCCATGCGCTGGGTAAAACAAAATATCCAAGCTTTCGGTGGTGGAGACCCCGAGAAGATAACCATATGGGGTGAATCTGCGTGAGTTGAAGTTGCTGCGCAGCCTGCGCATTCTTGGATGAAATTCTGACGAGGCTGGTTCCAGGGGTGCTTACAGCGTCGGAGCTCATTTAGTGACAAACGATGGAAATAACGAGGGACTTTTCAGAGCTGGTATGAGAGGAATATTCGATAATAGGCATAGCTGACCAGACTTGCAGCCATCATGGAGTCCGGTAATGCCGTTGGACCACCTTACAACGGCACTGAGTGGCACCAGCCAATGTATGACCGAATTGTTGATAGAGCCGGGTATGTTCATAGGATTCGAGTCAACTGGATACATAAAGCTGATTTATTACTAGATGCACAAATTCGTCGAACACACTCCAGTGCCTGCGCGATCTCCCGTACGAAACATTCTACGCTGCTGCTTACGAGGGACTTGAGTGGTTTGCCACGATTGATGGGAAATTCATCACTCAATTTCCTCAAATCAGCTACAAAGAGAATAAAGTCGCCAAAGTTCCCATTCTTCTAGGCACGAATACAGATGAAGGTACAAGTTTTGGTACTACGGGCACGGACACTGCTGAGCAGTGCATTGAGCAGCTGATATGTCTGTCTTTCGTCTCAATCACATCTCTCCTCAATTAACCTTGGAATGCAATGCTAATCCTAACGTATTATAGCTTCCAAGCGGTGGGTGATTACTCGTGAACAAGCAGTCAATATCCTACCACATTATCCAAATATTCCAGCTCTTGGCTGTCCCTATGGTTGGGGTAATGTCACCTGGCCAGAGCTGGGACTCCAATATAAGCGATATGAGTCTATAGCCGGAGATATTTCAATGGTAGCACCGCGTCGCATGCTTGCACATCTCATGTCCAACTCGATCGACAATGTATATTCTTACCGCTGGGATGTCGCGGCGCTAAATACATCCACAACAATTGGAGTGCAACATTTCGCCGAGGTGAGCCCCATTTGAAAATTGAAACTTGATATTTGAGATCAATGCTAATATTTAAACTTAGATTCCTTTTGTATTTGCCAATCCGGTACAGACCATGACACCGCTCGGAACTGACCCTGCCCGCCTGGAGCTTGGGCAGATGGCAGCTCGAATGTGGACATCCTTTGTCACACACCTGAATCCAAACGGACATGGATGTAGGTTGAAAGCTAATTCCATTCAATAAATGACTCAATCTTTTCCAAAATTAGAAACTGACATATTACAGTGAACAAAATTCCTCAATGGCCCCGCTATTCTTCCAAAGCGACAAACTTTGTGTTCCGTCTCCCACGAAATGAGAGTTATATTGAAGCCGATTCCTATCGTGCATCTGGAATTTCTGTTATAAACAACATCGCTCGGTAGAGAGTTTCCTAGATACCAGCAATGCTACTATTCCATTATGGCTTATTGTCTTAATTACACAACTACGGAGCAAAGATCTATATTCAGAAATTGGGAGATATGATCCATTTGTTATATTTGATTATATCCGCTGCCCCCGGGGTGAGGATTTGTGGATAAATCTGAAATTCACTTCATAAAAGGCTTTCGCTTCTCACATTGCGAGCAGTAGCAGCCATCGACAGGCCAGTTGAGACGCAGCCAAAAGGAGTCCAAATCGCATACAACGGACGTGAGTCTATCAACATTCTCCGCGTGTTGTGGTTGTCTCTCGAATCTTCTTTCCATGGCCTTTTCATCATTTTCTTCTGCATATTGATCACGACCACTATAACTAAGTGTCAGTCTTCCGACAGCAAGAGCATACATTTCCATGAGTCTTGGAGCGCTAGGCGAAATGTCCTCGCCAATCTTGAATATGAAGCTCTGTGTCTTGATTTCTGTTATAATGCGGTCGCATCGAACCAGGAAGCAATCCGTGTGTTTTCTTGATTTTGCAATACTTTTCAAGTTAATAAGCTCATCTGCGCGGTTAGCTAGGAATCTGGAAATCCATTTATACGTTACAGGGTGTCTACTCGCGCGGTCGCCTGTGGCCCGAAGGGTTTCTGCGAGATTGTCGCGATGGGCGGAAAAGCTCAACTGAGAAGAGCTAGCCATGTTTAAGTAAAAGCGAAGGGTGATTTTGTTGCTATACAGTATTAGCTTTTATAGGGGGGGTGGCGTTGAGAATTGAATAATAGTAGTGGCGTGAGCGGAATGCATAGTACTTTAGCCCTGGAGTGGGATTTGCCTAGCTTTTATACCCACTGGCTTTATCCATCTGCGACCAAGCTCAATGAATTCAATTTCTATGTTAGAGCTCAATGAAACCATGAACGACTTCAAACAATGACTTAAAAAATTACCAGTTTACATAGAGGATTCTTTGTTCCGCTTTTTCCCTGGAGGTAAAAGGGAAAAAAAAACATTTCAATTAGAAGTTACTCAATGCTGCGCTAAATCAACAAGTGCCCAGGTGTTTTCCTGCATCGCTAACAATCATGGCACGAATAATAATCGAGATGTATACTGCCGGACACTGGCCAATAGGATTGGTACGGAGAACAGGCCCCCCACGAATTTACGAAATGCCCGTTCCAAAAAGGATGCCAAGAACTATTCGTATTCGGCAGATCTACAGAGTACGAAAATTCCATATGAGGAAGGTCTCGTATAATATCTCCTTTTGGTATGCGGAGAACTGAAATATAAAAGGTGGTGGCAGTCTCATCGCAAATTCGGGGGAATTGCATTACGGATAGGAATACTCATTCCTTCCAGTTGTCAACCGTCATCTTTTTTTGATATCTCCGTAATCCACCGAGGCATGTTCGTCCAATCCACTCTTACAGCCCTCAGCCTCCTCTCCCCAGCAGTGGGTTTGCAGAGCGAATCTCGCCATCGATGTGCTTATGGTGACGATTGCTGGCCAAGTGATAACACTTGGAAGTTATTCAACGATACTGTCGGTGGAAGATTGATTCGATCTGTGCCGTCTGCTGCCGTCTGCCATGCCGAAAGGTACAATGCAAATCAATGTGCTATTGCAAAGAGTAGCTGGTTGGACAGCTTCTGGAAAACAAACCAGACTGGGGGCTATGCCGCAATGCTATGGGAAATGGGTGAAAGTGGGAAGTGTTTCGTTGACACGTCCGTCCGAGCTCCCTGTGATCAAGGAATTGGTACGAAGTCTTACAAGAGGACTTGAGGAGAATACTACTCAACTACTGACTTTATTGATAGTACCATATTATTCAGTCAGTGTCCAAAATTTAGAGGACATCCAGGCCTCAGTGAAATTTGCAAACGAGAAGGATTTGTATTTAGTGACAAAGAATACGGGGCATGATCAGTGAGTACTAATATGTCCCAAGGGTCCCGATCTAACTGGAGACAGTCTTGGCCGCTCGAGTGGGAAAGGAGCGTTTTCAATCTGGACACACAATCTGAAGGGTATCGAATGGCACGACTCGTTTGTCCCTCAAGGGGCACCTGTCGATGCCAGTGGAATGCCGGCCGTGACACTACAGGCTGGAGAGCAATGGTTCGGTGCGTGCCTACTTCATTTATACTCTATTTTCAAACAAAATTTCGGCTTACATCATTGGGCACAGATGTGTATCAGGCAGCAGCTAAAAAGGAAGTTTTGGTTGTGGGAGGATCTGCTCGCACGGTGGGCGCAGCAGGAGGATATCTACTTGGAGGAGGACATTCACCATTCGCACATGACTATGGCCTTGCCGCAGACAGTGAGTGATTGATACTAGTGGACATTTCAATCTCATGTCTAACGAAATGCAGATCTCCTGGAAATGAGCATCGTTTCTGCGGATGGAGAACACCGCGTGATCAATCCCCATTCAGACCCGGAATATTTCTGGGCCGTTCGAGGGGGTGGCGGCAGTGCCTGGGGTGTATGTGAAGTGAGCTCGATTCCAGTCCAATTCTGTGACTGACAAATGATGATCCTCAGGTCGTGACATCTGTCACCTACAAAACCCATCCGGTCCCCCAAACACTGCTGATAGGCGTTGTGCAGCTAAATGCGTCCGACAGTTCCAGCTTGACAGACTTACTTGCAGGCTCTATGAAGCTTCTCCCCAAGGTGACAGATGCTGGGTATACCGGATATGGAAACATGGACCAGAGGTTTGAGGCGATATTCCTCAAACCAAATGGGACCGTAGGATCCTTTAATCAAACTTTTGCCGGGTTCTTCAATCTGTCCAAAGCTCCTGGCATACAAGGTGCAGTTGGGGCCTATCCGTCAACTTGGAATGCATATTTGAAAACATTCCTCCAGGATCCCAACATTGGCACCAATGTCCAAGATACTTCACGACTATTGACCGCAAACGTCATCGATGAAAAAGCAGAGGATTTAGCCAAGCTCATTGTCGATAATGGTGGCAAAGGGGGTTTTAATTTTAGTAAGTATTCAGAATATTGTCAGAGCTTGCATGGCGCTCACCTCGACGCAGTTGGAAAAGTCAATAATGACGAACGTGACAACACGGCAGTCAACAATATCTGGAAGCACAGTCATGCCCTAATGAGTATATCTATTGATTGGGCTGATAATGCGACGAAGTCTGAGAAGCACAAGAAGCGGCTACACGCCGTAATGATGAGCAAGAATTTTACAAAAATTGTGGGCGCTGAAGGAGGAACTTACATTAACGAAGCCAATCCGTAAGTATCTCTCACATTCCATTGGATTAAAGCTTATCAGCAAACTTTTAGTTACGAACCAGACTGGCAGACAGTATTCTGGGGAGACAAATATGAGAAATTAGTTGAGATCAAGCGACGGGTAGATCCGACAAATTTGTTTGTGTGTAATCGGTGTGTTGGGGGTGGTCTGGTATTACAGCCCTAGATGTGATTGATTTTGTATCTCGATAGATGAAATATTATCAAATCATGCATATAGTGGCGCCGCAAAAGCTTCCAGCCCCTTGTTAACTTTCCTAGCCTTCCATTAGAAAGCGGTAAATAATGGTGGTCGAGAGGGGGCTGGGAACTTTTGCGGCACCACTGTGTAGATAATCTATTGCTTAGGACTCTCTTCAAGAAAAATGGTGGAAAGGTCGTGCTCAACCCAATACATCTCAGGCCGGACACCCGCCAGCTTCCATGAGCCACCAATCTTTTTGTACCAATGCTTTGCATTTCCATGACCATGGCCACGCCCGGATACCGTGGTCAATTCAGCATCCGAATAACGCTGGTGTGCAGCACGCACCTGGTGAATAGTAGAGATCTCGGCCTCAGATACCCACTCGTAACTACCGGCACCAATAAGGTGTTGAGTGCGAACAAGGGGATCTCCTACAAAACTAGGAGAGCTCATCATAGAGATGAAGTCATCGGCGCTCATTTCGGGAAAGCAATTTTGGCCAACGATGCTGTAATCCACCTGTGAAGGTATTATGAGTCGGAATTTCGGTCTTTTAACCTGTGAATGATGAACGATACCAAGAGGCTTGGTGCCAGAATCTTGCGAAGTCTATCCCAGTCCTATCGAGAACCAGTCAGAAACTTGAATCCGAACAGTACGAGTAGCTGGATATCTAACCTTTTTGTCAATACTATCCGCCCATTCGAACACTATTTGGTTGATGGCGAGGTAATCTAAACGCGCAGGGATTACATGTCAGCTCAATAGTAATAAATAAAATAGGCCATGGATCTTATACCTTGGAACTGTATGTTTTCCATTCCTGCTTCAGATTAAGCAATAAAAAATAATATAGAGCTTGAAAGTTCTATGTTGCTATGCTATAAATGAAGGATGCTCATGTCGAAAGCGGGGAAGAAACTCAAGTAAAAAAAAAAAAAACCTTGATGTGTTCCGTGTTGCGATCGCAAGTCGCGGGAGGCCTGAGCTAGCACAGTTTGAGAGATGGGTATGAGAATCCCAGGTAAAGGCCAATGATATTTCGTGTTTCAAAAGGCGGGATCAAAGTTAGTTCTCATCGATGGGGATCCACGATCCCGATGGCGCTGATCAGTGTCACGACGAATCATGGAAGGTTAAAAAATAATCTAGAATCCGTATGTAAATATCAAAATAGTGAAGCCATCTATAGGGAACTGGATTCGATGATTATCTACACGATGCCGCGGATTGGAAGATCGATCGGAATGCCTAAGCGTATTGAAACACCATACTTTTGGAAGAAATTAATATGTTCTTGAATGCTTACTACTAGTAGAGGTTGAATGTATTCTTTATAGCGGGTGAATTATATTGAGTTGTTAAAGTGCTGGATTTTATTAGACTAAAAGCAAAATTGAGAAAGAAATATCTTAGAGGATCTATGATAACCTAACAGAAACGGCTTAATCTAAGACATGAGTGACAACTGCAACCTTCAACTGGCGAGTAGAGACGCGACCAGATTGAATAAACATCAAGGTAGGGAGTGCTCTTGCGCGTTGTCGCAGTCGTGTTTTGGTAATATAGTTGCTTCGAGTCTGCCGTCTTGTTCATTATATCGACAGAAGAGCCAGGGGGAAACCAGTTCTGACGAATTATTAGCATGCCCACATGTACGCTAAATATATCTAGTATCTCGGATAATCGATATTTCTTAAAATATGCTTCCAATTTCTTCGGGGCAGAGGACTTTTGTATATCGTTGATTTCTAGGACTTGAAGTTGCATTTCGTTTCTCAGGCGATCGCATTTTGGCTCAAAGCAGGGAGGAGACTCCCTCAAGGGCCATTCATTCTCCGCCTTATTTCTCCATTCCTCTATCTTCTTCCTATAGCAATTGAGGGATCCTGCAATATTCTTATAAGCTTCTAGTCGGTCACCAGAATCGAGCTTTTCTGACGCCTCGGCCTTTCGAAAGTCCGACGAAAGGCACTGGACCATCTCATCGCGCTCCCACTCAAAACCACCGCAGAAGAATACAGCCATAACTCAGGAATATAGTAGGCAATATAGTTTGACTGTAAATGTAAATTGACCAACTCGATGTATGAATATGTCGAAGGAACGCTCCTCAGTTTGAAATTGCCTTACGGGGAGATGTGTGTTGCTAATTCTTCTCTGCTGGGACCGTTGAGGATTTTAAATATTCAGAATGAGGTCCTATATTCCTAATCAGTTAATTTGTCATAATTCTCGAGTCTAAAAAAGAAAGAGCATTATTGTGAGTTCCCCATAGGAAACATAGTGAAGCTGTCTTTATTTTAGACCTTGAAAGGAATGCTGTCACAAAGCTATTAAGAAAATACAGCCCATTATTTAATGAAAGAAAGCACGGGCCTCGAGCGCTTGGAGGGTAAATTCTTTGTTCATATAAGTCTTTCAACTCAACTTCTTTGACTTTCTCTCGTCCTCATCTTTCGCATATTCTGCGCCCTCTAGATAACTGTCATCCTGCTCCTGTAGCTCCTCCACTTCGGTATTTTATTTCCCTGTCTGCTTGACCTCCTGCCTCTTGTTTGATCCATTTGCCTGTTTCGCACTCCTTTTAGTTCCAGCCTTCTGCTTTCCCTTTTCTCTTCCTTGTCTCGGGCCCTTTTTTCCATTTTTTCCCTTTCCCTCGCTATCATCCTCTCCATCTTCATCCTCTCCATCTTCATCCTCTCCATCTTCATCCTCTCCATCTTCATCCTCTCCATCTTCATCCTCTCCATCTTCATCCTCTCCATCTTCGTCATTGTCTGCATTCTTGTCCTCATCCTCGTCTCCTTCCTTGTCACCTTCCTTGTCTCCTTCCTTGTCTTCTTCACCCCTCTCATCGTGCTTCCTAGCATTACGACCCGCTTCCTTTGCACCCCCTGTATTCCCAACAAACTGCTTCCCCTTCTTTGATTCGCTTAACTTCTTCTTATCCGTTTTCTCTTTCTCCTTATCGCTCAATTTCTCCCATGCTTCCTTCGGGAGGTATCTCTGTCTTGAGCCATCACTCTTTTTTGCAGTGCCACTTCCCTCTTTGGTCTGCCAGTCTTCCTTTGTCCAGTCATCCAAATGCTTTTGACTCTCATCCTGCCCTTCTTCCTTGCTTTGGTTGTAGCCACCGCCACGCTTTTTGTACTCCGAGGCCATTAGTTGAGCCTACCGTGGTTAGTATTCATCTATAAATGCTTGTAGAGTGGACGGAAGAAATCACCTTGCGTGCTGACCATTGTCCGGGCTTTCCGCCTTTATCACTTTGGTGGATCTCTTCTTTCACCTCATCGCGAAGCTTGGGATCGGTATATTTTTCTTTGGGGGGCATTGCGGCGCGTCGGTGGGTATGACAGGGGTTGAAGACTCAACATAAAATAGCGTGAAAATCAAATTCGGTAGACATATAAGTGATTTCTAAATGCTTTTGACTGACTAGGCGGATCTTATATTCCCGAATCCTTGATGACATCTCAATTGCCGTAGGTGACATCATGAGCTGTTGTGCCTGAACCAAACGTTGCAGCACCGTGCTACTAACTAACAGAGGTGAGCCTGTTTTTAGAGACTTCCCAACGAACCCTGATTTGTGGAATGTTTCTGGGGAAATGTGGGTAGCATACCTTGCTTTGAAGATCTGGTTAGCTCGATCGATCGACGATCGGATCGGACCATTTAACCTCAGACGAGGAAGAAATCAAGATTCGAGACCCTTTCGTCACTCCGCCGTCAATGACTTTAATCTAGCTTAATAGGATAACGGGAAATTATGAGATATTTTACTTCAGTTGTCTACTGAGCTAAACTATAATAAGAGCCAAACGAAGAGAACACTGCCTGCATGAGCAGTTTGGAACCGGCCGATCAAGAAGACCCCACAACTCATTAACTTCATCCCACATTTTTGCTTCATCCCCAAGAGTCCCAAAGCTACATCTGTAATTCGTTTTTTTCTTCATTCATAGTTCGATAATCCCTAATGAAGGCCAGTACATCTTGAAATTCCTCATCGTTACTAAGACTCAAACGACCAACTTGCATAGAGAGAAAATCCCAACAGACTTTCGTAGCTGCTTGTATAAGTATGGGTTTCTCTGCAGCTTTTCACGTACTAGACCTAGCTGTTCTTGAAACCGTTTGCTGTGCCATTCCCGTGCAATAGCGTCATCTGACGTATTCGAAGTAGCTGGCCTGGGGATAAATTGCAGAAGATTCGCTATGCGGTGCATATTGCTCTCTATAAGACGGTATCTGATTAGCACACAAGGGGGCGCGGGGGATTTAGCTGATATATTCGACTCAAGCTGGATACGATAAAACTTCATTCCATCCGCTATACAGGGTAGCCGGTCAACGACGGACTGAAAAGCCGTGGTCCTTGAGCCTTCATTTGGAGTGTCCAATTGACTAGCCATCTTTTCAAGCTCGCTGATCATAATCTCGCGGAATCGAGAAAATTTGCCCACTGTGTCCGATTCGAATTCGTAGGTAGGGGGGCTTTCGCCAAAGTTAACTTTGGCCATTTGGAGAAATCTAGGAAACTATTCCGATTATGGGTAGTGTTCTGCTGAAAGATTATCTTGAGTTGGAGGAAATTCAAGTTTGGGGAGTTAAATCTATTTTATAGTATTTCCGGCGACGTGTGCCTGTCTCGGCTCGAATTGGTCATTGTGCCTCGTAGCATTGATTAACGTGGGAAACATCGGGATAGAAAAAAGGGGCATTGTGCGAAAAGAGGCTACTCCTTGAAAGTAAGCCATTTCTTCGTGGTTACGAGAACTTGAACAATGGAATCAACTTCCCCTGGGGCAGTCCAACGACAAAGAATTTGTGGACGTAGCTGAACCTTGGAACAAAGATCCTTTCAGAACCCCCAGTAATGATTGGTGAAACTTGAAGTGATCATTGTTTGATTTAACAACGAAACCCTGCCCAGGAATAGCCCTGATGATAACATATCTTTCTACGTGTTGATGAGGTTTACCAGTGGTGAGGCACTACATCCACCGTGGTCTATCGTTTACAATATAATGTCAGATGTGAGGTTCCCAAGCAGAACAAGCCGCCATCGAAATCTTCATTGGCATTTCTTCGGTTTCAATGAACTCAATGCCCACGAGAGGAGGTAGTCTCCTGGGGAAGAAAATGTACTCGCAGATAACGAAACACTAATCTTATATCTAGACAGACTTGTTGTTGATCTTGAGGAGCTCGACCTCGCTATGGGGAATTAGCTCAAGCTTTTCCTGGTATGAGATGAGTTTAATACTTACAAGACCAGCTGGGAGTTAGCGGGGATCAGGCCGGGGAAGCCCCTAGAAAAGAAATCAGTATTGTTGTCATTCAATGCAGCGACTCGCAAAGTCGGTCGGAATGGAGTTCATATTGGATTGATATGCCGGGGAACATACTGGGAACCGTAACCGAAGTCACTAAAAAAGAAAAAGAGAAGGGTTAGCAGTGTGTCGTGAAGCTTCACAGACGAGTGCGAATGACTTACGGGCTGATGGTGAGGATGGCCTTCTCGCCGAGGCTCATCTGAGGAACACCCTGGTCCCAACCTATAGAGCAGGTGATTAGCAATGCGAGATCCCAATATGCCCATGTGCCACATCTGCCTATTCAATTGTGCGCATAATAAAGCTATTCGTGGACGCGACGTACCGGGGATCAGACGGCCGACACCGATGGGAGTGGCGAGGGGACCGCGGCCGGGGTTGTGGGAGCTGTCGAACCTGATTATCGCGCATGATTAGTAACCCTACCTACAATAATGGGTTTCAGAGATGCTGAGGGGAAGGTTGTTGCTCACTTGTTGCCCATGAAGTAGTTGTCGGCCTTGGAGGCATCGTACAAGCAGCCGGTGTAGTGGAGAGCGACGTTGTCACCCTTCTTGGGGAAGTCAACACCGTTTCCGGGGACCAGAGTCTGCTTTTCAACGCCCATTGTGAATGTAGATGTGGATGTGGATGTAAAGGGAGTGTAGTTGGAGGAGCTTGCAGTGTTGGAGATGGAAGTTTTGAGGTTGGAGAGAAAAACAAGGGGCAGCCACAGTGGAGCCCACAATTCCCCGAGGGAGTGGGGTATTCAACGTAATCACCTCTGCCCTCAGCCCAGTGGAAAAAGGGAACGGTGGGAATTCAACTCAAAAATACTCCGCAATGGGATAAATCGGGCTTGACTCGGATGCTGCCAGCTGGATTAGGAATCTACTTCCCGAGATGGCTGGGTATATCGTTGATATCACCTCAACTCTATACCGAGGATGGTGAAACAGCCATCCCAAAATCACCCGCGTTCAGGCCACCTTGACGGAATAACCTTTTGCTTTCAGGGACTGCCTCGCACGCTTATTCGATGGAGCTTCACCCTTTCAATGCCCCGGCAGGGATATCGGGATCTAGCGGTGACTACTCTTGGATTTGTCTGGCATAAGCAGAGAGCACGAGTACAGTCTACGGAGTACCGAGTAATGAATGCATCACGGTCTATAAATAATAATAATAAACTCCACGTCCGGGAAACAGGTGGCAGTAACATACAATTAGTCCCTCCAGCATGAGAATCATCACCTTCGGTATGGATCCGATCGGTCATAGTTTCAAGACATTTCCGTGAAGTCGTGAACAGTGGACTGGATCATAAGTATATCTACATTCATTCATTTAAATTCATTATGAAAAAGGCCAATTGATAGTTTACGAGGATTACTTGGTCAATATCTTTGGGTAATCGGTTCCTGCACGATCTATGCATCGCGTCATCGAGGCATCCATCAACGCAACCATCAATCAGCAAAGCTCAGTTATCCGATGCGCAGTATTGAAGTATTTATTTAAGCTGCTTAGTACCATTGATCTTTAATAAAAATGCGAGGTCAAGCTATCTCTCGCAGACCAACGACCATTTAAATCTGGATGCTGAGAGTATAAGAGCATCGGCAAATTACAAGTTCCCACCCAATCCCTCACTCTGGACCATAAAGCACATTTTGGCACGTCAATCCATCAAGGCCGGCTGGCCCAATGGCAAGGCGCTTGACTACGAATCAAGAGATTGCAGGTTCGACCCCTGCGTCGGTCAACTTTTTGGTTAACGATGAACTCGTTCACTGGATCCACTTTTTTTGAATGTGTCTTTTTGCCGGCATTTTTCGGTCGGGTATAGGCAAGAAAAACTGAAAGGGTTTTAAAGCGCTATCTGTGGCAATTATTTTGTCAAAGTCATGAACCAGCGGCTTGCGGACCGATGCCGGGGTCGTTCTAGACCGCTTTACTATTGCATATCTGTCCAGCCTTGCCCTAATGTGATAGCATGGATTGAGCGGATCGAGGGACTACCTCCACTTTTTCCTTTAGAAAGACCCGGTGATATTTACGGTGCTAGGTACGCATGGAGGTGATTGCAATGGCAGTAACTTGTGCATGTGAGTAATAGAGAGGAAATGAGAGAGAAACTAATCTACTATCCCTAAACCCTGAAAACTCCACCAGCCTGTCAACGTAGATATCAGACAAAGAAAGAAACTATTAGTACATGAGGTCTCTCGTCATGCCACTTTTGCGAGGATGGCCGCCATAGGAAAAGATGGCCGGTGTAGTCGATAATGACGACCTCGTCGTTGATAGTGAAAGATGTGTAGGGTCAACGACGGGGAGTACGAGCGGGGTTTTGAACACGGTTGCACTCGTAATCGAGAAAGGATTGGATTGTATCCTTGAGAAGCGTGGCAGAGTCCATGTTTGGGTTATGATTGGTAATCCAATGCAGCATGTCGCCATGAGCCCGAACAGCGCGGATGAATTGACCATAAAGGTCCCATTGTGTAGTGAGGTGATAGGGACCAGTGTAATTGTGCTTGTTCATAACCAAGTCCCAAAACTTCTTGACGAAGTTCTGAGGTTTGGTGCCAGGACGGTAGGTGCAGTCGGCCAAGGCATCAAACTTCAACTGGAACACATCTTTGTTGGGCCTTCCATACATCTGGGTCAATCGGTCGAAAAGTCTTGCCGCAGATTTCTCTTCCACCGTGCCCAGAGCGATGCCGGGAGCAAGTGTCGAACAAAGGAGGTTCATTGCGGTCGAGTTTAGCTTGGTCCATTCGGCAAGCTCTTCGTTTGGAGTGGTGACAAACATGCGGACGAATCTTTGAATTTGGTCGTCTGTGATCTTCGCAGCAGGCATGCGCATGTAGGTGGCAGCACGAGTACGGATCTCTGCCTTGCTCCAGGCAATCGGATGATTGTTCTTAGGCTGGAATTCGCCAATGATAAGCTTCCAGAGTTTCACACTGTGAGTTTGTGATGCCTGCTTGAGATGAAAGGCCCATTGCTGGAAGTTATCCATCCCCTTGAGAATAGGGAGCTTCTCGGTAGAAATATTCTCGGAGGCCATAGTGAACACTTCGCGGTGTGGAGTGTGTAGATTAAAGATGACTTGATACCAGAGAATTGAAGATAAAAACTGGCTTGCGATGGGTGAGCGAGTAAAAATGGCACACAATAAGCTGGGTGTGTTGGAGATGTCTCCCGATGAGAACTGAGGGGTGAATACTGGTACAAGAAGGATGACACGCCGCACACGCGGGGATGAATCGAAGGAGTAGCTGTACACGTTAACGTCGCTGATGACAAAAGAAGTGCTTTGTTCTCTGGAAATAGCTTTTCGAATTTGATCGACACAGGTTGAGTACTGCAATCGGCAGTAGGACGGCTCTGGGAGCGACGTTGCTGGTGGGGGAGGAAGCCTAAAACCGAAGTGTGTGAAGTGAATCGAAACTGAGTATTTGAACCAGGAAGGGCCCAAGCCCCATATGTAGGATGCTATGTGCGAATGGAGATGGTAATGATGGCAGTTATGTGTGTGAGGTAGAGAGGTGAAAGGGAAAGGTGAACCAAGTGGGTGCCTAACAGCAAACGGCAAACGGCCACAAATTGAAGGCAGCTGAGTTTGGTGTTTTTGCATACTAGCTACACATACTATTCACTGTCTACATTAGCTCGCCATTCTATACAATTCAGCGCGACAAGACTATCCCGACTCCCGAGTAGCTCTCCATCTTTCTCTATCAGTCTGAGGTGTCCAGATGAGATACCACTCAATACTATCAAGTGAGTTGGACATCTCAATATCGCTCGACCAGGTGCATTTCAAAATCGGAATACAATCCAAATCCGTAGCTAGGTCTCTGTAGATAGTTAGGCAGAGAATTGGCGTATGCTTCAAACAGAAAAGAGACCCAGAGAATCGGTAGTAGACTGGGAGCATTCCTCTAAATTGTATCATGATGTACATCAACAACCTCTCAAGCCGCTTGCCAAATCTCCAACTTCTTCAATTCCTCCACAGAAATCGAACCGATCTCTGTGCGGGGGAACCTGGCATCAGGCGCAGAAGCCTGTACCTCGGTCTCGGCTACCTGCAAATAATGAACCGTCGAGATGCCAGTGCTATCAAGGAAGTCCACCACACGTTGGAAATTCAGGCTGATCTGATCCACGCCGTGGCTATCATCGGACAGGCAGAAGCGACCGCCGCGGGCAAGGAACTCCTATAAAGGTGAAAAAGTCAGCCTTCCAAGTCAAAGTGTACTACAGCCGCCTGGGCCAAAAAGTAAAACTTACCTTGCAAATCTCTGCCTTGGGATAAGGCTCACTCATCCCTTTCCTCAAAGCCGCCCCATTAAGCTCAAGGATACCGCCGTACGACGCCACAAAATCCAAATTCCTCAACACCTTACTCCAAACACCCGGCCAGGTAGTGAAGCTTCGCTCGGGATCGTCGCTCTTCAACCGAATAAGATCAAAGTGGCCCACAACCAGTGGGCGCAACTGTTGCAGCATATCCAACTGCTCATCGAAATATGCCTCGAAGAGCTTCTCCTGTGAGCCACCCGCGCGTTCACGAGCTTCGTCGTACATGGGTCTGTCGTAGTCGATTGGAATGGTTAGGGTGTGATGGAGTGATCCGATGAAGAATTCGAATGGGAAACGAGTTAGAGAGCGGTTGATTAGGGATAAGGATTCGGGTCTGATCCAGTCACATTCGAAGCCGATTATTAGGTTGATTTGGGAGGCGTATTTGGTGCGTAGGCGGGTGGCTTCGATCCAGTAGGCTTCTTCGTTGCTGGCGTGCCATTCTTCTGTTTGGCCGGATTCGATCTGGGGAGAAGAGTTAGCTTTTGCTCTTTGGGTCTTGTGTTATACATTTGCTTTTGCGGTCTGAGTGGTGTACCTCTTCGGGGTAGAAATCTTCTTTGTGGCGGGGCATGTGCTCGGTCAGACAGAAGACTTTCATCTTTTTGCTGATGGCGGTCTGGATGACATCCTCTAGGGAGTCCTTTGCGTGGCCAGGGCAGAATTGGCCCGAATGGCTGTGGTGAGAGAAGGGCATCTTGATATGTTCCTGGTTTATCGTCAGCGTGTGGTCGAGAGTGGGAGAGGTGTTGTTGGGCGTACCTTGTTGTCTGTATGTTCTCTATTATCTGCTCTCCGTTCTTTACCTGGAGGCTGCTCGTCAGTAGAGGACTTCCCAGGAACGAGTCAGTTCAATACTGATTGTGGCAAAGAAGAGATGTAATTGAGAGAGCTGGGATGGGTGGGATGCAGCAACTTTTAAGGTAGCTCCGCGGAAGATAACTCGCGCCGATAAGATTGTCCCGCATTCGGGGCCCGCAGTTAACGGTGGCCAACCATTGAAAACGTGGTAGCAATTGCAACCGAATAGGACTGAAAGCTAGACAATTGAACCGTCGGCATATTTCGAATGTCCTAAATTAGTTCTAGTTGATGACCATCTAAGCCAGAAGCTAATTTATCTAGACCTTCTCGCATATTCTACAAACCCAACGCGAACAGATTGCCTCGGCATTGGAATCTCTATACAAAATCGCTATGGTAGCAATCTCAATCCAATTCGCGATTGAGAAAGTGTTCCAACTAATATCAACATATGACACTGAGTATGCCACAGAATAGATGTATGTAGTCGCGCCGCCGTATTCGAGTCCGCGAGCGCACGCGGTATCCATAGACAAACCAGTCATCCATAGAGAGCCCCGTCGACAGTATCATGCAAGATGAATCAGAGCGGAGATCCAAATGCGACGAATATGTATGGTCAATTCGGCACCATCGAAGTGTAGCTGGGAGGAGAAAAGATAGGTATAGCTTCCACAGCTTCTCACCTCCAACTTTCAAAGCTTTAACGGGCCAAAAGACCTCAGGAAGCTCCCTCCAGGTTCCATCAAATCAAAAAGTAACCCTATTCCCTCTCCTCTTCACCCCGCCGCAAGAACAGTAGCAACCACATAATCCCCATCATGTGAAATAGACAGTCTAGCAACCCTCTCCTCGCCACCACCGACATAAACGATCTCCGGCCTCCGACTCGTCCCATCCACCGCAGTGTGCCCATCAACAGCACCACCCATTGAAGCAGTCGACTTTCTCACATCCTCCTCAACCCTAACGATAACATCCTTCCACCCAATCGATGCCGCGCCGGCCGGCGACGCTTTGCGCGCGGCTTCTTTGGCGGCGAAGCGGCCGGCGAGCCAGCGCGTTATTTCGGGGGTTATGGGTGCGGAGCGCGTGGACGTGGACGTGGACGTGGACGTGGACATGGAGGCGGAGGTAGAGGCAGAGGCAAATGCAGATGCAGATGGGGATGCAGGTTCGGAAGTATTTTGGGAGGAGGGTTGGGTGATTCCCTTGAAGCGTCTGTGGAAGTCGCGTTGTTCGGCGTCGCTGAGAATGCGCTGCGTGAAGCGGGAGAGGTAGTTCGGGCGTGAGGTTAGGAGGCGGGTTATGCGGGGCAGGTGGACGATGTCTGTGCCGATGTTCAGGGCATAGGGGAAGGGTATTTGTTTCATTTTGCTTGTGGTGGGTTGTGTGGTGTGGACTCGGAGTGGTGAGGCGAAGTGTAGTGTAGTGTAGTGAGGGAGATGGGAAGCGGAGGGTGGGTTGGAGTTACGATTATGGGCCTTTACCTTACCCTCCCACGCGAATATACGCAGGTGATAAGGATAGCCATATGATAAAATCCCCGCGGGATTTGGCTGTTCTCTACGCTACTGATTTACTATCGGGATTTGTTCACGGAACTTTCTGTGCTACGATTCCCAGGCTCCGGCCAGCTAACAGCTACCAGCTTCGAGATACTGGAGCTCGACGGATACGCCACCGCGGTGATACAACGCAAGTGAGTTAGCCGGCGCACCAATTGATCGCTCCGGGGACAACCGTAACAGCTGGACACAGCCTCCAGATGCCCGAATTTGGCAAGTACTACTAGAACCAGAACCAAGAGTTCGGCTAGCAATCCGGCCAGAACAAGGTGAAAAGAAGTGGTAGAAGGAACAGTTCTTCTATGCAACGTACACGCCTCTTATGTACAGATCCACAAAATCCACCCGCCGCAGGGATCCCAGCTATAATAACCCAGCTTCCACTCTGACCGGGTCAAGACATATGCCTAGCCGAGATGTATCGATTGCACCGATGCGACAGAAAGCGACAGGCGTACGGGACGAGCTCGAGTGGCGTCGCGCGCTGGTTCACGGCCGGTCGATTCCGTCGATATATTCCGCGGAGAGGGCGATTTAGTGCTTCTCGGACTTGCCGCCATCAACTTCCTTCAGGAATTGTCTATATGGGTAGTTGGTGTTAGTCATTGCGCGGTATTAGGGTACACAAGGCTCTTTCAAAGCTTTCCCCTCTCTTCCGTAGAAGTAGAAGCAATGGCAGAGAAATTGCAGGTCACGTACTGGACGAAGTCACCCTCCTCCTTGGAAGAAGCGTTGATGGGGGGGACCGGCGGCGGTCTTGGGCTTCTCGCCACCGGACATGGCAGCCCAGGAACCGGCGAAGATGGAGCCGAGAACGGCCATGGAGAGCTATAGCGCGCAAAAAAAGAAACCTGGTTAGCCTTTGTGTTGCGGTGCTCGTGCTTCCGGGTCATGCCAGGATGCAAAAAGGGATGAGGCGGGGGCGCGCGGGCGGATTGGTGGAGCGGGTCGGTCACTTACGACGTGGGAGCCGACCTTCTTGCCGGCGATCTGGTAGTAGACGACCATCTTGAGGGAGTGAGGTGGGGGATGAGTTGGAGGTTAAAGGCAACGATGTGGAAAGCGGAATCCTCTCTGGCCGAGCCTGACGAGGTCGGACCGGACCATACATATGCGGTTAGCGTGATTGGTGAGTCAGCAGACAGCAGCAGGTGACTTGAGATCACGTGGTGCTCGTGTATTCCGGGAAGGCCCGAAATCATGTGATTTCGGGAAGCAGCAGGAAAACAAAGCCGATCAAAGGAAGCAGGAGATGGGAATAATACTAATGTTGAATATTTTATCTTTTATCATGAGAGTCCAGAGAATCAGAGGGATAAACTATTATTCTTATGAATATGACCTCATAACTATATGTGAGAAATGACCCAGCAACCAGGAACACAACGGGCAGCATTACACTAAACCACGGACCAGGCACCGAGAGTTATAGTTCCCCGGCTATGTCACAGCCCGCTGCCGTGGCTGATGCCGTATCTCCGAGGATATTGACAGAACCAAGTAATTTTACTTTGACTCTTCTTAATTAAGTCTGCTTACTCGACTAATATTAGCATTCTACTATTCTCATTCCAACTTTTTAACTTTCCTTCCACTCCCACTCCCACTCACACTCCCACTCCCCCTTGCTTCCCGACTTCTCTACTTCCCCATTCGGAGTCTACCCTCGTGCCTTGTGCCTCCTGCCTCCCCTCTTTCTCCTCACTCTTTCCCCCTCTTTCTTTTTCTCTTTCAACCTCATATCCAAACTACTCTCACAATTCACAATGGTTTGGGGCCGCAAACCGGAAGCCTCGGCGCCCGCAGAAACAGAAACAGACAACTCCCCGCTTCCTCCGCGGCAAAACCTGCCCCGGAAACTGCAACACATTGTCGACCGTGAAGATGACTTCTACGATGACCTCTACTCCCCCTAGTACGTGCGATACGAGTATACCCCAATCCATCTCAATCACATCACAACCTCTGCACAATCCTCGCCGAGAAATGCATAAAAACAACAACAATGCAAGCTCCGCAAAGACCGCATCCCACCCAGCCCAGCCTGGCCTTCTCCACACATTCATCCATACTCCACCATATGATATCAGCTTACCAGCACAATCAACAAACCCCTCTACCTCTTTCTATGATTCCCATCCCAACCTCTATCCCAATTATAGCTATACCATCCACCTCAACCAAAGCAAACTAACATGCCAACCTCAACCCCCAGCTCCGTCGACTCAACAGACACCCCATACCGATACGCCGCCTACGCAAACCGAATCCGAACAATCCTCCTCTCAGCCCACCGCTACGTAGCCTACACCTCAGACATAGGCGAATCCTTCCGACCAGTCGCCCACCCAATCCTCGTCCGCTCCGCATACGCCGTTTCCTGGGCCTACCTCCTCGGCGATGTCAGCCATGAAGGATACAAAGCATACCTGCGTAACCGGCGCGCATTAACCGCTCCGGGACAAGAATACCGCGATGCAAGCGTTAGCGTTGGCCAGGAAATTCGCGGTATGGCCATGGGCAATTTGGCAAAGCCTCTTGATGAAAGCCTCACCGCGGCTGGAGGACAGCAGGAATCTGAACTCACGCCCTGGCCGACGAATACGATTTCCCTTGCTGAGGATTATCGGATGGTTATGGTGAAGCGTGCTGTTTTTCAGAGTCTGGCTAGTATGGGTCTGCCGGCTTTTACTATTCATTCTGTTGTGAAGTATTCTGGGAAAATGGTGCGCGGGTCTAAGGTTGCGTTTGTGAGAACTTGGGTTCCTATTGGTGTATGTTTTCTTTCCTTCCTCCTTCCTTCCTATTCCTCGATTTGTTTCTTTTTCAAGTTCCTCGTTTTCTTGGGGACTGCTTTGGCTAATGCATTCGATCTTGTTTACAGCTCGGTCTCACCGTTGTCCCGTTCCTCCCGTACATATTCGATCACCCTGTTGAAGAAGCAGTGGACTGGGCATTCGGTACCGCGTTGCGCGTTTACGGCGGTGAGGATGCAGTTCGTCCTTTGCCTGCGCATGCGTTGAAGGGTCGTGAGAGTGGTCACTCTGCTGCTTCTTCTGGTGAGGGTCAAGGTGTGGCTGGTGCGGCGGCGCAGCTTTCTTGGGAGGAGTACAAGAGTGAGAGGCACGCGGCTAGGGAAGAGAGGAAGGAGAGTGGTGGTGGTTGGACGAGCTTGAGTTCTTATTTTGGTGGTGGCGGCAAGGAGAAGAAGGAGTGAGTACTACCTAGCATGTGGTGATGTGCTAAAGTATGAGGTGAAAGTATATTTTCTTTTTTTTTCTATCCATGGATATCCTTCTCACAGGACTCTTCTCTTTTGTATATATGGTTTTTTCCCCACTTTGCATCCATTGATATCCCATTTCCATTTCTTGGAACTCGACTTTTATCTGCTTTTTTATACGTAGTTTGGAAATGACTATTCGGGTGAGATGCTGCTCTACTAATTGGGACCCGAAGTATCACCGGCAGCTAGGGTTGTGATTGTTGACATTGACCAGGCCCATTTACCTCTGACAACTACCTATGGCCAGGTTTACTGTAGTTTTCATCCCATTTTAGTTGAGGGGAAAGCCGCAGCTCAGTCCCTCGTTCTGTTGTCCAGACAATAGTTACTACTAGTTACCAGGCTGTAGTACAGCTACACGATTACAAAGTACTAAACAAGGAGCACAAGGGAAAGAATCTACTTCATTCTTCACAACTCTACTGTCCATGGGACAAACAACTGTACAAAAAAGCAAACAAAAACAAGGAACAATCAGACAGTATAAAAAAGGGGCAGGGATACTAGCGTCAGCTCATAAGAATCCTGGCCACCCAAACCATTAGATGGGATGTGCATAGCATAAGAGAGGGAGGGAAGGAGTGGGGGATGAAAAGGAAAAAAAGGAAAGAGACATAGATATGACCAGTTAAAAAAAGTAAATTTTCCAGATGGCACACACAGAGCTGAAGCAGGAATCAACGTTTTCGTTCTCATTCAGTTTATCACAATTCTTCACAGGAGGCCAGGGGTGGAAAATGTAAAATGGAGAATGGTAGGGTAAGGTAGAGGTGGTAGTGGTGTTGTGGAGGATAGTTGAACACAAGGGGGAATATTCCAGAAAGAAAAAAGGGAAAAAAAATAGACACAACGCAGCTTCCCAGAGGAGCTCGGAGTATCATAAAAATGAAAGGTGAAAAAAAGAATAAAAGGGTGGGAAAAATGGCCGGTCAAAGATTTCACAGGTGAAAAGATACGTGATATATGACATATATCCTGGGAGGGGATGATGAACAATGAAATGAAGTTTTGTGCAGTCTGGCTTGTTTCTGTCAGCTCCAGCCAGATATCCCTGTGAGTATCCCAAGAGTCTCACAGGTACACTGGCACGGGAGACGCCTGGGGGCGCCAACCTGTCAAGGAATTGGCAAAGGAAGCATGACGAGGCCAATCAGCCAGTCTATCCGTCTTGATAACTTGAATCGAACGTCTAGTTCCAGCCCAGCGAGTTCTCAGCCATGACGGGAGCACTGATCATCTGGGAGCGGCCGGTGCGCTGGCTACCAGACATACGGGCACCAGCAGCAAACAGAGAGCCAGCGCCGGAGCCCTGGCTCATCTGCTCGGCAGTGGAGCTGGAACGCTGGTGCAGCTGCTTTCTCTTGCGGTAACGGCGGGCAACCCAGAACATACCGGCACCGTAGGCGGCGGCACCAGCGCAGACACCGACACCGATGCCGACGGAGCTGGCCTTGGCCTTGGAGCTGCTGGAGGAGCCAGCGTCACCGTTGTTGTTGCCGTTGCCGCCATTGTTGTTGCCGTTGCCGTTGTCGTTGCCGTTGAAGCCGGAGGTCGAATCCGAGTCGCCAGTGGGGAAGTTACCGTTGAACTCGATGGGGATGGACGGGTCAATCATGCTCATGATGGTCTTGGCGGCCTCGTTCTGCTGTTGGTACAGAGCAGAGTTGGGGTTGAGCTTCAGGCTCTTCAGGGCATCAACCTTGTCACGGGGGAAGTAGAAGATGGCGAGGGTGGCGTTGTAGCCAGTGGTCTTCCAGGAGTAGTAAGGCTCCAGGGCGAACATGGACATCTCATCGGCACCGGAAACAGCACCCTTCACAGCCTGGGGAATGTACTCGAAGATCTGAGACGAAGAGAGCGGGGTGGTGGCAACGAAAGACCAGGGCAGGTGGCTGTCGAATCCAAGCTGGAGCAGAATTCCATCGGCAGGAGCCTCAGAGCCAGCGTTGGATGGAGTGATTGAGCCAGGGAGCGAGGTCGGGCCGCTGGTTTGCTGAGTGTTGGTACCAGTGTGGGTGTTGGTCTCAGAGGGAACAACGGTAGGCTGAACAAGAATGGTCGACGGCATCCAGTTGCTAGTCTCAGACTCAGTCGGGGTCTCGGTAGGCTTGGGCTTGGGCTGGACAGTCTCGGTAGGGGTGGTCTCAGTAACAGGGGTGGGAGTAGCAGTGGAAGTAGGCACGGCAGAGTTGGTCTCGTGAGCACCGCCAGTAGGAGTAGGGACGCCCGAGGCAGAGCCAGTAGGCTTTCCAGACTCGGAGCCAGAGCCGGTGCCAGGCTGGTGAGGAGTGGGAACAGGGCCCATCGAGTTGGACACACCAGGAGTGTTGCTACCGCTGCCAGTGCTACCGGTGCCAGTGGGGACCACACTACCGCTGGGACCAGCGGATGGAGGGTGAGGGATGAGACCACCGGAGGGGGTGGGAATGGCGGGAAGGCCACTGGTAAGGCTGTCGGTAGAATTGGTTCCATTGCCACCACCATTGAGGAGGCCGGTGATGCCAGAAGCGACAGGGCTCACAATGGATCCGAGGAGATCACCACCTGAAGTAGTGGCAGAGTCCGTAGGGGAAGCACTTGGGGAGGCAGTGGCGGAGGCAGGGACGCTGGCGGGGAGAGTCGTGGGGGAGGAAGTAGTACCGCCAAGGCCATCAATCCAACTCTGAATCCAGTTCTCGGAGCCAGTGGTGGTGGTAGCAGAGTCGGTGCCCTTCGTACCGCTCGATTTTCCATCAGCACTCTTGAGGGATGAAGCAGTGCCATTAGTAGCAGCACCAGTACCAGCAGCTGCGGAAGAAGAGGTCTTGGTGGAACCAGTAGCACCATCAACAAGGGAGTCGACTCCGCTAACAACAGTGTTCACTCCAGAGCCGACCCCGCTAACAACAGAGTTCACACCGCCAAGGGCGCCAGAAACGATGTCTCCGAGACCGCCGGAGCTGGAAGTGGTAGCACTCGCCGAGGCGGACTTGATAGCAGTGGCAGAGTCGGTGTTGGCGCTGGCGGCTGTGGCCGAGTCCTTGCTAGCGGCGGAGTCAGTGTTGGTATCGGAAGCCTTGTTGCTGTGATTGGTGTTAGCAACAGGAGTCTCGCTCTTGGTGGTCACGGTGGACGCAGTGGTGGTTGTCGGAGCGGCGACATCACGGGTGATGGTGCTGGTGACACGGGTTCCATCGGGGTTCTCAGTGATCACGACAACGATCTCCTTGCCAGACTGGGTGGCAGACTGGGTGGGGGTCGCAGTTTCGGAAGTGGTGGTGTCGGAAGCGCCGTTAGCCACCTTGGAGATGAGCTGGTCGACACCGGCCAAGATTCCTCCATCGTTCGAGTCCTGGGTATCGGCGGCCTTGCGGGTACCATTCTTGATGTTACGCTTCACCTCGCGAGGGAAGTAGAAGCGCGGGCGTTCGACATTGGTGATCTCTGGTTGTTCCACAGCACTGTTGTCGGATTCCTGGGAAGCGACCACTCCAAGGGCGCAGGCCGCGAGGAGAGAAAGAGTTCCGGGGCGCATATTAATCGTCGGATCTGTGTTGGCAGTTCAGATGATAGAGCGTCCGGTCCGGAGAGGGTACAGTACGAGATCGGATGGTCTCGTCTGTCAACACCTCAGGTGTGCGCGTAAAGTAACGATTCGAATGGATCGATGGTTCCTGATGGAGTTGATAGGGAGTTGAGAGGATGTTGGGACACAGTCTCGACACCTTCAACTTTCAAGCTTGTTCCTTTGGAAACTGGACGTCTCGAGGGCAACGGGATGCGAGTGAAACACAACCGAGTCAATGGCAATCGATCTAGACGGACAAACGAATGGAAGGGGGATCGTAACTGAGACGAGCCGGGAAAAAAACGACGAAGAAGCGAGTGTGGGCTTGAACAGCAGTAAGGAGCGAGTGGACGGCCCTGAGGCGGAGCGAGTTGAAAGAGAATCGAAAACGAAAACAAGCGAAGAGCGCGACCGTGGGATAAGCAAGGGGAGATCTCAAATTGGCTGAGTCCCAGGTCAAAGGCGCCAAAAGTCGTTGACGCAGCAAAGAGAGCGAAAGGAATGAATTAAGGTGAATAATGAAGAGGGAGTGAGGCTTGTTAGGGGGCGAAGGGGAAAATGGGGGAGTTTGCCAAGGTGGAGTGGGACTGGATGTGTGTATTGGTAAGTGACGGTAAATTAGGGGGTGAATATTACCGCCACGCACTAGACAGCAGAGCAACTACGAGTATTATGTGCCTTGCAGTTACTCTAGGTGAGAGTATAGTATAGCATATATTCTACAGAGTACTCTAAATTATTCTATCTTAACTGCATCACTACATACATGTAGCATACTACCTAGTATACCATATAGTGTGTGGTATAGACAGTACTGTATCGGAATATTCCACATGGCAGGTGCTCCCAGGTGCTCCCAGGTGTACTGCACCTCCCTCCCGCTCCTGCAGCACTGGCAGCCAGGGGAGAAAAACAAAGCATGCAGCATACAGAGGAACTACCGAGTATAACAAAGATCCTTCGCTACTGAATTTTCAGTCCGATGGAGCAGATAAGAATGGAGCACTCCGTGCTCCATCCTCCGTCCTCCCCTCCTTACAGTGTAAACACAATCACGATCAGATCAGATCGAGTCCAGTTCAGTCCACCTGGCAGTCCAACCCACTACTTTGCGCGGTAGGTCAACTGCACATCGTAATCAGCCCGCGTCAGGTACTCCCGCACATCCAACACTATGCGTGTCGCCGTGGCAATAGTGGCACTAACCCACCCTCCACGAGCAATACGCAACTATACACGGGCATTTCGTCAAGCCCACTTGGCCCGTTGTGGCGTGGCCTCGTTTTAGTCGCGCTCGCCTGGCCTTTTCGGGTAAGCGATCAACAAAGAGGTCGAATCAGCGTAGCGCCGGTCAATGGCCAAGCTGGTTAGACTTTGAATCGTTCGGGGACAGCCCCTAGGGAGTCTTGGAGTGTGGACACCATCATGGTGGTGGCACTGGCGGGCACTGGCACTGGTAGTGGTACATAGTGGCACTGGCACACTCCGGCACTATCTTGCCCACGAGTCAATAGTCTCGAAATCCTCCGAGACGTCATTTCCGTTCTTGTCCATTGGTCCGCGGCGCCAGGTCAATACATAGTTGGTTGTTGGTTTGTAGGGCTAAAGTACAGTATGTATTATTGATCCTGTGAATAAACTATCTACTCCAAGACTCCACGATTAATTTGCAATTCTCTACCCTGAGCACGTCGAGTCTGTTCTCTGTACGGAGTACATACTCCATAGTTACCATTGATTGCCCGTGGTGTCACAACTTATGCTATAGTACCAGCTACTTCATTTCTAAAAGTCCAATTATATTCGTGCTTTGCGCGAGGTCCTTGTCGATCGAACCCGGTCGGACCTTGAACCTTTATCTGGCTCTCTTTGACTCCCTTTAGTGTAGTATTTGAGTATACCCGTACTCCGTACGAAGGAAAATATACTACTACTAGTACTAGTATCCCACGTGCACGACAGGTCGGAATGAAGGGTCATCACGCTCCCCTCATCGACATAATAGCACCCAACCCCCGTCATCCCGACATTCCTGACGCGTTTCGGAGTGTTGTGGAGAGCCAGCCCTGTGAGGGGTCGGCTATGTAACAGTCTCGCAGATGTTCGCTTCTCTGTTTCAGACTGCCACTCTCCCCACTGGGCGGTGGCTGAGGCATGTTTCTGGTATGAGTGATATTTTCACCGTCAAGGTAGAGATTGCCGCGGCAATAGTATCCACGCGTGGACAACGGTGGTAGATTCTGGAAGCAGTGCCGAATAACCAGTGCTGGACAAAGACGGACAAAGGACAAAGAAGTCGCTGGTGGCCGGGAGTGTTGTTAATTATAGAAACGCGAGTCTGTGCTAAGAATATTCTGCCTTTGTTCAATCTTCATTTATAGAATTTGTACTAGATAGTAGTATATCTTTTCAGTTCCAGATGATCTCAATGGTGTCTAAATATCTACATGCTTGTATACTCATCCCCAGGATTGCTAATGGATGCCCAGGCGTAATGAAATACGTGTATGTAAACATGTTCCGTACCACCGTCTGCCGTAAATAGGATCATCGGGCGTACCAAGGACCGCGCCCGCACTAGGCGTGCGCTAGGCCTGTTCCTGGACCAGCTTCGGCCCCACTGACAGGTCCATGCGCGACAGGTACTTTCAGGTACCTAGTCAGGTGACCCAGAATACCGCCCAACATGATTAGCTCAGCCGGGTTACATCTCAGTGTCATGTGACTCTATGTGACTACACGTGACTGGGTCTGGCCACCATCGAAGAGTCCAGACTTCATCGACTGGGGCAGCTTGCTTTCATCTGCTGGAAAGGTGGGTTTCGGCTTCGCAATGGTCTCCACGGGGTAGGTCTGGCCAGTGTGGATTGTTGGGCAGAAACGTCATTTCTGATGAACTCTGTCAATTTGAAGATTGGTCGAGTTGCAGTGTGCGGCATATATATTTTCGGGCGGTAACCAACTTAAACCCATGAGTCTGCAGTCTGCGTCATCAACCTTGGAATCGGGCGTCAGCGAGCTGATGTTGAGATTTCCGGAGCCAAGAAGAGGAAAGAAAGGCGTATTGGCTGCCCAGGTGTCGAATTCCCGTTTTCGTGAACTGTTAATCTTGCCCAGGTGGACTCGGTTTTCTTTTTTCACTGCGCGGACGGGAGCCAATTAACCGCAACTCTATTCGTAGTAGGGTTGCGGCTGTGGCTGTCGGCGATACTTTCCCACCGGAAAAACTCGAAGTGCAAAAAATCAACTACCACGACTACTGGGAAATAGCAGCATCATGACCGCTGCCGGGTCCCAGTGCTCCAAGTTGGACAACTTGAAATCCTCCAGGGTTACTCGGTGGACACATGATTCCATTTTCAGTTTTGGAGGGCTCCTCAAAATCGACCTCGGGATACGACTCCTGCGCTATTGAGTTGCCGAGCCCCGGGGCTTTTCCTAACGATACTGTTAGACTTACATGCCACAGTTGGTCGATACCTAGTTAACTCCGAGTCTTATAAGGTTTCGAATCTCGTTGGACTTCCAAAGGTTCCGAGGTCCCTCTAAATTCCTCTCCGAGGAGAAAGCATCACGTTGAAACTTTCTCTTTTTCAGGCTCAGCTGCAAGTCTTGCTGGAGATGATTGAACTAGTTGAACACATGGCTGGCGAGTATTTTGTTCGTAGAGGAGCCTGAGGTACCAAAGCACTTGCTTCAGCCTCAGCACAATGACCAATCGTCTCACAGTTCTCCAAACCTTCATGTAAAATGGCTAGCAGACGTGGAAAATAGGCTAGTATATATAGCAAGAAGATCGTCAAGCGCGGACTACTATTTTCAATATAATATAGATCTCTCCAAGGCTGGCAACTGAAAATATGGTATCTCTCCAGTATTTGGTTGAGCTCACCGCCTTGCGGGTGTCAGCTGTCAAGTATAAACCCTAACTGGCAGTATCATATTTTCACGCAAATGTAGATGATCAAGATGAATTATTTGACTAGAGTGTATAATACCTTGCTACAATTATTTTTGCACCCCATTTCAACCATAAATGAGTTCTGTTATGGTTGGTGCAGCGGCTTCACGGATCACCACCCTTGGACCGCGGAGATTTTCGGCCATTTGCTTTAATTTTTCCAATGAACGAAACTGACGGAGATGCTATATTGATTCAAGTTGTCCTTTATTAAACAGAACACATATGGTTCCAAAGAGGATGTCATTCCTGACTCCTGATTGGCCGGAGGCAAAGAGGCATTTCCGATATAGAGGTACTTAATGAATGTGAGTTCACAAAGAAGAGTATATAAAATTGTGATTTTTCACATTATATTAACCGGTTTTTGCCATGTATGATAAATATTACACTATGGAATTCTTCTATGGGGATAAGAGTATCTAGTTGGGGAATCTCCACTTCATCTCGCCGTCGCGCTGAACAAAACTTGCACAACTGAATAAACGAAGAATACGTAAACGCCCAGCAACATCTAAATCCGGATGAATAAATGAACCAGATTATTGTTGTGATCGTGTATTTCACGTTAGTTACCTCTAATAGCCATAGAGCCCAGGCTGCGATGCCCCTCGCACCTGATGCGACAGTACTGACCGTATCGTCGCGTCGCATCGTATCATCGTATCATCAGAGAGGCCTTCCCCCTTCTCTCTCTCAGCATCTTCACACTCTTTTCACTCTTCTCACTCTTACCTTCATCGTTCTTCTTCCCCAAGCCACCCACTCTACTACTCTTAATTTGATCGTGCCTTTTGATTGAATGAACCATGGATTCAAGCAAAGCTGTGCGTCCGCCCCCGGTGCAGGCAACTTCATCGGAGAAGGACACAGCAAGTTCAGATCACAAGCCCCCATCTACCATCGAGTTAAAGCACCACAGTTCTGTCGTGCCTGTCAATGTTAACAATATCCCTGTGGTCTTTTACTAGAACCGCCCGGCCGAAGAATTCATGCCGAGTCGATTCTTCCGCATGGCGCGAGACTGCCGTAAGTCAATCCCGACCGGAAGCCCTCGTACTTCCATCCCATTACGTCTTATCCAATCCTCTTCAGAATCGACGATACATAAGACGAGAATTGGATTTGCCGACCAGATTCCAGCGATTTGGCGCAACCCGCCATTCGTTTTCAGATATTCCAAACGCGCCCGTAGAGGTCGCTGGCCGCGATATGACAGAGCCTTCGATTCTGTGTTCGCATGTCTTAGACAGACTCCTCCCTTCGATAAGGGGATTTGGGAAGGTGGAATCCAGTCTATCGCTGATAAATTGGTGACTGAGTGGCCATATGCACAGGAGTGGGCTATCCATCCATGGATTGCTGGTGCAGATACAGTTGAAACTGGATCTGAACATACGGGATTCAAGAGGCCAGGTAGTATTTTACCCTATGTGAGTGATTTTTTTTGACATGTGAAATACCAGCGAGAGCAGATGTCGGGCTGCGTTTTATCTCAAGATGCTGGCTGTTTCGATCCCATCTCGAAAGGGCAGCCAACCCAGCTAACAACGAGGCATCCAAACAGTTCGCGACTAAATCTATATCTAACGCACAAATCCTTGACCGGAAGCCATCAACAGTACCGTGGCGCTCCTCCCTTCAGCGGGGTTTTTGAGGTCGGGCATAAAGGAATGAACGGCTACGAAACTCTTTCAATCTTCAACTTCTCGTCGGTACGTTAAAATAAATGGCACTCTCAATCCCTTCCACCGAGCCTTGTAACCAGAAGCACTATTTGGATTGAAGAAAAAAAGCTAATTGAGGCATAGATAGTCGAAGAGAACACCCTCGAAGGAACGCTCAAGGGCAAATCCATACAAATCCTCCGTCAACTCCGCCGTCACCTGCATAGTACCAACCCCGGAGAGAAGGTTCCCGACCAAGAGGTCTTCCAGATCGGCATCCATGGGACTAAAATTCATATCATTCGTGCGTTCTTCCCGGGGAAAAGACTCTCCACTGGGAACAGGGAAGTGATGGACAGCCAAATAACAGGCGTGGAGACATCACCCCGCAGAACACAGAGGTTGGTCCCGAGGAGCTTGCGATGCTGGATGAGGAGCTGTATGAAATCGAGGCTGAGACTCATTTTGCAATGAACGAGATCGGATCCCCGGCCCTACCAAACGAAGAAGTTGGGGGTCGGGAGATTGAATGGGGGCTGTTCATCGAGCACGAAGACCTGGATACGGAGCCAGGGAACGAAGTGGAGGTCGATTTAGATGATGATTTATGAGGATGATGAGAACGATGAGGACTATGAGCACAATGATGACAGTGGGAATGATCAGGACGATGAGGAATATGAGGACTGTGAGGACGATGAAGACGATGAGGAATTTGATGAATATGAGGACAGTGAGGATAATGAGGAAATCACTGCGCCAAGCCCAGGAGATGGGTTTTATGATCCTCTATCCTGGAGTTGATTTCGGATTTCGGGTTTCTTTGAGGCTTGACGGAAAGATTGTGTGATTGAAGGGTCCTGTGCTTGAGGAGTTATGTGAATGAAGTAATGTGTGAATGAAGTAATGTGTGGATGAGGTAATGTGTGGATGAGGTAATGTGTCATTGTTGCAGCGAGATGATCTTCATGGAGACAGTCTAATATCTAGCCTTTTGCCCTTTTCGCTCGAAGATACATCGGACATTAAGCCATGGAGGATTTATGCAGATAAAGGAACATACAGAAAAGAAAGCTACGTCAGCTAATCCTAATTAATGATAGCCAGTGTCAGTCCCTTTATCTCAGAAAGGATCGGCAAACTGTAAAAATGAGTCTTCCGGATACACGCCCCCTTGCATAATTTTGGAACTCGGTGATCGAGTAGATGGAGAAGGGTTACGGCGATCATGGTCCAAAATCCATTGATCGAGGGTCATAGGCTACAAGTACGATGAAAGCCTTCGATGGTCGTTGAAATATTGAAGGTAAGTAGAACCTGATCTCTTAACAAGGGCTCATCTTCATATTCAGCGTTCCATCGTCAACCCGGCTTAATCTTGTCCTGTGAATGTCAATCTAAAACTATTTTATTGAAACATATGAGGACCACAGCCTCGAATTGCCGCCTGGGCATGTTTCAGCGTAGGAAAAAAAAAATTCATAACCACAGTCCTTTGGACTCTTCAGATGTCAATTTTAAGTATTAAACCTGACGAGACTATTTGCACAACCTTTTCCCTGTTTCCCATCAAATACAATTCACATTAATTTATCTATTTCATATCCACAACGCAACGAATACAGCCTCCCTCCTTCATCAGAGCAAAAGCCTCGTTGAGGCGTTCGATCGGCAGACGGTGAGTGATGAATTCATCCACCTTTAGCTGACCATTAAGATAGTCATCAACAAGGCTTGGTAGCTGTGTACGGCCCTTCACGCCACCAAAGGCGCAGCCTCGCCAAGTTCGGCCAGTAACGAGTTGGAAAGCTGTAAAATCCTTAGAAAGGGTCTACAAAAGTTCGAAAGGGAGACTTACGTCGTGTGGTGATTTCTTGGCCAGCAGCCGCAACACCAATAACGATGCTCTCACCCCATCCCTTATGACAGGCTTCGAGGGCAGTTCGCATCACAGTGACATTACCAGTACAATCAAAAGTATAGTCACACCCTCCATCCGTAATATCCACCAAATGCTCTTGGAGAAGCTTGTTTCGCGGCACCTTTGTGGGATTGATGAACTCCGTAGCTCCGAATTTTCGCGCCCAAGACTCCTTTCCATCGTTCAGATCGATCGCAATGATTCTGCTTGCCTTTTGCCTAACGGCACCTTGAATGATTGATAATCCAACACAGCCTACGCCAAAGACAGCTATCGTAGAGCCTTCCTCGACCTTGGCGGAGAAAACTGCTGCACCGTATCCGGTAGTGATTCCGCAGCCGAGAAGGCAAGACCGGTCGGTTCCAATTCGATCGGTGACAGCAACGACGGAAATATCTGCCAGAACGGTGTATTGGGAGAATGTTGAGCAGCCCATGAAGTGTAGGATATCCTTGCCGCGTGCTCGGAAACGCGATGTTCCATCGGGCATCACACCTTTGCCTTGGGTATCACGGATCTTTCCGCACAGATTTGTCTTTCCAGATCGGCAAAATTTGCATTCGCCGCATTCGGGGGTGCTATTATGATCAGCATATAAGGCGACAAATATTGTCGAACGTCTGTGTTGACTCACTATAGTGCGATGACAAAATCTCCAGGCTTCACGTTAGTCACTCCGGCTCCAACAGATTCCACAATACCAGCCCCCTCGTGGCCGAGAATGGAGGGAAATGCGCCTTCCGGGTCTGCGCCAGAGAGTGTATATTGGTCTAGTAGTACATTTAGTAAGCTTCATTCGGTTTCTGTGTGGGCGATAATACCTGTGTGACACACTCCAGTGTGCAGGACTTTCATGCGCACTTCGTGTGCTTTTGGTGGCGCCACTTCCACATCTTCCAAGGATAGAGGCTCCTTTGCATTCCAAGCAATTGCTGCCTTTTTTTGATGCGATCAGTATACCTCATGCTCGCTCATCTTTCTCCGTGAAATCGATGTCGATTGTGCCGCATCCTTTCGTACCTTGCAAGTAATTGTCTATTTCCTGCAAGTTAGCTACCAATGGACGGAATTAAGAGACGTAATGAAAAGTCGTGACATACCTTTCCGACTGTGCTCGCCATGATAATAATTTTGCGCTGTCTATGATCGGAATCGAGGGCTACTATTCACAAATTCAGGTTCGAATTGACAAAAAGCCACCAAAATATTGGACATATGAAAAAGACAAAATTCTCAATGTGCATGATTTTTTTCCGGGATCTGTTGACAGGTGTTTCTGAGTGGGGAGAATCCCCCGCATGTGAGGGGATATTTGGAGGGAGCGGGGAATGAGGAGTATCACGCAAGTTCGCCGCGGATACATGTCCGTTTTGTCCCGTCCCTCGATCTTTTCGGCATGCTTTCCCGTTATCAATCATTTCTGATAGTGATATCAACGGAAGATTGAACCGAAGTGGGTTAGGTAATCCTGGCTTCAGCTTCTTCGTCTCCCACATGTCGCAATTCTAAGGTCGTATTTCAGTTGTGATCAACAGCTCACACTGGCTTACTCCAAATGGGACGCGATCAGTCTTTCCACTTTGCATTCTTTCTTTTAACGGGCCATTACTTAATGCTCTCTTTCTCTGAAGGATAAGCGGGAGATCAGTTCGGATTAATCGATCCAGATTTTGTTGACTGCGTTGCCAGAGCGGCTTCGAAGCTTAGAACCAGGGGAGTAACTTCCTCTTAATTGTATTTGAGAAATAGCGAAAATGAGAATAAAATATGATCTCGTTCTTCGTCTAAATCTCTATGCACAGCACAGATATGATGGGGATATAGGTATATCACAAGAATGAAAAAGAACCAGGCGCCGACATCTGTATTCCCCCTCAACAAAATAAACCAAAGGTATACAAGGTATACCAGGGAAGAATCATAAAAAGTCTTAAGGCCAGCTCGTGATCAGGAAAATAGATGGGATGGAGTCAAGGCCAGACCATCAAGAATAACCGATCATGTCTAATGGCTCAGTTGATAGTCCGCTTGTCTCACCGATGACGCCTATCGGACTCAAATACGGTGAACCCGTCAATGCCATATCCGTCTTTTCCGCCTGTGCGGAAGTACTCAGTCACCACTCCAAAGGCATAGCACGATGCACCGACAATGGTACCGGTGATGAAAATTCGGCGAACTGCTTTGGAAAATGTGGACCGGGCTTTTGGTTTCGGGTTTGTAGAGGATCCAGAAGCCTGCGATTCCTCCGCACGAGTGTGCTTATTGGCGTTCGGCTTTGACTTTGACTTTGAAGAAGGCTATGTCGACCCGATGAGTTACTACGATCCGGGCGAGGAGTTTTACTGCCAACTCACCTTAGAGGTGGAAGGGCGAGAGGAGGACTCCGATGAATTGTAGGAGTCATGGTGGATGGACTTCGCAATGTCGGCATGGATATCTTCCTGTCGCGCAGCGACTTCAGGGGACATGATTGGGTTGACTGAGCCGTTGGAGGATTTCCTGAAGACGATGATGTCACCGCCACCTGTGGCTATCTCATATCCGTCTTGTTGCATTTGTTCGAAGTAGGGTACGAATTTCGCGGGGTTGTGAAGGCGGGAGAGAACCTCGTGCGGTGCTACGGGCTCATTGGCACCGAAGAATGAGTCTGCCTCGGAGCTGGCAACCTTTGAAGCGGCGGCATCGTAGGCTAGGATACGGAAGGGGGCGGATCCAGTGTTCGCAGCCTTGGGGTTCAATGCTAGGAAATCACCGACACGGTCTTCGACACCGTCGTATTGGACATCTGAGATGCGGCCAGCTCGAATGTCGCTGGCTTGCAGTGGGCTCACATTCTCGACTTTGCCATATGCTCCAGTAGCGGCGGCCTCGGAAGCGAACATCGCCTCTAACTCGTTTCCAGGGGCACAATCCATGGTGAGAGGAGCCTTCTGGGTGCTCCTCGAATCGGCGAGTTTAGCTGGGCGGGTTATTGTCTCAGCAGAGGCGGGATCCGCAGTGAACAGTGCTTCCAGCTCACTACCAGGTGCGTAGTCAATGCTTTCAGTGCGATCAACACTCGGGGTAGGTCGCTCCGGGGCTTGAGAGAGGTTGATGCCAGACTCGGCAACCATCTTTGCCTCAACCTCACTTCCAGGGGCACAATCAATGTTTGGTACATCGGTGGGGGCGGTGTAGTGCTCTCCCAGGCTGAGCTGGGTAGCAAATTTCGCTTCCAGCTCACCTCCAGGGGGGCAGTCAACAGACACAGTGGTGTGAGTTTCGCTTGACTCGGGGTTAAATGCATTCAAAGGGCGGCTTCGGTCCTCGCGAGCGGCGGGGTTGGAGGAAAACATGGCCTCGAGCTCGCTGCCGGGGGCACATTCGACATTTCCACTGGTGTTTAAGCCTGCATCGGGCCTATAATGTTTGGCACTTTTCTTGACGTTGAAAGTCTCGGCATGTGGTTGCTCTGTGTGTATCGACTCGGAGATAAAAAGCGCTTCTAACTCACTGCCTGGAGCACAGGAAATGTTAACATTGGGTTTTTGAGTGGACTCTTCGCCATGCTTCACACCGGTAACCTTGGCATCCTTAAGGGCGGCTGGATCGGTCTTGTAGAGGGCGTCTAGTTCAGAGCCAGGCGGACAGTCGATGGTCTGGGAATGGGCAATGGCCGAGGTCTTGCGGAACTTGCTATCCTCGGGAACAGCAGGGATTGAAGTGAATTTTGCCTCAACTTCGCTGCCGGGAGGACAGTCCACAGAGGCTTTAGTACCTTTGATTTTGGATTCGACGGGGGGTGCTGGCACCATGCGGCCACTAATCGGGTCATATTGAAGGGCATCTGGGTTTCCAAGAGAGCTGGACGAGGGGGAACGAGTGAAGTTGAAGTCTTGGAGGTGTGCTTTGGAGGGTTCAGCGTACGCAGGCTTCTCGTTGACGAAAGTCCAAAGAAAGCTCGGCCAGCGAGCATTGTTCTGTTCCATGTAGGAGGCGCCCAGTTTACGTCCAAAAAGTGCATCGTAGGGGTCATCCGAGGCGAGCTTTTTCATCGAGGATATTTGCCGAGCCATCTGCTCATTCTCAGCATCCCAAAAGGTCGTCTCTCGACCAGATGAGAGTTCAGAAAAGCTGGAACGCGAGCGACGCCAGCTTCCAAGCGTCCACCCGGCGATGCGGTGGCTCGTGGCAGGCCAGTCTTCACGAGCTTCTGCCTTACGGCAACAGTTGGCTTCGGGATGACGATGGTACTTGTCGATACGGCGGGAAATTCGCTCAAACTTGTCTTTGTTTCCGGTATGGTAGCTACGGGCACAGCCCAAGATGCTTCGACTGTGAGTGGTGCGTGAGGCCACTAGTTGAGAGAGGGCAGGGCGTGTAACGCCAACCCCGGCAGCGCGGGGTATCGTTATGGAGGAGCTCATGGCAGAGGTTGATTGGGATGGGGTAAGGGATAATCTGATTGTATTCTTGATATATCCGGCAATCGAAAATAGTGAGTAGTTCGAATCACAAGATAATTCGCGTGGGGATCGAGAGGACACTAAGGCAGTCGATCATATCCACCCGAAATCACGAAGAGGAAGCGAATTGCGGGGAAGTGGGCACCAGGTCCACTTGGGCGCAATCGCCGATATATACTCGTACTGTGTGAAGCGTTTGATTCTCTGAAAATGCAAATGCAAAACAGAATGAAACATAAAATTAATGGGAGACAGCAGTTCAAGTAACTCCCTGGCTGAATGCCTCAAGGAGGAGAGTCTTCCGGCTGTGGTGGAGACCCGACAAGGGCACACACGGGGTTGACCAATCACAGCGCAAACCCCGCAGCCCTGTGGTGCGTATGTAAGCAGAGCACAAGCCAATTTGGAGTGTGACGTCACAGTATCACCCCGGGTTGCGGACTGTGATTCGTCGCCTGCAGAGTTTCTGCTCCCTTTGGACCAGACTGGCACGCTAGCGTGGAATCCATCGTCATCGCCCAATGCCTTCACGCTGCACCCGGCGGATCCCCTCTCTTTTGGGGTTAGCTTCGTTGATCGATGATGTCGGATGCTGCCGGCACTAAGCAACTAAGCCTAGATCCTAGTTACTAGGAATGACGATGTAATTGCCCCAGAACCGGAGCCCTTCGATGCCTTCCTCCCGACAGAGTACGCCTCGGTCCTCTGCCATCTCTAATTCCTCCGTAGCCACGCCGACACTCCATTTAAAGCGCTGCGCCGTCTCCTGCGCCGTCACGGCCCGACCGAAGATCAGCCAGTCCCATGGTACCGGTTCTTCTGGTGGAATTTGACGCAATTCTTCCATCCATTCCTGCAATTGCCGTACCGTCTTATCATCGCTCCAGTCATATCTCTGAACCACCAGCAGTCCACTCTTGAACCGGCGCAGGCGAACCGGGAGCTTCAACTTCTCCCAAAGTTCCGCCGCTCGCTGGAAATCAGACGGACTGACAAGCTCAACACCATTTCTAGACCGGTTGAATACCGCCCAGAGATCGATCAAGCTCATAATTCCTCCTTCCCGCTGTAGAATGCCTTGGCGGTCATCCGTTAGATACTCTGCTAGGTTGCGTGATAACTCCGAGAGATAGAGTGTCTCGGAACCTGAACTCAGCATATCCTTCGTAGTTACCATCCCGAGGGCTGCCACGGACTCAGATAACACAGCATTAGTCTCCGCGGAGCCTTCATTCGTAGCCATTCCGGATTCTCGCGCCAAGGTCTCTGCGAGTGCAACAATTTGCTTAGCTGATGCCATCAATGCCTCCAAATCCTCAAACGCATTGCCAATCACCAACTGGTTGTTCATGCGAGCCTCTAGCCCTCGTTGCTCGAGGCCTGCGATGCCTACAGCTGAGACACGGGGGGCTGCGGGCTGCGGGCTCTCGAGGGCTGTGGCAGCGGGAGTACCTGGTGACGAGGTGACCTGCGCCGGGGGAGGTACCGGAGGGGCGTTCTGGAGCAGCCATTTCCTTTGCACCAGGGCATCCTTAAGTCTTTCGTGAAAAGTCTTTTCGCCGCCATCCCGAAACGATAATTTGATACTCTCGCTCACTTCTGTGTTGACTATCCGTGCTTGCTGGAAGAATGGAGCCGGCGAATCTGCACGGCTTCCCCCACTGTCCAGCTGTGAAGCAGCACCTTTTGGCATTAATGGTGCCCCACATATCTCACACTCGATCAGTGATGGGTGGTTGACAAAGGTGCATCGAGGGCAGGATACCGATCCAGCGGTAGTCGCGTCGCGTCTCCCTTTGCTGGTAAGCGTACTATCCTCTGGTGCCAATGAGCTAGCATCGGGTAAGGGGGGATCTCGATTAGCCGCAGCCGTGATCGCTGCTTTCAATATCGTTGTAAAGGGCGGTTTGATACCGCATGCGAGACACGGCGGTAGGTTGGTCGTAGCCGTCGCCGTCGCCGGGTCAAAGTTGGAGGGAACAGGATTGGAGAAGGTGCATATCGGGCAAATCCAAGTCGCATTGATTGGCTTTGGTGAGGGTGACTTTGATGGGCCCGTGTGGGGGAGTGGATGAAGAGTCGATTGCTGAGGGATAGCGGGGCTGGATGTTGTGCTTCTAGACTTGTCGTTCTTGGTATTCTGTGGCTTAGGGTAGATGGTAACTTTAGGCGACGAGGTTAAGAATCGAGCCTGGTAACAAAGTTGGGTTAGCTGCAGTGTCTTCCCCCTCCCCCTCCCCCGCATCCTGGGAACGAGAGCTTCCCACCTGGTATTCTGCCCGGTCAATTTCCTTTAAATCAATTCCAACACAATATTTGCGTGGATCCTCTGTCGCAACGTAGCATACTCGGTGGGAGGTTAAGTAGGCGTGGCCATTTTGATAGTTGGGGATCTTATATTTCCTATTCCTTTATATTAGTAGATGTCGGGGCATAACATTGGATCCGATGCCAAGCATGGTATTTCACTCACCCCTCGTATAACCCGACCGCATCCTGTACAAAGAGAAGAGTCTCGTCAGGTAATAGCAAAGGGCGTAGTGCCGTGGTCAGGTCCAGAGACTTGAAGAACATCTAGCAGGTTCGTGCATCACGCAGCTTCCCAAAGGGACCGGGGCCAGCATAAGGTGGCCCGGGACGGCCTGCATGCCACGATAAGGCGATAACAACGGAATGTCGGGGAAATAGAAAGTCCGGGGAGTAAGCGAAGGGAAGTTCCCAGACACACTCTGGAGGCAGGCGCGACGCAGGACAACGCAGACTCGCAGTTTCCCACACTTGCTCCTGCTCTTGCTGTCACTGTTGCTGCATTTACAACTCCTCCTCCTCTTCTGCTTCAACTTCTCCTCTACATCTCCCACCCATCGTAGCCCTCTTCTCTATCTTTCTTCTTTTCTCTCCATCTTTTTTTTTGCCACTTCCGCCCTGTCATCTTCACCCTTCCCTTTAGACATCATCCGCCATGAACTCGAGTGTCCCATGGCGGGAATCCCGCTGGCCAGCTCCAGCACCCTCTGCTGCGCCTGTCCCTTTTCCAACTGGTAAGCCCTCTCCCGCGGTTGAACCCCTTTCAGTTCCGGCTCCAGTTCGAGTTCCAGTCGATTCTTTGTTCTGCGCTAACGGTTTGACTCCAGCGACCCCTGCCTGTATCCCAGTACAAGCACGCCGTAGTCTGGCACATAACAAAGCAACCCAGCCTGCCACAAATGGATACCCTCCCCAACCCGCCATGCCATCTACCGAGTCGGATCCGCGACCTCGAATGGAGTTTCCACCGGCTGTCCGCAGCTACGTACAACGGTGTTTTGCCCCCGAGAACCAGGTCGCCAGCGTCGACACCAAGGAGATGCAAGAAAAACTCCGCTTTGTCATCACCGACGCCGCTGAAAACCACAAACTGGAGATGATAGACTGGGAGCGTCTCGCTCTGCCGCAAGTCATGATCCAGAATGAACGCAATAAGATCCTGGCCAACCCGAGTGTCTCCCACTGGGGCATGTCCAGTCAACCATCCTCCCCAGGGGATGCTTCGCGCAAGCGAAAGTCGACCGATATCCATCAAACCGAGAACTCCCCACCATGGAGAAAAGCTAACAATAATCGCAATCGTTTTGAAGACAGAGTCACTCACCCTTCCACAGAGAAGCGCCCCCGCATGACCACAGATGACTCGAGTAAGTCAAAAGCTAATTTGGAGATGAGGAGGAAGCGTTTTGAAGGTGCCGGCGCCACCTACGGAAATTCGGGCACCTCTTCCCTGTCGACTCTCCGGCGCGCAGTGAACCCGACCAAGGACCCGTGATTGGCCGATGCCAGAAATTGGAGAAGAACTACTTCCGCTTAACATCTGCCCCGAACCCGGATACTGTTCGCCCACTGCCCGTTCTCCGAAAGGCCTTGGATCTTCTAAAGAAGAAATGGAAGCAAGAGAGCAACTACACCTACATCTGTGATCAGTTCAAATCCCTTCGCCAGGATCTGACGGTCCAGCACATCCGGACCGACTTCACAGTGACCGTATATGAGATTCACGCACGTATCGCCTTGGAGAAAGGGGATCTTGGTGAGTATAATCAGTGCCAGACCCAACTCCGGGTACTTTACGCGCAATCGCTAGGCGGGAATCCGACGGAGTTCAAGGCGTATCGTATTCTCTATTTCATTTACACCCGCAACTGGACGGCCATGAACGATGCTCTAGCCGACGTGACTGCTGCAGACAAGAAGAACGAGGCTGTTAAGCACGCCCTCGATGTGCGCTCCGCGTTGGCACTCGGCAACTACCATCGCTTCTTCCAGTTGTACCTGGAGACGCCCAACATGGGTGCCTATCTCATGGACATGTTTGTCGACCGCGAGCGCTTGTCTGCCCTGGCCGCCATGTGCAAAGCGTAAGTCTTTCGTCTCAAACCTTTCAAAAGGCTATTTTCTAACAGAATCATAGGTACAAACCCGATGTGAACATCCGTTTCATTACGGAGGAACTCGGCTTCGAGTCGGATGAGCAGACAGCCCGTTTCGTCTTGGAACATGCCCCGGCAGAACTCCTCGAAGAGCGAAACGGGTCCGTCAGACTCTTGACCGGCAAGGCCGGGCTCGTCTTCGAACAAGCCAAATCCGAAGCGCACCGCGTCGTCGACATCAAAGGACAAATCTAACCTGGACCCCTCTCAGTCCGCTTATTCCTTCTGTCCCGGAAAACAGTTTTCAATTAATTACCCCTAGGCTGGTCCCTGGATCCCGTCTACTCTGCGCCACTACCCTGCTACTACCTCGCCTTGGTAGATTCGGCCCTTTTTCAACCCTATTTCCACCTCTAGCGACAGGCGTTTGGTCGACCAAAATTTCTTTTCCACGTCATATCACCCGGAGTTACGTTGCGTTAGCACTTGGTCTCCTTTTTCTTCTTTTATTCCCGTTCATCCCCCGGTCCTATTTGTGTTTTGAAGCACGGTACAACATACTAGTTGCAGCCAGCGCTACAAGAACCAGCACGACTGATCGTCGAGGTACTGTTGCGCTGTGCTGGTTGTATTGGTGCGACGGTGTCGCTGGCGCACCTCAGTAGATATTTACCCATCTTGAGTACATTTAAGCAATGCAATTCTTTGTCAGTGTTTTATTTCCACAGTACTAGTATTATGGGACGAGCAATTATGATCTTAATCTTCAAGTTGAGACTCCTTATTCGATCTACCTAGCAATTGGCGAGTCTAATAGTATTATATCTTTGCCTTCTCTCCTCATAAGACAAGCTGAGTTCACAGGTTGCAAGAAATACATCTCAAGCGCCTTGCTGAGAGTCTCATCATCCGGGGCTTGGTATAGGGGACTTCCATCAGTGATCCTGTTACTTCGATAACCCAGTTCGAAACCACTCCAGTCCCCTGCCCAGTCTTGGTTTGCCTGGTTTCTCGTTCAATACGCACATGGCACTCTATCCACTTATCCCTACCGAACTTAATATGGGGAGGTTCGAAGGTACAGTTATCTGGCACAAGGCACAATGTTGGCAAACTCGCGACACACTCGACAACTTGAATTATTGGTGTAAAGCTTGGTACTTTCGATCAGTTTTACCCTGTTTCTTATCTCGGTGGCTTGTATGTATTCTGGTCAGCCATGGAGGTCTCATGGTATAGGCGTAGGGATTATCTTTATCCCTCCGACCTTACTAACCTGATGCACCAAGCTGTCCGCTGCTGGGGTTGATGAGACCGTTTGCTTCCATGTTTGTCTTGTGAATTATATGCCTATAGAAGACTTGGAGTCTTTTTTGTAAAAGAATTTCTGTAGAAGTATCTCTGCAGACGTATCTCTGTAGAAGTGGAGGTATTACTGAGGAAATGGAAGGAAGGAAGTATTCCTTTATTCTCTGCCTTTCTAGCTTCAAGTTGAAAGGATTCAGATTTTGCCCTCATGATGTCAGGCTTTACAAAGAATTAGGTTGGTGACAAAGAATTGGCGGGATCTTCCTTTGTACTGTAACTACAGCTGAGCATACAATACGGAAACTGCGCTCTGCGCTGCCCATGGCATTCCTTTCTGCGGCTGGGTTGGTCTATACCCACAGTGTTGACAACTCGGTGTGGAAGGAAGTCTGGGAATGGCTCGATCAGCGGATGCAGTTTGGGTAGCGCCTGCGTATCACTGAGCTTGGTGCTTCAAGTTCGCTTGGCGAAGCGCAGAACCATACCAGTACCTGGAAAGGTCATGGCCAGTCTTGATACTAGTTAATATGATTTAATTTCAAGCCTGGTGTATTGGAGAACAATTTTATTATAACATGAGTAATTCAATTCTTGTCCGTATTTCATTTCCAGCATTGTGGAGTAAGAAGTGGCGATGTTAATTTGCGGTTTGTGTGATCTTTTGCCTCCATGTTTGTCTTGCGAAGTGTGCTGTAGAAGGGAGGTATGCTGGTAGGAGAGTTATGAGTTGGTGGAATAGAAGAAAGAAAAGTATCGCTATCTTTCTACTTTTATAACTTGAAAAGACTCGGAATCTGCCGTTAATGCTCCCTCGTTATGCCAGGCTTTGCAAACGCCTTGACCTCGACAAATAGAAATTTGGCGTGTTTGATATTCATTGGCGGCACTTCCTTGTATTGTACCTGCGGCTGCAGCGAAGCGCGGCACATACATGCATATCGGTGCCTGGAAATGCAGAGGCCAGTCTTGATACCGATTAATCATACGTAACGTACTCCAAACATGTTTCAACGATACTAGCCAAGAAAAGTCGCTTGATTTCCGGTCTAGTATCTTGGAGAATAACTCTATTACAACGTGAGTCTATCAATATGTTGTAAATACTATCGAAGCGAGATCGAAGAGATGGACCCTTCATTTCCTGCTGCGCTAGATTTTGCAGCTACTAGTACTGAAAAGGATTATCCCCTTGTGCATATTTGGGTGCGGTCGGAATAGACCGAGTAATTGTTCCAGGTGCACCCCGAGTCGTCATTAATCATGATTTCAAATATTGAAGAAAATGTCGAGGTTTTGGCAATCGCGTTATATTATGGCTCTTTTGTCATTCTGGACACAGCCTGGCAGGCACGTTGAAATCATCCATTTTCATCATTTTCAATCCTTCAAATCAGGCACCTAAATATTAATGATGGCAGTGACCATAAATCGGACGTTATTGATTTGAGATAATTAATCCACTAATAAACTTTAGGCTAGTACACTTACCCAAAGAGGAGAATGATACCCAAATGCGGCCAGGAGACTAAGGCACCAACTCCGATCTCACTGAGAAACGGGTGGCTGAGCCTCGTTGCTTATACCCAAGGTTTACCATGGCTGCAGATCGGGAGTATACTTCCCCTGGACTGATCACAATGCACGAAGAATAAGCGCTAGCAGAGATGTTCTCTTGAACCAGGCTGAAGAAAATATTATTTAAGAGTATGAGTTGCACCTAGTTAAATAGAAAAAAAAGGAATCAATCCAATCCAATCACTCACCACCATGCCACGACTTTTCTCAAGGACCTTTGTTGGTCTCCTCGCATTATACAGTCTATCCCTCACAACTATAGCTACACCAACAGCAACAGAAACCCCCTCCCCCCTCCTCGACCTCATCATCAAAATCCCTACCAATTCTCTCCCCAGTGCACCATGCCAAAACCCCCACCCTCTCAATTGAATACTTCGACTCAGACCCAAACAACGCCACCGCCCCAGTTGCCATTCTGATCCACGGCTTCCCATACTCAATCGACACCTACATCGACGTAGTCCCAGGCCTAGTAGACGAAGGCTACCGCGTAATCGTACCCTCACTCCGCGGCTTCGGCGGCACAACCTTCCTCTCACCAAGCACACCACGCAGCGCCGAACAAGCCGCCCTAGGCAAAGACGTAATCGACCTAATGGACGCGCTACACATCGAAAAAGCCATCTTCGCCGGTTACGACTGGGGCACCGTCGTCGTCAACGTCGCCGCCGCACTCTGGCCACACCGCTGCACCGGCATGGTCGCAGCAAACTCCTACCTAATCCAAAACCGCGAGACAGCCTGGTCCGTCGCGCCGGCTACCTCGTTCCCAGTGAAATGGTACTATTACGTCTTCCTCACGCCATTCGGATACAGTTCGCTGGCAAACGACACGAAGGGCTGGGCGGAGATTCTGTGGTCGAGAAATAGTCCCAATTGGACATTTACAGAGGCTACACTTGATGCTGCGGCGCAAGCATTACGGAATCCAGATTATGTCGACATTGCAACGGACTTTTATCGGAATCGGTTGCTTTATTCGAAGGGGGATCCGGCTTATGCGGATTTAGCGGCCAAATTGGATAGTCAGCCTGTTATTGTGGTTCCGGCTGTTACGCTGGATCCGGATCAGGCTGTTGTTTTTCCGGCGACGGATGGGAGTGCGACGGCGAAGTATTTTGCTGGGAAGAGGGTGCATCGGATTGTTGAGGGGTGTGGGGAGGCGATTCCTTTGGAGAAACCGCGGGTTTTTGTGGATTCTATTTTAGAGGTTGCAGGGTTGAGTGGGAAGTAGATGGGATTTTGAACTTGAAGTTATGCATTTATTCAGTACCTGGGCACGGAGTGGGTAGAATAGTGGCATTTAATATGAGATTTGCATAACCTCGTCCATGCTTTTAGATAGTAGCACTATTAGTGGACTCGAAGCATATGCCTGACGCGGCTCAGCCCTATATTTAGTTAACTTGAACTCCATACTCGTACTCCATACTGCCAGCGCTGAAGAAGTCCAAGCTCCTAGACAAGTCGAATTCGAAGATATACCAAGTCTAGACCTAAGACCACCACATCCCCACCCGCGGTGGAGCAGCCGCGGTCCACCCCAAATTGCTGCCCGATCTTCGAGGCCCTCGCCACCCAACCCAACCAGTGCACCCAAATTACAGAGTATGTACATACTGTACTCTGTAAAATCACCACGGTTGAAGTTCACGGAGTCCGCCGCTGAACAACTACCGTGTGACCGGGGTTCCTGGGGTTTTCCCTCAGTTGCATCCGCCACAGTACCATTCTCCAATCCAAATCCAAGGACTCGCCCCCGCCACGGTGGGTCGCAGCGCGTGGCAGCCGTGGGTGGAAATGGGTCCGACAAGATCTCACTGGTCGAGGGATGTTCCGCTGGCTTCGAGAAATCGCTTCTGCGTCGTGTCCTTGGTTCTGGCCGCATTGCCCCTGTGATTCCCCCGGTCGGTTGTGGTGCCTGTGCGGTTCCTTTAATTAGATTGATGCATGGTACGGGGACAGGGTACAGGTACAGGGTACAGAGCACGAGGGCAGTGTATGTAGTGAGAACTCTGCAGTACTGGTTCTCTGTCGTTGATTAGTTGTCGCTCTGCATATGAGGATATGCAGAGTGCAGAGTGTAGTGCAGAAAGGACAAAGACTGGCTAGGACTGACATCATGGGATCGACACCAGTCAGCTGGAGCTGAACCATATGGTTGGTGGTGATGGTTGATAGATCACAGTAACCATGGAAGAAGGTTTCGATAGATATTTGAGTATGGTACGTACATAGATAGGTATACAGGAAGTGTTGCAGTGACGTGTATGCGCAGTACTGGTCAAGGCTATTATTCAAGGAGTATATGCTGATACTGACACTATTTCATTCATTCATTGTAAATCTATATAGACTAAGTGTATGTAAAGTATAGCATAGTATAACGAGTATACTTGTACACTGGCAGTTAGACAAAGAGTATGATCCATGGACCCGGGGTAGTTGTTCCACGGACGGAGAGCCGGTTCCGTTCTTTGTTCCCTGTGTGATCTGCAATAGCATCCTCCTGTACTACTACTGCTAGTGTTAAATGTTCATCGTAGCCTCATGACAGGCTGACAGGCTGACAGCGCGGACCAGTATGTGTATTACCAGGATACCCTGGTGGTTGGCGCGTAGCAAGCGAATGGCAAAGGCAGATGGAGTGCCCGAATAATTAGCATTAAAATACTACTAATATTCCGCGCTCTATAATTCTACAAGTAACTCTAGTACTACTAGTACTACTAGTACTACTACCATTCATTCCCTGTGGTGGACCAGACCAGTTGGAACGGCAATCACTCTGGACTCTCTGGACTCTTGCGCAACTCACCACTTCCACTTCCACTTCCTCTCCTTCCCCCCTTATAATCCCCCCCTCAATCCTTCCCCTCTGTCGCGATGAAGGTGAGAACCCCTTGCTGTTTGGAATCTCCCCGTGCTGGGGGGTGCTCGGACTGAACTAACCTTAACTCTGATCCAGGCTATCCGACGGTCCTTGAAGGGGAGAAAGAACCCAAACACCACCACAACCACCATCACCACATTTCCATCACCCCCCAAGTCCGCCCTTGCGATTCTACCTCCTAAGAAGGTATGCTATGAGCCACCCCTTTCTGTGATCTGTGATTTGTTGCCTGTGGACTACTGCCTACTGTCTACTCTCCCCTCGTGCCTGGTGGCTGTCCCTGTCCCTGCTCCCTGTCCCACTGCGCTCACTCGCCCCCGCTGAATATTCTGCCCCTCCAAAGTGGCTCCTCCCACGCCAACTCCGATCGCGCTGACCGCATCTCCTCCAGGTGATCAAAGCTCTTTACGACTACACACCCGAACCAAACTCCCAGGAATTGGCCTTCAGCAAGGGCGACTTCTTCCACGTGATCAGTAGGGAGGACGACTCCGACTGGTACGAGGCTTGCAATCCTCTCATCCCTGACGCCCGCGGCCTCGTCCCCGTCTCCTTCTTCGAAGTCATCGGTAAAAACGAAAGGGATAGTGGGGGCTCTTCCGATCTGCAGAAAAACGACCATCACGACTCGGGCTTCTCCGATCGCACTCCCGTTCCCGACGCTTCTCCTACCAAATTCGCCCCCTTCAGAATGTCCGCCCTCGGCAAAGGCCAGGGCGCCATGGTCTACGGCATCGTTCAGTATGATTTCCAGGCCGAGCGCCCTGACGAGCTGGACGCTCGCGCCGGCGAAGCCATTATCGTCATCGCTCAATCCAATCCCGAATGGTTTGTCGCCAAACCCATCGGCCGTCTCGGTGGCCCCGGTCTGATTCCCGTCTCTTTTATCGAACTGCGCGACATGCAATCTGGCCAGGCTGTCACCGATCCCCTCGAGGCTGTGCGCCGCGCCGGTGTTCCCAAGGTTGAGGAGTGGAAGAAGATGACCGCCGAATATAAGAACAGCAGCATCACCCTTGGGAAGATCGAAGCGGGTGGAGGAGGTGGTGGTGGCGGCGGTGTTGTAGCCGTCACCACCGGTATGGATCAAATGGCTATGGGCCAACAAGGCCATATGAGTCAAAATGGTGATCCCTACGTAAGTTGATTGCCGGACTTGCGACCTGCTGTTTTTGTTTGGAATTTTTAAAGCTGATCTGTGTGTGCGCATGTTTTCTAGGGATATCACCAGCGCAACGCTAGCAAAGGAACTCTCGCATCGCAAGCCCCCATGTCCCAACAAGCACCCCAGCAACCCTACCAGCCACCCCTTCTCGCGCCAGTTGCGGCTTCAATCCCTCGATACTGCTTCGACAACGACAAGTACTGGTACATCATTGAGGCCAAGATGGAAGACGGTCGATGCTGGGAATTGTCACGCTACTATCACGACTTTTACGACTTCCAGATCGCCCTGCTAACGCAGTTCGAAGACGAAGCTGGCAACCGAGGACGCCCACGCACACTCCCCTTCATGCCGGGCCCCGTCACCCACGTCACAGATGCTATCTCCAACGGCCGTCGCCAAAACCTCGACGAGTATATCAAGAAGCTCCTCTCCATGCCCCCGCATATCGCCCGCTGCCAGCTCGTCCGCCAGCTCTTCGGGCCGCGCCAAGGCGATTTCGAAATTGACCCAAGTGCCTTTGGTGAAGAGGCCCGCTACTCTGGCGACTCCCATCACTCCTCCTCCGGCGTGGATCCCTCGCAAAGCGTTTCGCGACAGTCATCCCAAGTCCCAATGAACTCGTCGCAAGACCGCGTCTCTCAGCAGCGTGCCCCAGGCCCTGCATCTCTCTCTAATGGTGGCCCACCAGCCATGAACCGCCAGCCCAGTTCCCTTACCCAGGCCTCGGGAACGTCCAATTCGAGTGCCATGAAGGTGAAGGTCTTTTTCCAGGATGACTTGATTGCCATTCGGATTCCCTCGGGCGTTACCTTGCAGCATTTGAAAGATAAGCTTTCAGACCGTCTGAAGATTCAAGAGGATATCATCGTGCAGTACCGCGATGAGAGTTCCGGGACATATGTCGATCTGATATCGGATGCGGACCTGGAGAATGCCATGCAGCGCAACACCAAGTTGACCCTCTTTGTGAGCATCGTATGACAGAGCAAAAAAAACAAAAACAAAAAACAGCTGTTTTGATCTTGTACTCTTGAGATAGACATGTTTTGCTGGGTTGTTGTGGCGATGCGCTGGTATCTTCTCTTGGTTTTCTTCCCCCATTGGCTTTTTTCTCTTTTTTTCCCTTGGTTTATTCTTCTGGCTATTCTTTAACCCCCTTCGCAATGGGCATCGGTGCATAGGCGTTTCTGTATTGGGCTTTTTCTTCTCAAAGTTTCCCTGTGCTCTGTCGGCCCTTTCAGCGCTTGCACCCGGAATTTTTTCAAGAGGGTGGATGATCGTGGTGTTACGAATATGATGCGAGATATGTGGCATGGCTGAATATTTTCTTCCCCTTCTTCTCCCATTCTGCGTTAACGTTAACGTTAATGCTTACGCTCTGCAATGTCCTTGGTCTCTTCATGCTTTTATCCCGGTCAGCCGAACCTTTTTGTTTTTCTTGATACGGCTCTGTCTTGTTCTTTCTTTCTTTCTCCTTTTCTATGTCTCTCTTCCTACACCGGACCTACTGTTTCCTTCTGTTTTATCTATATTCTCCCGTTTGATGTTTTGGGTTTTATACCCTGGTCTGTTTTGACTTGTACATATGCTGCGCTCTGCATATACAGAAGGATTTCTATCTAGGTTAGCTGCATCACGCTCGGTAATCGAATAATATGAAGCACTAGCTATTTGTATACTCCTTGTTTTATGACTAGTTATAACATACTTCTGGCATGCACCTAATGTAGTTCCCTCTTCCGACTAACCGGGTCACATGACTCGGTCATCGGCCCGCACTTTTCGCCCGGCAACCGCAACGGCGCCAGACTCACTCCGATTAGTCTTTCTCGTCTTTACCTCTGCTGATATACTTGGGTTCGAGCCCAGTCCTCTCACTTCTCTCTCTCGTTCCAAAGTTGCCTAGAGTTGATCTTCCTTCTAGGCACAGGCACTATATCCAACTCCCGACAAACGGTCCCGCCCGACGAAAACAATTCCTGGATAGAACCTCGGCTACAACAGTCACAAACCGCAACTGCATTTTGTACAGTATTCCTCTGCGGCAGCGAGCGAGCGAGCGAGCGAGTGTCTTTCTTTCTTTTCTTTCACAAAATCGCACATCACATCCGTCCCGCCATGAGTAGACCATCTGCGAAGCTCTGCGCAAGTTGCTCCCCGGCATTACGGCCCCGCGGCCGGGCATTGCGGTCTGCGACTCCCACACCGCTGCGCGTGAGATCTCTTTCATACACGACTGCCCCTACGACTGCCACTATCCATTCCTCGCCTCTGTTCTGCTCTCATCCTCGTGTCCCACATGCTGCCCGGGCCACCGGGCTGCCGGTGAATGGGCTCCGACTACAGCGCCGCGCGCGCGGATTGGCGACTGCTACCAGTGAGGGGGCTGCGGGGGTAGATTCGAAGGCCGGGCCTGTAGATGGCCCTATGAAGGAGTACGATGTGCGTGTTGAGGAGGGTCGGTTACGGGATGATCCTTATCAGCGAGGTGAGTTAAGATGAAATTCAATACATGTGGATCCTGCCACGGAATATCCCAGTCGAAGTTGAAGACCGATGGATGGAATAATTGAAGCTAACAATATCAACCCGCTACCCCCAGGTATAATCCAAAATCTACAAGACCTCTTCGAAGCGCTCAAATCCTACCACCCACCAACCGTCGTCCACCCCACCCCCGAATCCCTCGACCTGCAACCAAAGCAGTCCTTCTTTGGCTCTCTCTTCGGCGGCGGCGCAAAGGCAGCGCAGATCTCTGTCGTACCGGATAATCTGCCAAAGGGTTTGTATATGTTTGGAGATGTTGGTTGCGGGAAGACCATGCTTATGGATCTGTTCTTCGATACGTTGCCGGACAATATCAAGACCAAGACGCGAATTCATTTCCACAACTTCATGCAAGATGTACATAAACGCATGCATGTCGTGAAGATGAAGTACGGCAACGACTTTGATGCGCTGCCTATGGTTGCTGCGGATATTGCGGAGAAGGCTAGCGTATTGTGTTTCGACGAGTTCCAGTGTACAGATGTGGCCGATGCAATGATTTTGCGAAGGTATTTATCTCGCCCTTCCCCTCCTCCTCAGGTCGCCAGAGATATGCTCCCAGAGACACATATACTAACCCATCTGTTCACCTAGACTCCTCGAAGTCCTCATGTCCCACGGTGTCGTCCTAGTTACAACTTCCAACCGTCACCCAGACGACCTCTACAAAAACGGCATCCAACGCGAATCCTTCATTCCATGCATCAACCTTCTCAAAACCGACCTCAACGTCATAAACCTCAACTCACCCACAGACTACCGCAAGATCCCCCGCCCCCCCTGCAGCAGTCTACCACCACCCACTCGGCGAAAGCGCAGAGCAGCACGCGCAGCGCTGGTTCGATGTTCTCGGCGACCCGATAAACGACCCACCCCACCCAGCCTCCCAAATAGTCTGGGGCCGCACAATCAACGTCCCGCGCGCCAGCGGCAAAGCAGCCCAATTTACCTTCAACCAGCTCATCGGCACTGCAACCGGCGCAGCCGATTACCTCGAATTAGTCCGTCATTACGACGCTTTCATCGTAACCGATGTGCCTGGGATGAATCTGAACCAGCGCGATCTAGCGCGCCGATTCATCACCTTCATTGATGCGGTTTACGAGAGTCGGGCGAAGCTGGTTCTTACGACGGAGGTGCCGTTGGCGAATCTCTTTCTCTCGGCGGATGATGTGAAGGGTGCGGGTGTCGGTGGTGGGGATCATTCTGATCTATCGGACGCAATGCGCAATTTGATGGATGATTTGGGAATGTCTGTTGCTGCGCTGAAGAATACTTCTATCTTCAGTGGGGATGAGGAGCGGTTTGCGTTTGCGAGAGCTTTGTCGAGACTTTCTGAGATGGGGAGTAAGGAGTGGGTTGAGAGGGGATTGGATATTGAGGGTAAGTCGAGTGAGCAGAGTAAAGAGGAGGAGGCTGCTTGGAAGAAGACTAGGAGTCATTGGAGTGAGGATAATATGTGATTTGCCACCGTTTAATGTGTGGTGATTACTTTTATTCTTCTCCTCTCAGGATGTTCCTTTTCCTTTACGTGTTACTAGTAGATAGATGATGGTGATGGTGGCCTTGTATAGATGATCCGATCGGGAAATAGCATTCAATCAATACCCATGTACTTTTTTCCTAGGATATACCCGATTATTAAGCCCAGCCAGCCAGATCTACTGCAGTACTAACTCAATACTATGGCTTAGGTGATTCAATTGCTGTTCAAGACCGGTTAGCACATGTTGGTTCGAGCGAGATATTTCCGACTGCAGAATGGCATGACGTCAGATAGCAGCATCAGCATCAGCATCAGCGTTGGTCTGGCCAGCAACTACGAGTACAATCTCAACCCCGTCTGAACGGAGGGGGTAGTATTATTAATTGAATAGGCATTAAGCTAAAATTGCTTACATGTAGTTATTGTTCTAGACTAATATGTTGATCAGGGACTAGTCAAGCCTGTTCTGATTGTTCGATGCTCTGCCGCAAACCCCGAAGGAAACGAACCCACGAATGGGAGACGCGTTATTCGCAATCAGGTTTCAAATGTGGTTTTAAAGTCATGGGAAGCTTGATTTTTGGGGGTGGACTTGACTTGACTTGACTGCTCTCATTATTGGCGCGTTATCCTATGACCGCAAAACTGGGTCATGACTTGCTCATTCCCCGAATCCAGTTTTCCGCTACGGAACTACACGGTTAACCGCATGGGTTCGGATTGGCGGTGTCGGTTTTACTCCTATGGGTCTTTACATATGCCGGATCGGGTTTGTTGGACTGGGTGATTGCTTGATTAATTGTGTTTTGTCGATTGGTTGGTCGGTGGGTTACATCATTCATGATCAATCGTCGATGCTGCTTTTCCCTGTGATATATAGGCCATTCCTCTTGTACGTAGCTGGCTTTCGAATTCTTCTTACTTCTCTAATGCTTGCTTCTTCCAGTATTTTATCCTAATATCCACCATTTACTTTTGTCCCGAATTTCTCGAGAACAACAAAATCATCATGGCAACTACAGCTGCGGCAGAAGCAGCCGCCGAGGCCAAAGCTAACTCCATCTCAGCTGATGGAAAGTTCGCAGACATGCAGAAAGATACCATCGAAATCAATGGCAAACAACATATGACCACCGACTATGGAATCAAAATCTCAGACCCGGATCACTCGCTCCGTGTTGCGAGTGACTCGAGTACCGGACCATCACTCCTAGAAGATCAAATCGCTCGTGAGAAAGTGCGTTTTACCAAACATTCGAAGACCCATGCAATAGCCAGCCTCATACTAACCCCCGTCTGCAGATTATGCGCTTCGACCACGAGCGTATCCCCGAGCGAGTCGTACACGCCCGCGGCACAGGAGCATTCGGAACTTTCAAGCTCTTCGAGAGCGCCGAGGACGTAACGACTGCGGGTGTTTTGACGGATACTTCCCGCGAGACGCCACTTTTTGTTCGCTTCTCGACCGTACAGGGGAGTAAAGGTAGTGCGGATACGGTGCGCGATGTACGCGGCTTCGCGGTGAAAATGTATACGGCCGAGGGAAATTGGGATATTGTGGGCAATAATATCCCTGTGTTCTTCATACAGGACGCGATTAAGTTCCCAGATGTTATTCACTCTGTTAAGCCGGAGCCGCATAATGAAGTTCCCCAGGGCCAGAGTGCGCATAATAACTTTTGGGATTTCATTTACATGCATTCTGAGACTACGCATATGAATTATTGGGTGAGTTTGTGCACTTGACATTTATCTGTTGGATCGTTCGGCTCAGATCTACTACGATTATGAGAGGATGGCGTTGCTAACGAGATGCAATTCAATGCAGCAAATGTCTGATCGAGCTATTCCACGCTCGTACCGCATGATGCAGGGCTTCGGTGTCAATACCTACTCTCTCGTCAACAAGCAAGGCAAGCGTCACTTTGTCAAGTTCCACTTCACACCCGAACTTGGCGTCCACTCGCTCGTCTGGGACGAGGCTTTGAAAATCTGTGGTCAGGATCCAGATTTCCATCGCAAGGACTTAATTTCCGCCATTGAGGCAGGCCAGTTTCCTCGTTGGAAGTTCGGTCTACAGCTTCTTCCCGAGGAGAAGCTTGATGATTTCGAATTCGACCCGCTGGATGCGACAAAGGTCTGGCCTGAAGAGCTAATTCCAATTCGATATATCGGCCAGCTTGAACTGAACCGCAACGTGGATGAATTTTTCCCACAAACCGAGCAAGCCGCGTTCTGCACCAGCCACATCGTCCCTGGAATTGACTTCTCCAATGACCCCCTGCTGCAAGGACGAAACTTCTCATACTTCGATACGCAGATCTCGCGACTCGGCGCTAATTGGGAGGAATTGCCTGTGAACCGGCCCGTCTGTCCGTATATGAGCTTGGTCAATCGGGATGGGGCCTCGAGGCATCGCATCTCAAAGGGCACGGTCAATTACTGGCCCAATCGTTACGAAGCGAATCCTCCCGCTACGCCAGCCCAAGGGGGTTTCACTTCATTCCCGGAGAAGCAGCAGGGTATCAAGACGCGCGCGCTGTCAGAGAAGTTCAAAGAGCACTATAATCAGGCCCAAGTCTTCTACAACTCTCTTTCCGAGATCGAGAAGATGCACCTGGCCAAGGCATTCTCCTTCGAACTAGATCATTGCGACGACCCGGTCGTCTACAAGCGCATGAGCGAGCGCGTCGCAGCCATCAGTCTCGATCTAGCAAAGACAGTCGCTAAGAACGTCGGCGGCGAGACGCCGACCAAGGAGCTTAGAACGAATAAGGGCACTAAGGCAAAGGGTCTCAGTCAACTGGAGTATATGCCAAAGAAGCCCACCATCGCGACGCGCCGAATCGCAATTCTAATCGCAGACGGCTTCGATTACAACGCGTACAACACCATGAAAACAAGTCTCGAGGCGCAGAACGCTTTCGTATTCACAATCGGTTCCCAGCGCCAGGGCGTCATCGCTGACTCGGGCCAAAAAGTCGTGCCGGATAATTTCTTCTCAGGGATGCGCTCGTCGTTGTTTGACGCGGTCTTCGTTCCTGGCGGTAGTCATGTGGAAAAGAGCCTTGCGAAGAACGGCGTTGCGAAGTTCTGGATTACTGAGTCCTTTGCTCATCTGAAGGCTATTTCTGGCGTTAATGAGGCTGTGCCGTTCATTGCGCGCCAGATTGGGTTGGATGAGGTGCAGACTTCGAAGAGTGGGGAGTCTTTGACGGATTCTTATGGCGTTGTTACTGGGTATGGTGATGCGTCGGGCTTGAAGGTTTCAGATATTGGGCCTCAGGCGAAGGGGCTGGCGGAACGCTTTGTTTGGCATGTCTCGCAGCATCGGAACTGGAATCGTGAGTTGGACGGTTTGGCTGATCAGGTTGCTGCGTGAGTGTCTACAGGGATAGCATCCACATATGGGTGTATTTCTGAAAATTTAGTTATATGATTCTACGAATAAATTGTATGAAATTAATGATTGGGTTTCTTTTTTTCGGGATTTCCCCCTCTTTCATCGATTGTGGCTTTGGACTTCGTGCGGAATCTTGCATTACTGCTGTGAACCATGGTGCCTGAGTTGTCTCCGTGGGTACCCGTGTCGTGGTAATCATCACATTCCTTTCATTGTGGATCAACGCGACGGTCAAATCTACATGTCGCGTTAAGACCAGGGGGGATTTTTAAGTAAATCTATTCCCCACACCTTTGAATTCTCCGGCAATGGTTGCTACTTACTGTTGGACCGGATCAGCGGGGTTCCAGTGACACGGGAGGAGAGAAGATGTGAATCATGCGATACGTGGATATTCTAGCTTAAACAAGGCAGGGAAATTGTCATTGTCACTTTGAAATAATACTTTATTCCAGAAAGAGAAGTAAATGTTTTGTATATACATAAAAAGAAGCAACTTGTCTTAAAACTCCATCTCAAAGACCACGCGCATACTTCGCGGTGTCAGGGCATGCTTGACATGCTTGCCAATGGCCGGCGTTCCCTCATCAATAGTTACACGCGATCATCGCACCGAAATTTCCAGCCATTGATTTCTGAACCAACTCGAGGCAGAAGTGAAAGTGTAGGTTCCTTTTCTGTGGACTTTTCCGCCCCGGGACCTGGAGTTCGATCACATATCTCTCACCACTTCCCTCGGAGCTTGCGACAACTCTACTACCTCAACCCGTCGCGCTTTCCAGATTTCCAAGTCGAACTGCACATTTGATTTATTCGACTTTCCTATCTTTACTGCTCTTCAATAATCCATCTTCCCCACGGTGGTATCGGTGAGACCTGGAATCACCTGAACGCTACGATCGGGCGGCTACTTTGAACATGCCATTCCGGATCTCGCGTTCGACGCGATTAATTGCGGTCATTGCGATATCAACATGCTTCTTTCTAGGGGAAATATCATGTCAGTGGAGCTAGGTCCAGCTTTCGTGGGCGCGCTTACTGACAGACGACAGTGGGATTCTACACACATTCGCTTGCGCTGATCGCGGATGCATTCCATTATGTGTGTTAAAAAAAATTGAATACCTCAGTTTCCAGTATCGTTACTAATTCGTGTTTCAGCTGAGCGATTTGCTGAGTTTCGTGGTGGCTTTGGTGGCATTGAAGGTATGTCTTGTTACAGGGTAGTAAGTGCAGGAAATATATATTGATCAAAATGTAGGTTTCCGAAAATAGCGATTCGCCACAAGACCTCTCCTTTGGCTGGCAACGAGCTCAATTGCTAGGAGCTTTTTTCAACGGAGTTCTCCTATTCGGACTGGGAATCAGCATCCTATTACAATCCATTGAGCGATTCATTGCGTTGCATCGTGAGTCTTTCCGCTCGGTTCGACATTGCACACACTGACAAGAGCCTAGGTGTTGAGAATCCAAAACTGGTTTTCATTGTTGGGTGCATTGGGCTAGGATTGAACATTATCAGCGCATTATTCCTCCATGGTAAGTATGCTTCCTCGAAGAGCCAGAGTTGTTGAATTAATGGAATATAGAACATGCGCATGATCATGGTCCACCACCATCTCTCGAAGCGGGTCCATCACCCATCAGCGAAGACGGTCGTGAATCGATCTCAAAGGTATCCCTCCAGTACGAAAGTCCAGAGCGTTATAGTTATTGACAAAACCAGCATCACAACCACAAGCATTCGCATCTCGAAAAGGGCCAGGGAGCAGATTCGGGCCATTGCCATGAACACACCCATGGGCAGAGTCATGGTCATAGCCACGGCCACGGCCATGGACACGACCATGGTGACTTGGGAATGATGGGGGTGCTACTGCATGTCCTGTGCGATGCTGCCAATAACCTTGGTGTCATTGCTTCCGCACTAGTGATCTGGTTGGCTAAATATGACGGCCGATACTATGCGGACCCGGGAGTCAGCATAGGAATTGCCATCATGATTATGATCTCCTCTATCCCTCTGAGTTAGTTTTTCTTTCCCATCAATCTTGAACGATGCTAATGCAACAATAGTCCGAAGAAGCGGTCATATCTTGTTGGAAAGCGCCCCAATAGGCCTTGACCTAAACGACGTACAGCATGACCTAGAAAAGGTAGCACTCCCGCATACCGATTTTTTACAAGATTTTGCTGATCACGATATAAGGTCCCTGGCGTCCACTCCATTCACGAATTGCACATCTGGCGCCTTAACCAGCAAAAGACCCTCGCATCAGTGCACGTTGTTGTTTCCGATCCCTCTGTGAGCGGATTTTTGAAAACTGCTAAGACGATTAACGAATGCTTTCACGCTTATGGAATACACTCTGCGACCCTACAGCCGGAAGTTTTAGCCGAAGGAGACGCTGTGTCGCCTGTCGATAGTGAGAAGAACCCCCGATGCCAAGTGGTTTGTGGCACACTGTGTGAGACCCTGACCTGCTGTGGGTAATCATAATGGCAAAAATGGCACCGATTGACATCAACCACCCCCAAGTGGTCGAGCAGTAACTCGACTATTTCATCTTCCTTGGTCTAGTGGTCATGATTTCCGCTTGTCATTAAAACCGATAAGCGCGGGAGACCGGGGTTCGATTCCCCGAGGGAGAGTTTCTTTTTAGATATACATTTTTCTTTACCTTTACAGTACATAGCATGATTAATAGAGCCAAATCTGGCGGCGGTCTTCGTCAACCACCCAAGTGGTCGAGCTGTAACTCGACTATCACATCTTCCTTGGTCTAGTGGTCATGATTTCCGCTTGTCATTAACACTGATAAGCGCGGGAGACCGGGGTTCGATTCCCCAGGGAGAGTCTTTTTTTAGTCTTGTTGCTATTTTGTGGAGTTTGCATTATCTCCTAGAACTGTTGGTTGATGAGGAGTTGTGAAAAAAGACTAGGAAGAAAGAATCTAGCTAAAAAGTTGGCAATCTTAAAAATCATATCAATATTTCCTGCAAACCTTATCATCGCTGATGTGCTCCTAATTTCTTGTTACCTTTGATAGCCTTGTCTTTCTGTGAAACTCAGAGGTCCATATGGTAAGAGGCACATCTTGACCAAACAGGTCGCCAGACGGAACTGCTCCGCAGGTGATCATTGCCTTTAAGGTTTTTACAGGAGTCTCAGGCGCAGCTCAATAAGATGATAGTCAAATAAGAACTGTTGCATAGCTCCACACCTACCCTGAGGCGCGGGGGGGCTCCGCCATGGAAGTGCCTATCAGTTACTTTTCTTTCATTCCGATTCCGCATCGACGGTTCCACGAAAAGCCCCTCATGCGGGGGCCAACGGGGCACAAGGAGGGGAGCAAACGCTCTGTCTTTCCCTTTTCCTTTTCATCTCCTTGATCCAGCTTTCCTTTCTCAAACCACCCCCGAACTATACTGCAGCTTCCCATCTTCTTTCCAACATGACCATCCAAAATTGGCAAATCCAAGCGCAAAAAGGCAAAGACCTTTTGGAGAGCTCAGTACCTAAACAATGGCTTGCACCTGCTGACCAACTGCCGCCTGTTACACAGAAAAATGTAACCGACTTTCCGAGGAAGAGCGGACTTTTGACCGATCGGGAGCTCGGAATCACGGAGCTATCGGCAACCGAATTGACAAGCGGAATGGGAAAGGGGGAATTGACAGCCGAGGAAGTTGTTGTGGCTTTTCTCAAGCGCTCTGTCTTGGGACATCAGCTGGTGAGAAGTGCTATACTGTTGGGCTAGGTGATGACATACTAAGTGCATATAGCTGAACTTCGCAACGGAGTTCCTGGCCGAGGAGGCAATCGCTCGAGCCAAGGAACTGGATGAATTCTATAAGGCAAATGGAAGACTTATTGGGCCTCTTGTGGGTAGAACTCAAGGAAGTGCGTGGATGTATCGGTGTGCTAATAAAGCGGCATGCAGCATGGTGTGCCTATCAGTGTGAAAGAGCATATCGGTTTCAAAAATAAGACCTGTCATACTGGCTACGTCGCATGGTTGGTGCAGAATAAGCCATCCATAGAGCAAATTACTGATGATCATGCAATAGGGTTGATAGAGTCACAACTAAAGATGCACACCTTCTCCAATTGCTCTCTAAGGCTGGTGCAGTCTTTCATGTTCGCACCAATCAACCACAAGCACTAATGGTACGTCTACAAGTTTTAGACTTGTATCTTTACTGACAAATTATGTTAGCATCTTTGCTCTGAGAATAATATCACCGGGAAAACCTTCAACCCCCACAATCGTACATTAACGCCCGGTGGCTCCTCCGGCGGCGAAGGTGCCGCCGTAGGTTTCCGTTGCTCACCACTGGGAATCGGCACTGATATCGGTGGCTCGATTCGAGGCCCAGCTGCGTTTTGCGGTGGCTATGGCTTCAAGCCTACGTCAATGCGTAACCCTATGGTGGGAATTGAAGTTGCTGCTGTCGGACAAGAATCAATCCATGGGGTTGTGGGCCCAATGGGTCCAGCTTCAATCGAAGATTTGGAACTTTTCCAAAAGGCCATAATTGACCAGGAGCCCTGGAACGATGAGACATCGTTGGTCCCTCTGCCCTGGAAGACTGTCACTCCGACCCGAGATATTACCGTTGGTATTATGTGGGATGATGGGTATGTTAGAACCCAAGTCGAATATCTGACGAACCGCTGCTAAAAATATTATATAGTGTTGTTCGTCCTCATCCTCCTGTCACTCGTGCTCTTCAACTTGCGAAGGAGAAGCTGGTTGCAGCTGGGATCAAAGTTGTCGACTGGGAGCCCTATAAGCATTCTTATGCGTGGGATGTCATTGTAAGTCTAGTATCTACCAAGCCAATACCCCAATGCCTGCTGACAACTCAAAGTCCGCACTATATTACCCGGATGCCGCTGGCCTGCAGCGCGAGATGCTTCGCAAATCTGGCGAGCCAGCGCTCCCGCTGAGTGAGTGGGCCTTTTCATACGGACGTCCCAACCCGCTCACTCATCATGAAACCTGGAAACTGCAATTGGAGCGCGACATATACCGTGACGAATACAATGCGCTTCTAAAGAGCCGTGGTGTTGACTTCATCATCTCCCCTAACTACCCCGGAGTCGCTGCTGTGATGGGCGAGTCACACTACTGGAACTACACCGCAATCTGGAACTTGCTGGATCTTCCGGCTGTTACTCTACCTTCAGGCTTGAAGGTTGACCCGAAGCTGGATGCCTTGAAAGAAGACCACAAAAACTACGCTCCTCGTAATGAGGCAGATGAGCGGGAGTGGAAGAAGTACGAAGGCCCGGAGAGATATGAGGGTGCGCCTATTGCGCTGCAGATTGCTGGACGACACTTCAAGGATGAGGAGACATTGGCTGCCTCGAAGATTCTGGAAGAAATAATCAGGGATGGAAAGAAGGGAGTTGTTGTTTGATAAGATTTTACTGGATTGAGGAATATATGAACTGGGAAGTTGGTTTCTTCAAATTTCAGAATGAAAAATCCCCTATACCATGCCATCGCACTCCGGGTTCCCGTTAACTAGTTCACAGTCACGGTACTTGCAATATTAATTTGGCGATGGTTTGAGTTCCCGATGGTTTGTTGATGTCCTAACCGACTTTTTTATGGATAATTATCTGGTATCATCCAAACAGCTTATCCTTGTGATACATGTAGTCCAACTCTGGAATATCTCATATATTATTTTGGCTTTTGCGATATTCAGGCAAGGCCAATTTCACCATCCATTCTGATTTGAGTATTTGATTGGTAGTAGGGCGATTAGCAGGTCTGAATGAGAGCATCAGTCGTAGCACATTAAATAATGCTTCCTCTTTTTCGTTAAATGGCGATATTCCACTATCTTGCCTGGGCTGCTGCACGCTATCCTCAAAACGATCGTCCCAGGATCGGAAAGACTTGCGATTCCTTGGCTCACCGTCTCCGTCAAATTTCTGTCTTAGCGCGTCCCATTTCTCCCACCAATCCAATGGCAAAATGCTAAGAGTGTCTTGACAAACGTGCTCACATGTCATATCGTCTTCTGTTGCGAGAAATCCTTCAAGCAATTGCCGCTGACCGATGATAGTCCATATGGTACAGGTGAGAGTCCAAATATCAGATGAAAAAGATAGTGGCTCGTTAGGTTCAAACCGGGCTTCAGGGGGGCGGATCACAAGGGGGGTGCAAGATTCAAATTTCCGTTCCTTTGAGAGGATAAAGAGGATAAAGGCCTCGCCAAAATCTGCAAGCAAGATCCTGGTTTCTAGCAATACTATTTCTTCACTGGCCTTCCCCAACCATATGGGCGGAACTCCATGAGTTGGGACGCCAGGCGGAAGAGGTTTACCATTTAGGCGAGAGACTGGTTCCAATTCCGGGGCTCCATATTTCTCATGTAATCGTTCCGGTGAAAGCTGATCAAAATTTAACGGAACCTTAAGAAGAATATTACCAAGGTACATGTCACCGTGGACAATACCTTGGGCATGCACATAGTCTAAAGCAAGCATGAGTTGTGCAGCTAATGACCGGGCTACGTCGGGCTGGAATAAACGGATCCATGAACCATCTTTCAGGTCGGAGAGGCTAGCGCTCACCGGTGCTGTAACGTAGCAAGCATGATTACCATTCAAACCATTAAGTGTGAATCTGTCTAGTATAGATGGCAGCATCATTCTTCCTGGGTGGCTGGCTGGAGGAGAGGAAGGATGAGTGAGAGTGGATATAATGTCCACTTCCCTTGGATTCGCGTTCGCCGTGCAAACTTTCACTGCAACGTATTTTCTGGCCATTTAATCCCTGGCTAGCCATGTAGTTGAATAAGAGCCATGTCCCAGCTTGTGGATCACTTGATATCGATCGTGGAGGGTATCCTAAATTTGAATGACGTGGTAACCCCCCGGTCGATAGTTCTCAAATCTTTCGATTCCTTCAAGGGGCTCGTAGAGGGGATATATATTCAACAGATAGTTATTCGTTGATCTTCATTGTATTGGCTGCAGTATGAGTCAAGGCGTAACGGGAATGCTGGTGATGAAGCAGTGGCATATATGCCGGGCGGGGGGCAATGGCTAGGGAAGGCGGGCGCAACAGCCGTGAGGCCAATGACAACGGTTGATTATCGCTTTAACACATGAATCTCTTGAGCCAGAGAAAGTCCGACAAAGAGGACGAGATTATGTCACACTGGTATCTATGAAGGTTTAATGAGGAAATGAGGAAACTCAACGCGATACGCTTCAAGGGTTAGGTGGAGTGGCAGAAAGTGCCGCCGCCCCTGCTGAAACATCCCATGCCCGAATTCCACAATCGCGTTATATGCGTGTTGCGGGTTTGATAAAGAGAAACATGAATTGAATTTTGACAAGGCCCTCATTCAGAGGATGAAATATGCTCACTCCTCCACACCCAGACCTTCATAAACTAGACATAAGCATCGCGCAGAAACTATCGATGCTCTGGATACATTTTGCGAATTTCTTTCGTCCACTGTTGTAGAGTAATATCCTCATCTCCCCAGGCAACGTGACCCTTTGGCATATTTCTCATTCTGTCCGAATCAAATCTTGGCACGTAGAAATGGTCATGGCTTGGATGACAAGCATTCTGACAATAATCTCCTGCCTTCATTTTCTTAAGACATTCACTCGTAAGCGTGGTACTAATGCAGTCTTTGCAAAACCACATATCCCCGGGCTCAGTCCAGAGATGACCACAACCATCATCGCATTCCATGTCCAGAGATGTGGCGGGGCCTTCATCCTCTTCAGTAGGCCAGACATTTAATGAGACTGCTATGATTGCAAGAGCAGCAGCTGTATTCTTCTCATCACCGAAAGCAACAGATGAAAACAGAATCTGATTGAAAGCAAAAATATCATTGCCTTCGTCATCGTCCGAAAGAAGCTCCAAGGCCACCTGTCGTGATGGACGGGCTTCATGCTCGGCCAGTTCGTCGTCGCCTTCAATATGGTAGAAGCGAGCAGCAAACAAGCGAGGTGGAATGGGGAATTGCCATTCCGGTAGCTGCTCAGGTACAATGTCTCCCAGCTTTTGTAGATAGCTCATGGCCAGATCCCGGTCACCCAATTCATTGGCTTCTTTCGCTCTGGTGTAATAGATCTTCCCAAGTCTGGCACTCATAAGGGAAACCATTCCAAAAATCTGCGAGGTCATTTGGGGCAGATCATTTTTAAAAGCAGTTTCCAGATACTCCATGACCCTGTTCGTTGGAGGGTTGGGGATTCTGGACAAGTAATAGGCAAAATACCCCCGAAGAAGATAGGCCTCCTCGTGGAATTGACCCCTTGAAGCAGTTTCAATTGCATCTGGATATATCTGATCCAAAATCTCGGACCGCCCCGTTTCAATCGCAGTCTTTCTGATGGTTTCATGGAACTCTTCATTGGATGCCTGGTCAATGGCTAGACCTGTCAGATGGGAGCTATCAATGTTTCGGATCTTATCAAGAAGGTCGACAATATCGCTCCATCTGGCACTGGCGCTGTACTTGTAAAGTATATGCTGTGTGTTCTGATGGTATGTGGGATTGTGTTCAATGCACTTTGACCAAGCTTTGACCGCATCGCCAAGTTTGCCGACATTCCAATACCGGAAGCCTAGGTCGAATGCTATTTCAGCAAAATGCCGTCGATTGACTTCCAGCCATTTTGAATCGTTTTCATAGCGCTCCATGAGTTCGTCTAGGGTTTGGATAGCCTCTTGATCAGAAGAAACATGTCGGGCCAGAGTCTGTGAGGCTCTCCAATTTGAAGGATCCATATGTAGAGCGTGACGGCATCGAAGCTCGGCCGCCGAGTCCATCGCAAAGCCTCCCAGGATATATGCCATTTGAACTTCCCAGAGCGAATCTGGCGTTTTAAAGTCAAGAGTGGCCTGAGACCACTTCTCAACCTCGTAAATTTGGTCTAAAGAGGGTTCCTCGATTGAATCTGTTTTGACATCCGTGGTACCGTTCGATTTGACCTAGATTAGTGCCATCAGTAAAGCTTCGAAACAAGACAAATTTAACTCAAGGGCTTACCTTCGAAAGGAACTTGAGCACGAATTGAAACATCTGCTTTGTTAATTCAGGGCTTGAAGGAGTTCTAAACGCAAGTTCTGCCATTCGATGCGCAGAAGGCGATAGAAGCACTTCAAATGGGTTGCTCCCACTATCAAGCAGCCTGGAGATCCACTCTTTCGCATGCCCATCAAGATTTGACGTTACGGCGGAGTTTCCGAGCCATCTCTTTATTTCTTCTATTCCCTTATCTTCCAGTATCCAAGGTGGGAATGCTGGGATAGATTTTGTCGACCAGAAAAGATTTTCGATCGGGGCTGAAAAGCAGAAAAGCTTGACTAGATCAGGACCAAGATCGCTTTTCAAATCACGATCCACTAGTGCAAGATCCACCTTGGATAGGTGGTGGACAAGTTGCCGAGCAGCATAGCCTTGTAAAACGGTCAACCTTGCATCTGCTTTTCGGGAAAGTACCCGAAGAGAGCTAGCAGCAATCCGTATATGAGCAGTGTCCTTTTCTTCCTGATGAATCTGGACTTTGTGTCCAGTCAACTTTTGCTGAAAATATTGCTCTAGTTCCAGTTTCCTTAGAAGGTCTGGTGGACAAACGGTGTTCAAGAAATGCTGTACAACATTGATTTCGCTTGGGTGGATGATCTCTCCATTCTCCCCATTCTGCGCAGTAATCTGATGTCGTTCTGGAATGGCTCGCAGGGTCTTGGAGGATCGGAAATCCACATATCCATCACTGTCGACTTCAAACAGGAGGAACTTGGTCCTGAAGCGCACTTCCAATGGGCGAAGAGGAACTGCGGCGCTTCTTAGTTGTAATACGGCGGTCATCTTCTCAACAGACATTCGCTCCTCGGCATAGGTGATCCAAAGAATAATCTCATTGATCTCCACCAGCTCATCTTGTGTGCGAATCCGATTGAGTTTCTGGACATCTGCCTTGATATGATCAGTCAGTTCTTTCCCGGCATTCTTCAAGACCAACTCGATTCCATCCATATAGTCCAACGCGTCAATTTCGTTTAACGCCGAGTCAATTTTCAGATAGTTGCCCCCAGTCTGGTGAGACAGCCTGTCAATGATATTCTCTCTCAACTTTGGTACTCCAACCTGTTTGATGTCCGAGAGAGAGTCAATGCGATCCATTCGTGCCGTAATGAATCTGCGAAGATCATCTTCACCCTTTTCGCCGATTGCTATTCTTGGACACAGGATGCCCTTTGCAGCCAAATGATCCATAACGCCCGGTGTGCTGGTGATGAGAATTCGAACGGACGGACTCTTCAACTGCCAGGCTTTTTGTAGAAACTCGAGGACAGAACGATCAACTTTGTCGTCTTTATCGCCCAACTTATTAATGACAATATAGAAAGTGGCATCTATAAAATTCAATCCTTCATTCTGAAGAAGAAGCCGCGGTAAAATATCCTTCGGATCGAGAACACCGTAACTGCGGCAAACATTTGCTGCCGCCTGCATGTAAGATGTATCGCTGTTGGCAAACTGCCAGATTAATGAATTTGCAAAAGCATCAACTCCTGCATTCTCATTTCTGTGCAGAAAAGAGAACCCGACTAGCTTCCGCGAGTCGGTATCTTGCAAATTACCCTGCCTTCGCAAGTGCTGAATGACCGTGGAAGCTAAAAAGGTCTTTCCAGTTGCTTCTCCACCCACGATTCCAAGAATTGGAATATCGTCATGTTTCTCTGCCCAGGATTGAAACGTAGGCTCTGAAAGAAGCCATTTCCCAGTCCCTGGCACAACGGTCTTTCGAATGCCATGGTATCGAGTCTCCCAGGTTGCAATGGGCCGCTGTCGCGTGCTGTCCCAGGTCTCAGTCGTTCTATTGAAAGCCAAAACTCCGAGAAGGGCATTTTGGTCATCTTCCGCTTGGCGCCTCTCTTGTCTCTCAGTTTTGCCCTCGGTTAGAAGACCCAAGGCGTTCTTCGAGTTCCTGTTTGCCTCTGACGCTTGGCGAAAAGTCTGGGCAGCAACAAGAAGCTCTTCTTTGTTGACAAGGCCCTTCATTTTTGCCAAAAGATCATCCGCATCGTTCTCGGAAATAAAGGTAATTTTCAAGAATGTCTTGATCTTACTTCGATGACTCTTGAGCTCCAGGGCGCGATCGCAAATAGCCACAAATAGCTCAAGATGCTGGCAGGCTACCAAGCTTAACTTGGGGTTCATTCCACCATGGCTATACTCTTCCAGTCGATCCAGGAAGTTGGCGCATTTCTCAAAAAGTCCCGTCAGCGTCTCAAAGGAGCTTTGGTAGTCTTGGTAGGCATTTATGACAAAACTGATCGCATTGTAGCATTGCCCAGCTGGAGGAAATACCTAGAAGTATATTAAACTAAAAATCCACGAAAAGAAGACAGTAGGAACTTACCTGAGATGCACCATCAGAAACTATACCTCCGACCGTTTTGATCACCCCCAGGGTTCTGGAGAATGTCTCCTTAACATAGGCTGACGCCTTGGAGCCTTTCCTGCGGGGGTTTTGGGCAGCATCTAGGTTTGCCAAAACATCGTCAATCTCTAAGCCTGGGTTCACTTTGTTCCCGGACAGCTCTGCGAGTTTCTGGACTCGCTGTCGAATTTCGATCCATGCAGCGCTGATTTGCTCATTTATGGCGGGATCCGTCCCAGCAGGGACATTGATGACTGCGGCGACTTGCATGGTGTCACCTTAGGTGGGGCGAGGACCTGGCAAGCATCGAAATCTGGGGAGAAAAACAATCAAGAAAAAGCGCGGAGGGGACTGGAGCAAAATGGCGATAATCTTTTGGTTGTGTTTGTTTATGTCGATCGCTGTGACAGGGCCCAATCCGATCTCGTACTTGCCCCAGGCTGGGCTTTCAATGGCCCCTGAGTCTTAGTGAATCTAAGATACCCCACTTGAACACGAACTGCCTCCAAGTCGATAACTAATGATGTCATGCAGAATCCTAGGCTGCTGGCGTATGCCATATTGGCCTATATAGAGTGAATGAATACCAACTCGCCAACTTTCGTTGTATGAGCTAACAATCAATAGACGCTTCACCTTCAAGCTATGTCCAGGTATCCTGCAAGCGGCTGAATTTATCTATAAAATACCAGCTCGCCTTGAATCTCCGAAGCCGGCCATCCAAGTCTTTCAACGTTGAAGACTCTTCGGCGATACTCTTATTTGGACGACATTCACGATTTCCTTTTCGGGCCGCAAAACCAAACGACAATTTGCCGCGGTTGGACACGGCAATCTCTGCACCGCCTTCGCACGGTCCGCTCATCTAAACAAATGGACATCGACAACCAAGAAAATGACTGAATCTACGGAGTAGCGGGTTCTTGCATAAGGAAAATATCACCAAGATACTATGGGTCACACAAAACCAAACGACTTCGTGACGGTGAAGACCTCCCTCCCGACCTCTCCACTCCCCACAAATCATGCACGGTCCCCATTGACAACAGGCCGATTGCTCCTCCGGCCCCTTGCAGCAAACGATCTCGAGGCAATGTATGTCTTGCGCACCCAAGAAGATGTCATGAGATGGACATCGGCTGGCTGCATCGACCCGAATATCGAGATGACCAGAGACAAATTGAACAATTTCTTGCCACCAAATGACACTAAGACATTCAATTACGCTATTTGCCTCAAAGAGACGGGGGATTTTATCGGCATGGGTGGATGTCACCTCTTTCCTGCGGAACATGGCTGGCCCGAGGTCGGGTACATGCTTAAAAAGGAATTCTGGGGCCAAGGCCTGGCATCGGAGTTTTTGAATGCCTGGCTACGGGCATGGAAGGAGCTACCACGGTCAGAGCGGGAGTCCAATGTTGCGAAGGAAATGGTGAATAGCGAGGGATTGGTGCAGGAGCATCTCATTGCTATCACAGAGGAGGCGAATTCTGGGAGTCAAAGAGTTCTACTGAAGGCTGGTTTTGAGAAGTTCCGGGAATTTAATGAGGAGGACGTCTCACAGCCTAATGGGATCATAAAGCTCATCGCTTTCCGTTACTTCCCATCGAGAGAGGATCTTTGAGGTATGGGAAGTGCTGATTATGGATTTTATTGATAGACACTTTTTGAGCGCAAGAAGCAAGATAAAAATAAAGAAACGGCCACTGCTTGGTATATGTATACAGTAGTAGATAATCTCAATTGCAAACCACCAAAGAGCCCTGGAGGTAATAATTCCGGAGATCCGGATATTATTCTAATCAGCCTCAGAAGTACCATTTGCTGGCAGCTGATCACAAAGATGAACTGAAACAGATCGCCACTTTGGCATATCCACATATGTTGTCTTGATGAGAACCTCTGTCACTGTGACGGCCTTTTCAAATATATCAATCTTCTTGTGACCAATGCTAGTTCCATTAGAGACGCGAGTGAACGGCACAGACAGGGTGCCATTAGCGTCCTGGCTGTCAACAACCTTCGCCTGCACTTGGTACGATCGAATAACCTGGCCATTACTTTGATCTTCCATCAAAACAATGCGGTCAATGGCAGTTGGGTAGTCAAATTTAATAGAGTATTCTCCTTTATCGGTCTGAGAATGCGCTGCATTTAGTGCGATGGGATCACCATAGCATGAGCTGATGAAATCGCCAAGTTGTTTGTAACGGGCTGCATAACTGGCTGGAATCAGTCCACTTCGGTCGGGTGTGAGGTCTAATTCGAGAAGACAGTTGCGGCCGACTGTTTTATGATAAACGTCGATCATTTCTTCGATGGATCGCAGTGGCTGGTCGACGCCGAAAAACCAGCGGTCTTCAGTTTGTAGGGTGGTGTCGCATTCGGCTGGGCAGAAATAGGGACTTTTAGAGTCTCCCCCGTCATTTGTCACGCCACTAAACAATCAGCATTTCAGAAATCTTGCAGTTTCCATGTCCTTAATCTCAGAGCTCGAGAGTACGTACGTTGACCAGTTCTCTTCCGGCGCCTGCCCTTCTTCTGTGCCGATCCATCGAACTAGAGCTAATGTCAGTAGAATTCTGGTCTGACAACACGAAATTCACGAACTAGAGTTTGAGGACAGGCAATTGCCATCAGTATCACATCCATTGAATATAACAGCCTGGGGCTGGGTTTCCTCCAATAAAGCTTCAATTTTGTCTTGTTGCGAGCTGCTATACCCGCCATCAAACCAGATCTGCGTGAAATATGATCAGTTAAAAAGCCAAGAACAATTGGAGTAATTTGTCATTAACCCTCACCTCGGTTAGACTCCCATAATTCTTCCATAGCTCACCCAGTTGGTCAAAAACAACCTGGTCATAAGTGCTATTGGTGACATTAACCTGACCAGGTGCCCAAGAGCCAGCTCTTACCTCTGAATTCTGCACATTCAGAAAGTTATTCACAACAACGCTGTAATAGAACCCATGGCCAATGTTGTACTTCTGGGCCGACTCGACGAAGCTCTTCACAACATCTTTTCCATGTACCGGAGACTGTGCGATGGTATAATTATAAGGCACGGTCTCATTATCCCGATTTTTGAAAGTCACTTGACTCGGCCATGTGGTGAATCCACAGTTATGCTTCGCGACGAGCGTGGCATACTTCGCACCGAGGGCGGCTGTTGTATCCATCCATGCATCGGTATTGATCAAAGTAGGGTCGAATAGATCTACATTGGGCACTAAGTTTGGGACATTGTTGCAGCCGTCAATGCTTAGGTATGTGGCTATTTCGAAATGAATGAGCACGCCGATTTCTTTGTCCTGGAAATCGAGCTGTTCTTTTCGTTGGAAGTGCAATCTTTGATCCGTCAATCGGCGAGATACGGTATTTGGGCTTGTAGGTTCCAGCGACGGCACTAGTAGCGGCGCATATGCTAATGAGAACATTGAGAGGGAGTTTCATCGTGGCCAGCTATAATCACGAATCGCGCTTGAATTATTTCACGCTCATAAGATAAAACCGGCTATATCTATAAGAATATTTTGCGACTACAGCTTCGCTATATAGAATAACTAGCTAGCGATGTAACGTAACTAATCAGATTCCTACGGTAGTATGTCGGTTGGGGATTGGAGCGGGGAAGGTCCTAATTAATACTGAGGATCGACATTGATAGCGCGGTTTTTCATGAATGCAGTTACATCCATCTGCCGAAACGACTCCCTTGAAGAAGATGAATTACCCGCCAATCGGCAAATAGCATCGGAAAATACAAAAATTGGGAGCTCGACGGGTATTTAGATCCAAGATGTTGAAACTAAATATGGGACCATACGTCAAAAAGTACACCATCACTCCTGCTTTTGAGCGTTAAGTAGACAACCTTAGAAGTAAGAAGCAGGAAGTAAATGACAGGCCTGACTTTCTTTGGTGAATGTAAACAAAACAGGTCATGTGTACAAACAACTTGAACACAATTACCTTCCTTGAAGGTAGGACCACTAGTAAATTCAACCTAAATGGTCTGTTAGACATTGATACCCACTTCAGGAAACGCCAAAAGTGTGCTTAGCCTAACAACACTGAAGAATTTGAATTGAACTCAGTTGCGACTGTCAGCCTATGGTAATATTCCAGACATTGCTCCAAAAAAAAGCCATTTTGATTAAGATTGAGAAGCCCATTTTAGCATCTAAACGTCCGGGGTTGCTTGTGGAGATGCGGGGAAACTACAGCGTTTCCCCAAGCAGATGGAAGTTACCGGGAATGACATTTAGATATTTGAATTGAAGATAAAACACCCCTTGAGCAAAACATAAAATCGCGCCCCGGAATGGAAATTCACCCTTCAAAAGTAAATATTCTCTATAGTTCGTGCTCTCCGCATGGGGTGCTTGACTCATTTAAACTCGGGCAAAGCGCCCCCGCTCCTCGGCTACTCAAAGCCGAATTCCGCCCTCAAAGCGCGTACAAGCAAAATGCAATCTCCTCCTTTCCAGACCACAAAGATAGAGACTGAGAACATCAAAATCATGACCTGCACCATGGCATCAGACACACGTACATACCCGCTACGACAACCCGCAAAGCATAACCCACCACCACGATTACACCTCGTCTTCCCAGAGGCACAGAAGCAAGTCTTCACAGCTTACATCGGGATCGAACTACACAGTCAAAAATGCAAAACCACCAAGGACGCCTTGTCTATCCTCTCAGAGCCCAGGTCAAAGATTCAAAACTGGCTTGAGGAGGTCACCCCAATCTCAACAGAGCAGTTCTTCGTCTTAGACGACACGCCAAACCATAGACAGACTTCTATCCCAACACAAGCTCAAGCTCAAGATCCAAGCTCCATTAAAAAATCCACCACTTTAATCTGGGCCTGCTACTGGCCGACCAAAGACTCCTACCAAAAAGCACTCGCAAACTTGAATCTTTCCTCGCTGCATACCTCCCTACCCGAATCCCTGCGCCCAGCAATCGGGTTCTGGGCAGAATGTTTTACTTCGGACATCGCCCGCCTGGAAACAGTCTACTCGGCAACAGATTATATGCCCGGCCTAGCGCGGTTACCAGGAACATCTACGACAAAGCATCTGCACACGGGATACTGGGGAGCAGCGCGGGATCGGATCCCGGGGTCTGGGGAGGATCTTTTTACTGGGGATGGAGCAGTGCGTAATTATGGAAATGGAGAATCTGCTGCTCCTGCAGAAGAAGGGGAAAGCGAAGATGTGGATTTTCAATCTTCTCTGAATTCATCTATAAAAGGCACAAACCCCTCAGACATGGTCCATATTCGTTCCGGTCAGTTCTGGGGAAATTGTAACGAAGAAGAAGCAAGTGCCTATCTGGATAATCTGGAACCAAAGCTACGTGGTGGATTGTTATATCTATGGAACTCCCCGGAAGAGAGCGGGTCTCTTGGGGTACGATATTTGCGCAATACCAATACCACTAGTCTCGAGGGCAAGAATTCTGAAAAGGGAGGAGAGGAAGACGCCGATGCCGTTTACGGTGCCGATACGGACCCATCCATCGCCGATTTCCTGGATACATGTCCGAAGGAAACGTGCGTGACAGCATTCTTCAGAAACATGGCAGATCTGGAGAAATGGGCGTCGAAACACCCGTCTCATCTGGCTATTCATGCGGGAGCTGTCAGTCATGGTCGACGATTTGGTGACGCGCGACGGTTTAGGACTTGGCATGAGGTTTCTGTGATTCGGGGCGGGGAGGCGAGGTTTGAATATGTGAATTGCGTCGATGGGAGGGGGTTTGGTAGAGGGATGGTGTCTGTTCAGCGGAGTGAGTTGCTCTGATTGAGATAGTTAGATGGGGGCACTTCATGTTAAATTACGGGAAGTGAGAGAAGAATATTGCTAGAGAATATCCATGTAATTCATTCAAAAACGCATAAGTATATCCATAAGAACCATGAACACATCGCTTCTCGCATGAGAGCGCAGAGCAGAGTAGAGCAGAGCGAACATAAGCCTCAAACCCGATATCGTGACAATATTTCCATCGAAGATCATAAAGTATTAAACTCCCCCAGAATTGTAAGAAATAGAAACCAGAAGAGTAAACGCCAGAGATGGTTCCGTAAAAGAAAAGAAGAAAGGGAAAAAAAAGCATGCTTCAAACAAGATCGGTGCAAGGATCTACTTGCGCCAGAACATCATCTTACCAGCACCTCGACTAACAGCCCACTTCGCCTCGGAAAGTCTGTCCTTCACGCTAGGCCCACCGCTATACCGAATGGGATTTGGTTTAGAAGAGCCACCTTCAGAAGATCCACCGGTGGAACTACCGCCGAAGGAACTGGGCGCGAAGTTGGAGATGTTGCCGGCCTGGAACTTGGTCTTTCCTTCCACAATCTTGTGGATTAGGTGCAACAGAGCGTAGGCAGTTGAGCCAACGGCACGAATTGCAGCGAGGATGGCAACAGACCACAGGATAATAGCAAGGTAGATGTTTGTGCCGCCTGAGTCGACACCGTAAACTTCGGAGACAGACATGGCGAGGATGAGATTAGCGACCATCCATATGGACACCATGTAGGTACGGACGGCGCGGTAGTAGTCCTCTTGCATCTGGGAATCGGACAGGGGAGGCTCGGGGACTTCGAGGCGGTCACGGAGGTTGCGCAGGGCAGCATCATAGCCGCTATCGATATCGAGTTGCTCAGACGGCATTTCCATGAGGACGGTGCTGCCGTTGATGACCTTTGCCGTTCCCAGATCTGTGTTAATCACGTTGTCTCCCTTCGTACCCCACGTCACATCGTGGGTGTTACAGAAGGCATAAACCTGAAGGGTGCAAATGTAACTGGGCATCAGGAGGAAGTATTGGATCGAAGATGTGAACATGTGCCACGGGTCGAGGTAAAGGAAGGAGGTGTAGAAGTACAGGCCGACGGTTGAAAGCATGGACAAGACGATGTTCATCATCAGTGTGCTGGACACGGTGATCTCCTTGCCAGAATCGATACCAGCGCGCGACATCAACTCCAAAACCACGAGGTATAAGGTACAGAAGATTGTATAGAACATGATCACACTGTACACGATGATACCCATAAGGTACATGTTTTTGGCACTGAAGGAAGTTAGCTTAGGATCTGATACTTAGCGGAGATCTAGCTTACCCTTGTGGTCGATTACCGAGAGATATGATGAATTGCAAGCACATGATCAAGACACAGGCATATCGAAGTACGATGAAGATATACTTGCCCATATTGTGACCAAATGGATCCAGCTTCTCGTCAGTCAAAGAGCCAGCGATGAAGTAGAAAGCGAGGTAGAAGTTAGCCTGCGATAGGTTAGTGGAGATTCAGGCACGATGCAAATGGCTAGACTTACCAGTCCGAAGTAAGTGAAAACAAGGTTGAGAGTCTGGTAAACGAATTCAATGTGCAATAAAATCTTCCGCGCAAGCGTGTGATCCGTTTTCCAGATCTGCCTCGCATTGATTGTCGAATACACAGCGGCGAAGAAAGCACCGTTCAGCCAACGACGACGCTGGGAGATAAACTCGGGCACCGTGTCAGGAACATCAGTCTCACCGACCGCACTCTTAACGAACTTCAAGACCCATCTTTCTTCTCGTTTCGCAACAAGCTCCCAGCAGAGAATACGATCCTCAGCCAGGTACATGTTGGCAGTGAAGACATCAGCATCTTGACCGTGCAAGGTTTCACCCTTGAAGTACTGGTTTAGTGGGCCGTGACCGTCGGCGTCGTTTTGCAAAGCGAAGAAGCGATAGGCACTCAGCGCACCGGGCAACACCGTAATGTATCCGAAAACAGACTCGAGAGGTTTGTCGAGAATGTTGGACATCTTGTATTCGAAGTTCTGACTGGCAACCAGAGGGTTGAGCAGACCCAGCATACCCTTACCCTTACCGGCCTTGATCTCTCCGGCAGCACCAGCGACGTTCGAGTCTTGGTCGAATGCCTTCCAAAGGTGGTACACGGCGCTGGGTTCGGGCTTGGTACCAACATCCAGTAGCACACAGATATTCGGCTGCAGAGCGCGACCGAAGGCGTTGAAGAACCAACGGTGGGAGTTCAGTTTCTTTTGGTTCTGCTCCTTCAGACAGAAAATAACCTGGCAAGGAACAATGCCCTTCTCAGCACCCTTGAACTTCAGGTCCGAATCAAGTGACACTTGGGTTGTGTACTCGTAGACGTGGGCTGTGACTGGTTTCTGATTGACAATGTTCTTGGCGATACCCTCCTGGTAAACACCAAGAGCGGCTAGAGCATTGAGAGTGCGAGGATGGACCTTCTTGCGACCATCGGAAATGATACAGACGACAATCTTCTTCCATCCGTCCTTACCCCATGTACGAGACTTGGTGCGGGAACAGAGATGGCTGATGTTGCGCATGACACCGTGCATGGTGCGTGTGAAGCCAATCTCATCTTCGTTGTACATGGTGATACAAATAAACAGTTCCGTTTCACGAGTCGTGCTTCCGATCTGCTGACGAAGCTTATATCCGCGGCTCGTGAAGTCGTCGGGGTCTGAGGTGACGGCCGTGTATCGCATGTGGGTAAACTCACGCTCGTCACGTCGAGGAAGGAAACTGTGCAAAATAGTTGGGATTTTGCACTCAAGGATCAGCTCACCGTTGATGAGCTGAACCTCCTTCTTGACCATCTGAGTCGAGCGGACACCTCGACGGCCTTGCTTATCGGGCGCGGGTCCATAGTGGAGGTTTGGATCAATCATGCTGGCGGCGTCTTCCTCGTCCTCTTCTTCTTCCAGATCGACCTTGGACATCGCATCTTTCTCGTCTCCCAATATGGTAGACTCGCTCATGAATGATCTGACACTGCCGCGAGAGTTGTGATTAATGGTCCGGCCACCACCACCGAAGGGATCCTCGCCATGATCATCAATATCGATGCTACTGTCCGCTCCTGCTGAAGCGGCGGCGCCAGAGAAAAGAGGCGCAGGAGGTAGTGGTCGGCGAGGGCTGCCACTGTACCTGGAGCTGGCTGTACCTGGTCGAGGACTGCCGTTGATATCGGCGCGTTCATATCCAACACTCGACACAGAGGGAGGACGAACATGTCCCGGACTCCATGGGCGTGTGGGAGAGCCCACTCGGGGTGGAATTGAAGGGTAAACTGATGTATCTGCTAGACTGGCAGTCGGTGGCGGCATGGTAGGTGCGGTCCCTAAGCTGGATGGCGGGCGTGAAGGCGAAGTTGCCGTGGGTACCTGGTAGAAGCGACTGTCGTAGCTAGGCACTGCTTCGGTTCTATTGCGCATGCGAACGTTAGTCCTCGGTCGCGTCAAATCCATGATGATCGAAATGTGACCAGGGAATTGCCAAATGGAGATGGCGCGGTACACTGGAGATAAACAAGTATATGGCAGTGTTTATGGTCAGACAGCATTGATTGAGCCACCAGCGGAAAGAGTCCCTCATCATCCGACAGGGTCCATTCTTTGGTAGCCCACCAAGCACTGGTCTGTGCCATACGCTTCTGTCAAGGGAGGGGTAGGAAGGGGACCGGAGTGGATATGACTGTGTTGTAGCGGGCAACGACTGGAATGTGTCGGGGAATAAACTCGAATTGCAAGCCATTGCGTTGCAACTGGATGGAAAGATAGAAGATGGGTTGATACGTACGGACTAGTTGTTTCGGCATATTCTGATGGATAGTGGGAGTATTGCGAAGGCGAAACAGGTCTGTAACTTCCGCTTAAATCGCTATCGACATTGCTGCTCGTCGGTAACAGGCGCATCGATGGGCCATTGTGTCTCGAGGGCGCGGTGGGCGAATCATCGTGGGATAGGAATGAAGCCGCCTCGTTGTCGTATGCGGGCGGCTCTTCGCCGAAGCTGGATGGCGGGTGACGGTTCATGACGTGAACTATGGAATGTGTACTTTGCTCAAGTCCTCATAGTAGAGCACCTCTGCGGTGGACTGACAGGCGTTGCGTTAGTGAATAGTTTGGTAGGAATGTGGATCGGAGAATGCCTACCAGCAGGTTGAAGAGCTTATTCAGAATTGAGCTTGCAGCAGTACCAGACGCGACACAACGAACAAAGTGATAATTGATCAAGAGGGAACTTGGATCAGTGGATGTAAGTGTAAGAACAGAAGTCTGGGGAGGAGCAAATGAGAAGAACGGTTCGAGTTGGAGTTGGAGTTGGAGTGCAGTCCAGTCCGACGTATCCGCCATCAACAACGGAGAGCCGCGCGGTTGCCCTGACAACGCGCGGATCTGCTTGCGCCTGCACGGGACTGAAACCGCCCTTGTTCTCTCTCCTTCGATTATTAGGGGTAATAGGGGTATTAGGAAGAGCTATAATTATATTCTTCATTATTAGCACCTACTATCTCTTATCCTTGCATGTTCTTGGTCTACTCTACTTCATGGTGCATCGTACAGCACCATGTTCGGTTCGAGCACGGTTCATCAGGCCCACTCGGTGGGTCAATCGCGATGCATAAACAGGTTGTACTAATTATCGGATCATCGTAAATAGGCAGTAGGATCGTGGTTATCGTACTTCAATATCAGACCAACGCCCAGTGGTATTATGAATGAAATAAAGCGAGAGGGGGGGATGTTAATTATTGCGCAACGAGCAAATAAACTGCAAGCCTCCAAATCCAAATTTCCACCACGTTTCCCTTCCATTTCCAGAATGGCAATCTCTGTAGCCCCGCGGGGGCAGTCCTGGCAACCTCTTTCTCTCCATTCCCTTAGCGGGTCGGACATATGCGATATTTGTATTGGTACTCGGTACTGGCACTTTGCTTGTCAATTTCGCCTGCTGGCCCGGCCCGGTGCTGACAGCACTTAAACCTCGTCGTTGAGCAAGGGCTGTCTTTCGCGATCGGCAGACTCCGGGTGTGCAACGCGACGGAAGAGAGTGTCGCGTCCGTAGTACTTGGTGCTGGAGATGTAGATCGAGGTCACGGTGAAAAGACCGAAGATGACAAAAGCGAAGATCCACTGCAGGGCAATGATCTTGACGGCAAATTGGCGCAGTGCGAGAGCTAGAATGTGTTAGCTTTGGAACTACTGGATGTATATACCTGTAGCTGTATAGTTCGCGATGATACCACTTACAAAGAGTGAGAAAACTGAAGCAGTACCCCAGGATATAATCCTGTCGAACAGAGATATGGAACAAGCCCACAGCAGCAATCACCCAGATGAAGATATTGGCGACAATTCGGCCGGGCAGGTTATGGCTGTGTGTCGCAACCGCGCCATTCCAGAAGAGCGCCGTCACCGTCCAGGCCAGCGGACCCGCGATAGTCGAGAGATGCACGAAAGCGGGGAGTCCCTGGTGTCGCCAGTAGGCCACCAGCTGGTTGAACAGGTGGGCAATCAGGATCACCTCGGCGCCCCAGAAGTGGTTGCGAGTCCAGAGGAGGATCCAGGAGAAGACGAAGAGGTTGTTCAGGATGAAGTGGGTCGCGACGTTGGCAGCGGGAGCGACGATCGCGACATCCTTGGAGAACAGGTGCCAGACGTAGCTAAGCTGTGAGAGGAGGAGCAGGATCCTGTGAGAGGTTAATATATATTCTTGTTCAAGTTCATCCCCACAGCTTGATCTCGGAGTATATATCCGAGTCCGTGCAGATATAGGGTAGGTAGAAGAGACACCCACCAGTAGATACCGGTGACAGTCGTATTCTGACTGAAAGGTGTCTTGTGCTTATCCGCCTGCTTCCAGATCTTCTTGCTCTTCTTCACATCATCTGGGGAGTGGATGGAGTAGTAGATGCCAACGATGACGACCAGCGCCCAGGTGAGGGGCACGAGAATGCGATACGCATTCAGCGCCTGAGCACTATGTGTCTCGCGCCGAGCAAAGGGATTAAAGTTGACCATTTCGACCAAAGCAAAGAGAAGGTGATGGTGATGGTGATGGTGATGAGGATGAGGATGAGAAAGAAACGGAATCAAAATCCGAGCTGGCCCAAGAAAAATAAAATAAAAGCAGGAAGAAATTAGCTCTTGAAAGCGGGGGAAGGCGTGGTTAACATTCCAATCCAGCGAATCCAGCGAATCCAGCGAGCCCCCGCATGGTCTGATGACCCCAGCATCCAACCATTCAGCACTCGTGCAGGGGAGACGCAGCCTACATGAGGTCAGATCCTTGACATCACGGTTTGGCCTCGAACCTGATGTGGATCTACCCATTCCGGCGGCTAGTGGGGGGATGTGCCGTCATTCGCGGTTTCAACTCTTGGGTTTCTTGATTTCAGGTGGGACCCATATGTCTGTTACTGTATGTAGCTGAGTGGCACTGGTACATTTTCTTTTGCGCTAACTAGTATTTCCCGGCATTGACCATGGCTCTGACTGCCTGACTGAAGACAAGGTGGAGCAGGGGTGAAATGGCAGTGATGGCACCTTGATGGCGCCACTCGTCGATCGGGTGCACGGCCCTAATCCGGGAAAGTACATCTATAGTTAGCCCATTCATGTTCTTTTACTAAAAGTACGTGACAGACATAAATCTGAAAATGATTCGATATTTATGAACACAGAAAACTTGATACTTGATACTGTCCATGACCTCTTCGAATGTACTCGTACTTGTACTAGTACCGCTGACGTAGACTGAGTGGTGAGTGGTGAGTGGTGAGTGGTGAGTACCCCGGACTCCGAGTCTGCGGGGCAAGGGGCCACTGCTTCAACAAAATGATCATGTGAGTTACTCCTTCTGGCTAGTCTGGCCATTTAGGATTTGATGCTGGCAACTATGAATGCTGTCATAGGTGCTCCTATGCAAGGCAGAAATTCAATTTTGTGGTTGAGAAATTGAAAATTTCCCGATCGGGTAGGTGTCTTCTTGATATACTATTGAATTCTCATAGGCACTTTGCTCTACTTCGAAGCCCTATTAGGATATTTGAGTAATTATAAAATATTGAAAAAAGACATTGTAAATTACACAGTACGGGTCCGATTATGCTGCTATCCACGGGAGCAGAGAGGTGTTAATCACATACACTCATGTCGGTCATGTCTGAATCGGATCCATCCCCTTCAGCTTCTTCGGAAAGTGCCTCCAAATATTCACAGACCTCCTCATATTCCGCATCCCAGCCTTCAAGAAATGCCAAGCATTTAAAGCAGTAGTATTCGAGTCGCTCGTACTCATTCCTCCATCCCCCGTACTTCTTATAGCAATGCTCTGCCCAATACTGAAAAGGGATAACGTCACCCCACCTATGAATATCACGTTGATCTGGAGGACTGGCCTCTCTCATCAGAGTATCTGAGATGTCTGGATCACTAGCTGACTCTTCAAAAGTGTCCTTGTTCGTATCGAAATTTGGTTGCGATCCCATCTCCTGTGTTTGCGGTGGCCGGGTATCTGAAAAGTCCTCAAATTCGCCAAAAGGTTGACCAGGCTGGGAGCCGCTATCTGAGCCGCTGTCTTCGAAGCGACATGATTTGTGTATGATTTTGTTTCCATCCCGGTAGTCTTGCACCACGTCATTCATTGAACAGAGACACTCGCGGTTTTTGACTGAGTGTTTCAACTCTTCCCACCATGGCTCCATAATGAATCCGTCATGAGTTCCGTTAGCGTAATCGAGAAATTCGCTGTTGCCACATTCTAGACACTCTATCTTGGGAAAACGCGCCGAATAGAGAATAGACCTCACAAAACTTTCCTCCTTTAGATTGGTGAATAGATCCAATGAAAAGAGGTCATATAAGAAATCAAAACACCACCCTCGTAGTCGTGGTGCGCGTTCCTCGGATATTTCGCGGTTGATGAGTCGATCGATGTCCGGAAAAAGTACCCTTGCATCATCACGCCAAAAGAAGAACATGTCGGAAAATTCTAAACACCTTGAAGTAGGTGTCTCCCCACGGAGACTGGCTTTAATATCAATCCCTTTCTCGGCAAGGAATTGTAAGACTAGCCAATGGGGGCAGTACTCCAGAACAGGGCACTCTCTTTGAAGGGAAAGGCTATTAATCACTTTCTGAGTGTCAAGTTCAAGGATCAAATCCATACTGCCAACATCTCCCCTCTCCGCTGCAAAAGCCAGGGCGTATTCTATTGCATGACGATCGGTGCCGACTATGACTTCCTCTTGAAGTCGTTTGATTAAGAATAAAATCACGCCTTGGCAACGTTGATTATAGGCTTGAGGATATCCAATGGAATTTTCAAGACCACATAAGATATTCCAACCAGCTGCGCCTGGCTCGCAGAAATCAATACAATCCCTGAAAAGGTAAAGCCATTCCAGACAGGTTTCATAACTTGAGTAGGGCCTGATAAATGAAGCCGGTGTACTGTATATAATTAGATTCAATTTCATATCTTGCGAGCAGACAAACAAACAAATGGTCAGTCATAGCGGGCTTATACAGATAAGCTTGTTTATCTGCATTTTGCAAGATCAAAAATTTTGCAAGGTCCAGGTGTTTATAGAATGCGGCAAACTATATTTTTCATATTAGTTTTGATTTCCTTAGATGTTCAAGTATCTAAGCCATGAATAAAAAGTATATGGATAGAACCTCCTTATCTCAACACTAAAACGTTTATTCGAACTCACATGTAGGAGACTCATTCCATTTGAGTTGACGTCATATACTGTTGCTTGTTGTCTTTCAAACAGCTCGCGCACAGCTTCCATATTTCCCATTTCACAAAAACAAAAAATGAGCGAGTCATCTGGTCTAACATTTACCGGCGAAATGCTATACTGCCACGTTTTGTGATGATTGACAGCCATGGCTTTCAATCCGTATCTGATCCCGAGTCTCAAGAGCCAAGGAGCAGGATGGAAAGTAAATGAGGTCTGAGTCTCGGATTGAACAGAGGATTCATCACCCACGGATATGGTGCGTTCAATGACCTGGGTTCGAAAGATTATTTTCCCGAATACACTCGTATGGGGCACGGACTGAAAGACTTGGTTTTTGGAAATCTTCCTCATCTCAGTCCTGCTGCTATGAATAGCTTGACTAGCAGCTGATATCAAGGTGCGTCGCAGTAAAGGGCTCGGAATTCCATCAGCTATGCGGCGTAGTCCTTCATCCACGGATTCAGTGTGTTGATCAACATTGGCAATATGTGAAGATATGGGTGATATCTGCCATTCCCGACAGATTGACTTGTTACGCTGCTCGTCCTGCTGCCTATCTGCAAAGTCTTGCAATAAACAAAAGACCCAACTGTTCACCCAGTCAGCGATGAAAATCCTTATCCAGAGGATATCTTCCACGACACTCACACTTTTTCGTCGCCAGAAACTCCAGAAAGGACTTAGTAGCACATGCAGCTGATGCCGCAGCATAGTCTTGCCAAACCTTAGTCTTGTGACTATCCGCGTAATCACAAACTCCCTTGATAATGATGCATGAAAGATTGTTGCAGACACCGGACCCCTCCATCTCGAATCCAACAAGCTGTGACCCTTGAGCCAGATCATCGCGGTGCTTTGCAGATTTCATGACTGTATCTGTAGAGCCGATAGGACCGAAATGTAGTCGAGGCTTGGGATTATCACCCGTTAAGCGATGCCGTTGGACGAGATCATCTATGGATTCTGCAGCATTTGAGGTGTCTTTTAGATCGGAAGACGATGGAAATAGTCGATCTTGGTCCACACCCGGGTATTGCCAAATAGATCCCTTTTCTCCAACGTCCTGCAAGTACCGGGTATGCATTTTCTGAAACTCAATTCGGGACGATTTGATCTGGAGACCGGATATGAGCGATCGAAGGGAGCGGTTAGATCGATCAAGAGTATCCTGTACACCACCCCTCTGCTCGAACCGATCAGGATATTGTCTTCCAAAGTCGAACTTCAGAACCTGATGGCTGATAACCACATCCCCCAAGATCAACTCAGTACCCGGCGCCGGGAAAGGAACCCCACCGCATATCCCGACTACCAGCGTCAAGCTGATACTGGGGAAACTGATCTGGAGACTGGATGCCGCGCTGGCGGCACTCTCCTTCCCATCTCTGGTAGGCAAGCTAGGACAATATTGAAAGGCCCGATGCGGCCTGTTTTATAGAAATTTGGATCGTTCGCATTTTGGACTGGTGTCTGGTCATTGTAGATTTCGTCAAGGGAGGCTTCGACCGCATCGAACTCTCGAGGCAGGGCGCAAATAATGGCGAACTCGTAGTGGTCCAACTTCACAGCGTATCCAGTGGACGGCCAGGCCCGTACCACTTGGTCGGCCATGAGGGTCGACGATAATCAAAGAAGCGGATTTGGTAACACTGCCTCTATACAGATATACGGTCGTTGTAGGTTCTCTGCCAGTGCAGGGTGCATCGGCGCAGTCCCATATGTTGTTGAGCGCAAGATTGTATCGACGTTCTCAACCTCCATGGCTGCGCCTTCTCCAGGCGCTTAGTTTCGTTTTCCGCCCCCATCTCAGCAGCCAACCAGAGTTAGTGTCAGCTAGTCAATAGTTATACGTTTGATACAGTGGTGTTGTAAAAGTTTGAAACCCTGGCTGACTTGCTCTCGTCTACGCTCCGCCTTCTAGTCGCGAACAAGTAGCTAGCCAAGATGGAATAGGTTGGCCAATTTATTCCATCTTAGGTAGCTAGTTACTAGGATTCCATAAGAAGGCGGTCGATAAAAGTGTGCAATAGGTTTCAAACCTTTGCAACGCCGCTGTATAGCCCTACGAGCGCAGAAACAGAAAGAGAAAAAAGCCGAATAGATGCTCTCTCATTTTGGGGTATCATAGAAAAGGGTAGATGACAAAAACATTCTCCATCCCAGTAATCCCAATCATCCTGTCCATATCACCACATTGCACTGCACTGCACTGCACTGCACCATTCTCCGAGATAGAATCATACATAGCCTAAGCCTTCGCAGCTCTAGCCTTCCCCACAGCCTCCAAAATAATCCCATGCACACTCTCAGGCGCAACAACCATCCCATAACACCCCTCAAGCGTCCTACCCCGTCCACAATCAACCTCACCACCCGCCATATCCGTAACCTTACACCCCAATTCCTGAACAAGCAACATACCACCCGAATGATCCCAGATCTTCGACCGATACGTCTCCTTCTTCGGAACCTTGACGAATGCATTACAAGCACCCATGGCAATAGCCACGTATCTCATCTGCGCAGACCAGATATCAACAGTAGCCGGCCAAGGCGCACCCAAAGACCCCGCAACAGCAGCGTGAACATCCAGACGTCCGGACGGCGAGAAACTCGTATCGACGAAGCGGAGCTCGTTGCCCGTGCTGATTTGCTGGACGCGGGATAGATTGCGCGAGGGGAGGAGCGCCCCTGTTCCGAGGGGTTGAATGCGTGCGCCGTGACCTGATACCGCTGTGAGGAGGTGGCCGTGGCCGGGATCGATGTTATCTTCGTGAACATTCGTTGTGTCGGGGAGATTGGGACAGGCGAGGAGGCCGAGGACTTGTTTTCCGTTCTCGATTAGGGAGAGGCAGACGGCGTATTGTTGACCGTTTATGAATGTAGCTGTGCCGTCGACTGGGTCTAGGGTCCAGACTCGGTGGGGAGGTTTGTCGGTGGGGAAGGGTTGTGCGCCTAGATCGATCAAGTCGAGCATTTCTTCCTTTGTGGTTGGTGTGTGGAGGTGGGATTCGCTTGTCGGGTCGTCGAGGTGAGTGCTTGTTGCTAGGTCCCAGGTTCGGTTGAAGAGGGCTGCATTTTCGCGGAGGGCGGTGCTGTCTTCTTCGCCGATTATCGAGTCGGAGGGGAATGCGTTGTGGATTGCGGCGATGATCGAGGCTTGTGCGGCGAAGTCGGCGATTGTTACTGGTGTGTCGTCGCTTTTGTCTAGGTGGCCCTTGTCGACTGCGGATAGTAGCTTCTTTGTGAGGACGGCGGCTCGTTGGACAGCGAGACTTCCTATGAGGAGCTCTTTGCTGTAGGGGTGTGTCGTCATAGTTGTGGATTTGGGTTGGCAAGTTGAGTCAACAGATTGAGAGGATGCGCCAGTGAGTCGATGTGGAGAGGATGCAAAGGAGAGAGGCTGCCAGTGCCAGTAGGATTGAGGAATTGAGTAAAAGAGAATTCGGGCTTGCTGAATGCAAAATAGGATGCAATGTAGGTAGCCTGACTGAAAAGAAATATATTCGCGACGATCTCACCGGTAGATCACGTGTGGGTACGTTTGCGTCATGGCGGGAGAATTCTGGTTTATTTTGGGTTATTTTGGGAAAACTATTTACATCCTAATTCAGTAGTAGTTACTGGGTTTAAACAAAGGATTAGAAGCCCAGGATAATACTACCAGTATTCCAATACTCATCTCATTGTATTCATTTGGGTTTCAAATCTTTGGCTAACCGAGTATCTTCACTGGTAGCTTCCAAGGTTCCTATTGTCAGGTTCCCTTTACAATGCTAACTTGGTATTATTTGGCCTTATCCCTAATTTATTCAAGAGGTTTCTCGAAGGCCGGATAGTATACAATTACTAGTAGCATAATTGTTTGTTATATACAAAGCTTGGAAGTCTACAGGTATAGGCGGCCGCTGGGACGGTCAGCCTAAATTGCCTTGGCAGACCTACTGGTTGCCACTAGTTATGTCGTAGATAGTAGGAATTGCAGCAAAACCCTAGAAATAATATGCATTAAATAAATTATGTCGATAATTTCCGAGAGTAAGGATAAAGTACAAAAGTCGTTATGTTAATTTAGCAGGGTGTACCTCTTGGGCAACCCCAGCCGACTGTCGGGCAAGGCTTGCCGGAGTCGTCTCAATGCTAAGAAAAATGAATGCCTATAGGTATATCTCTCCGAACGCCAGTATAAAAAAAAGACAGATAACATCGTAATCAAGATCCAGGGGATCATGATTGGAATCAGAAGGGCGCAAACGCCAGCTCGTATGCAAATGCCAAGCTCATCTTCGCGTGCTGCAGCATGTGGTCGAAGCTTAGATATTGGATCTTATCCTCAGTGGTGTGGATCTTCTTATCCGAGTTCTCGAACTGAGATTCGATGACGAAAGCCGATGGGTAACCGAATCGGCTGGCGGAGGCGTGGTCGGAGCAGGCGTAACCGCACTTGGTCTCGACGTAGGGGACATCGCAGTACTGGAGTTAGAATGTTAGTAATGATCAGAGAAAAGGAGCAATGCGCCTCGGAATGAGAGAGAAGAAACTTACTGTGGTAATGACATTCTTGATGAAGTTGGTCAGTCCCTGGTCAACATAATCGATGATAACGCCGACCGACTCCTCGAGTCCAGCATCCAGGGTACCCTGCACGTAGCCGGTCATGTCTTGCTGCAGCATAGCCTTGACATTACGCTGGTCCTTCTTATACTGGGAGTAAACAGCCTGGGAGCCGAGAAGACCACCTTCTTCCGCAGAGTACCAGTGGAACTCGATTGTGTTCTCTGCCTGACCCTGGGAGATAGTCTCCGACCGCAGCAGGGCCCGGAGAGTCTCGAGAATAGTGACAGTTCCACTTCCATCATCGTCTGCGCCAGGCGCAGCCAGAAGAGAGGGAAGGAAAAGGTTGATGCTGTCCTGGTGAGCGCCCAGAACAACGGTGTTGTTGGTCTGGCCCGGAATGCGCGCAATGATGCTGAACTGGCCCCAGGCGTGGTCGAAACGTTCGACAGTTGCGCCGTACTTGCTGGCGCCAGACTCGTGGACCACGTCGGAGACTTGGCCGTAGAGCCACTCGGCAGACTCGATGCCGTACTGTGATTTGTAATACCGGGTGTGGAAGGAGGTGAAGTGCTCTAGGTTCTCTCGCATGTTGGATTTGGACAAGTCGGCGGCCAACGGGGTGATCTCCTCTTCATGCTTCATCTGTCCCGGATAATGGACAACGCGCATGGTGTGGAGAGTTCCATATTCGCCGGCCTTGTACTCGTCTGTGACATCGATGAAGTTGACGCCGTCCTGATCGTCGTTAGCAAGGGATATGGAAAAGCGGGGAAAGAGGGAAACAAGGAAACAAGGAAAAGAGGAAAAGAAAAGAGGAGATAAAGCATACCAATTTCAAAGCCCACTTCTCTTCTTCGGTGACCCAGCGAGTTTGATACGGGCTCAGTTCGATCAGCCACCGGGTGGTCTGAGTATTCTGCACAATTGAGGGGATTGTCTGAGCGAGCGGTTCCTGTTGGGGGATGACACCCGCAAGGGCTACCGAGGCGGTTGCGCTGAGCGCAAAGAGGAACTTCATGATGGGAGTTCAACCGACAAACGAATCGAAATCGGAGAAAAAAAAGAGAGAAAAAAAAAGGATAGGAATACGACAAGGGTCTCGTTAGGCGGAAGCGTCGGGTTTTGTAGGTTGCCAGGAACAGGCGCAGGGTTTGGGGCCAGGCTGATCAAGGCTCAATCACGCGCCCTTGGTAAGAGTGCCAAGCCTATTTTGGACCCCGCGCTAACTGTTAGCAGGTTGTTATTAATAGGCAGGCATGCTAAGTATGTGATGGGTATGTTTTGATTTCTGAGCTCAGCTTTCGATGATACATAGTCCTTTTTGCTGCATTTTTGACTATAGTAATTTAGAAGCTACTTGGGTACATACCTTCCTGGATGCGTGATCAACATCTCGATTCATCTTCTCTGCGCGGGGGCGAGCGGAGACCCGAGGTTCCAGTACATACGGAGTACCCACTTTCCGGCTGTTCGGAAGTGACTCACAGCCTTGCGGATGGGGCCAAAAGACACAGCCGCAGTGGAATACAGAGTTAGTATAGTGTATAGTGTGACTATACGAGGAGTGAAGTGCATAATGTCTGCTCATGCTCATGCATAGTGTATAGCACACTGCTTTCAGTATCTTTCCCGGTCTCCCCAATCATGATACTGGCTACTTCCTACTTCCCCCCTCGTATTCCCAAAAAGGAAAGAAGGGTTAGGGTTGATGAGTCACCGTGACTCTCCACTCTCCCAATCATCGACGCGCGCGAATCCCGTGCCGACGTGACTGGCGTCTTTATCTGCTATCTCCGCAGTCCAGTGCGCCCGCCTCACTCTTATACTCAGGGTCCTCGCTTCATCTCCCTTCCCCCTCACACCCCATCTATATTCCCTACTTGATATCTTTACTTCCCCTATATTATCTGCTGATCCCTTCCACCTCACAATGGCCATCCATCCAAGACTCCGCCCGCAGGGTTCCCAAGCCAGTCTATCCCCCCCAGCAAACCCTCGCCATCTCCGCATGGACCGAACAAGCCGCATCCTCCCTGCAGGACCTCTCCCTCTCCGAATCAACCCCAGATGCTGCATCCCAATCGCCTACCCCAGTCCGCTCCACCTTGCGCGGAGCCACCACAACCCTGTCCATCCCGCTGGACGATCAACCCCCGACCCCATCCCCGAGAGTGAAGATCGCCTCTGAAGAATCCCGCCCACCAACAGTCAGTTTCCGTCGTCGCGAACCACTGCGCCGAGACAGTCTTAAGAGCCGAGAGGCCCTGCTCAAAGGAAAGGACGGGAGTCGTCGACGCCAGCGCTGGGAGAACGGTATGCGCCATACCCGAAACCATTGACCAGGCCAAAGAAAGAAAAAGCAAAAAGGCCAAAGAAACCTGAAAGCTGACTGTGTCCACAAAGATCGCCTGTTGCACAACCCATGGGCTGAACCGCCCTCGTCCAAAGATTGGGAAATCCGCCCAACATACACCCGCCATGATCCCATGCCGTACTACCTTGCCCCGCTGTGGGATGTGCACTATGCTCATATGGCAGATACCCACCCCCGGAAGAATGCCCCTGTCGAAGAGAAACACCGAGTGCCGAAGGAGTTGCGATTGAGACTGAAGCACGCGCGTGCGGCGCGAGGCATGTTGCAGGACCTGGAAGATGAGATCCGTCTCTTTATCCGGAAGTGGAATGAGAAGCAGACACTCCTCCGTAGTGACGGCTTGCAGGATGCACCCAGTGACTCGGAGGACGAGATTGTTTTTGTTGGGCGGAATGGACAGATGCACGATTCGCCTGAGCGGAAGGAGGCATTGCAACGGCTGCGCGATGAGATGAGTCTTCATGATGAGCGGGATGGGGAGAAGATGGTCTTTGAGAGTTTGGTCGACGACCGTGCTGCGGGCTTTGGGTAAGTTTCTCAGAGATCCATATACCACCTGCCGCGGGGGGGGGTTGAACCCCCTCCCCCTTCCCTGCGACTAATCGCTTGCGCTGAGGCTGACATCGTATAAAGTCGCTGGCTAGTGCATTCTATCGCTTCATACTATGGCCTGCACACCTGGTCCGTTACCGTGGGTGAGCCTGCTCGTCGCGAGGCATATGTCGGATTCCGTCCGCCGGTCCCCGGGACTCGCGCTGGACTGGTCAATCACCCAACCTGCCGCACAGAGGATGAGATCCAGTTGGGCGAGGACCTCCCACGGCCGCTCTATGCGCAGGTCTAAGTGACGAGATTATCTTGTACTACCACCCGGTGGATCGGACTTGGTAAAGATACACATACACACCTTATCTGTTTGCCTATTAGACTGCCAGATTGGATATAGGCTGAGGCGGCGGAGTTAATACGTTTGGTTTCGGTTGTAAAGAAAAGGGCAAGATACATTTCCTTTGGTTGTTCTGTTCGTTCATTCGGTTATATTACCAGATGTCTTCATTTCATTCGAGTCCCCGAGATGGGCCTAAGGGCATATATAGAAGATTTCAAGGTTGACTTCTGCCATTCCTTCAAAGTTTCTTTGGAATAGCCCTCGGTGCTCTGCGAACCATGATACTACTTGGTTCCCCATTGGATGGGTAGCGTCTAGTCCGAGTTACATTTACATATCGCGGCTAGCCAGAATTCCAGGTCATCGGCTTGAATAGCCGTTTCATCCCTTGAGGCGTAGACCATTCGCTTGACTATGGAATTCTTCAACCCCCCACAGATATTCCTCCACACGGGCATAGTGGTACATGCCCATTCCAGCCCTGCATTATGTCGTCATTTGCGACCACCGTGGACGAGAATATCTCGGCCAAGTCCAGACAGTTCCCAGTTCTTGGCCTGCAGCCCCTACCTTGGAATACGAGTGCACTGTGACATATGTACGTCGTCAGAACACCAATTCTAGCAATTCTTCCAGACTGGAGATGAATTGCAACTAGAGACTAGAAAGGAGAACGCACTGGCAGTTTCCAAGCATCGCCGAGACGAATATTCAGAAACCAGGGCAGGACTTGGAATCGGTCCAAGCCAAGTCGGTCCCATCCGATAGTAATACAATTCCATGAAACCAAACCAGGCGATGATCAAGCCATCTCACATCTCGGGTACTACAAGTATTACTTGGAGCCTTGGAGACTATTCGAATCCGACCCCCAACTTGAAGTCCAAACAAGTCCCATTCAGCCCAAACAGTCGATACTGTAGATCGCACAAACCCCCATTTCCACCCCCCTCCCCGCCATATGCAGCTAATCCAAAACTAACCTTGACTAGTGTAACTGTGACGAGGAGGCCCATGGAAACGTGCTCTATGATGAACGAGTAGAGTACTAGACTCAAAACGGCATGGGTATCGAGGAGTACTAGACTTAAACGGTAGGATTGGAATCAAAATGGCATCGGCATCAAAGAGCCCGAGAACCATGGGTCCAGGAATTCTCCAGTTGTGTCCTTCACAGGTGATATACATGATCGGATGGGTTTTAGAGTATATACTAGTAGCACATGAAGAGATCGGCCATAGCAGAACTTGAAGTTCAAGTTACTAGTTGTAGTTCTAAATCGCAAATCTATGATGGAAGATCGAAGAAGTCCAAGTCCCACAGGCGAATTTCCCCAATTTCGGAGCTTTGTAGGAGAATAGTGTCCTCATCGCAAGAGGTCGGGATCTTCTTACATGGTCAACACTACGAGGAGAAAAGAAGAAGGAAGAAATGTTCAAGGTATTGGAAACTGGAATGACATTGGAAGAGATCTAACTACGAGGAGATGTGCTTGATTGGCTTCATTCGAATAAACGAATTACTAGTCAGCAGTGCCACGAAGAGGCTCAAGCGATACTGCTGGCTCCCACCCAAGAGACAGGACAGGGGTCAAATGGGCAGGAGTTGGTTCAAAAGATTATGTTGGTAGCCAGCGACCAGGTCGCAGCACCGGAAATTTTTGGTTCAAAAAAGTTGGTTTTGAAAGCCCGAACGATTTGGGGGTCGAAGGGGCGATCAAGAAAAAAAAGCTGGTCAAACGGGCAGACCAGAGAGAGCGTGGGGTTCAAGTCAATGTTTAGCCCATGATCGGACATGTCCGAGTCAGTGAACTGCACACCATGCAAGATAGATTCCATACGCCGGGGAAATCACCAAAATAGATGGGTTGTCAGGACGTTGCGTAGTCTGCGTTGTCGCTGCATCTTGCCGAAGCGTGGCATGGTGGATCCTGAACGACGCGGTTTTCACCCAGGAAAGGGTACAGTCGACATTTTGCACCCAGGGGGCTCAGTCCGGAACCTCATTTCCTTTGCCTCTGTGCGGAACCTGTAGAAAGTGGTCAGTATTGGGGAGCCTCGACGAAGGTTGGGATGGGGATGAAAGTGAGTCGAAGGCCGGTTGCTGGAATCAGTTCAACGACCCGAGAGATGACTCGAGATCGAAGCCCTTGATTCAACGACCGTGACAAGGAAGAAAGAGGCGTACCGAGAGACCCTCAGCATCCTACACCATAGAGGTGCGTCGGAGTGAGTTGCTTTGGGGAGGAAGAAAGAGAGAGAGAGAGAGAGAGAAAGGAGAAGAAAACGAAGAGGGAGGAGGGAGGAGGAGGGGAGAGAGGGGAATGTGTGAGTCACCAGTTCCCAAAGCAGCAGCGGACCTTCGTACTTTCTTAAAATGCCGACGGCGTGGTTCTCCCAGTGAATGTTCCGGCATCCGCTTGGATTTGGACGCGGACATGGACATTATTACAGCATTCTAATTAAGGATTTCAGAGAAGTAAATTGGTAGTAGGAGTAGTATCAGGAGTAGAAATGCTTAATTTAGACTTCTGAACAACTAGGGGAAGGAATTGATGAAAATATGGGAAGAACGGAAGTTGGTGATATTTGAAGCTATACAGACGGAAGGACGACCCACATGGCGGGTTGGGTGTCTCACTGCCTTACTGCCTGAGGCCATCATATCTGCGGCGCCACGCCTCAACTGTATGAAGATCGAGGCAAGTGTAAATCAGAATAATTACGGCTGGTAGTGGGATCGAGGCCGGTAGAATTGATTCCCTGGTTTCTTTCATTGTCTTTATACGGTGTGTGCGGTAATTCGCCAGATTTTGGACGATTTCCCTCATGACAGTATACACCAACGCATGGGGATGTCGGATTTGGATGCACTTCTCTGTCCGTCTCTGCAAGCTAACGAGACCGAGCACATATCATTCTTCTATGTACGCTATATTCAGATCTCCGGCAATTGGCGTGGTGAGGCCTGCAACCGGCATCAAAAGACCTCGAACAGGCACTCTGCGGCACAGCTCCAGTCCCCCATGCCCGCTCCAAAGATCGGATCTGACGTCGAATCGGAAAGTGAAGAGGAGAACGAACTGCTAATAAACAGCAATCTACGATGGCGTGGCAGACAACACAACGTTTCTTCCTAGAGATACAACTAACCAAGCAATCGGCGACATCGCGCGAACGACAACCTTTTCGCACTCCAACCGAGCCTCGCGCCCGCCTCGTCCCCGAACACTACAAGATCCCGATGAGCAGCAGCCGATACTGGAAAATCGGTACCCGATAGCCAGCAGGGCATCTACCGCCGCACAAAGGGAAAGGAGAAGGAGCACTCATCGGCGGGGACGGCGTGGCGTGGCAGCAATGGCAATACAGACAGTCGAATTTTATGTGGAAAGACAGGTTATGGGCTACTGGCGAGTTTGGAAGGTTTGACGACATTTCATGTACACAGCACTCCGCGGCGAAGTTTTGGCGGGCGTTAGCGACTCTGGAAAGTCCCTTTGCGGAGCTGGTAACCAGAGTACAAACCAACTCTCTCTCTCTCCGGCTTTGGATTTGGCTCTCTAGTATGTGGTGTACTGAATATAGAATTATGAAAAGCCACGGTCTTCTCACGCGAGAATGTACCGCCTGTATTCCATCATCAAGAAGAATTATTTGGCTCAGCGAGATAGTTCTTATTTCAAGTCTGATACTACCTTGGTCAATACTAGTAATCTTCACGATAAATGTAGGAACTTGAATATTGTCACCACTCCAGTTCCGATGTATATTTGAGCTTTACTAATAGTTTCCATAGAAGCCAATGGGTACTAGTAGTCCCTTCAAGTTGAACCTTTAGTCTTTAATCTTGAATAAATAATCAGTAGAATAGTACAATGCCAACTTCAAATCGAACCAGGACCCAGCCACCTTCCAGTGTTTGAAGCTAGCTTTGATGCCAAGGTTAGATCGGATCGGATCGGATTGGATCAAGATCAAATCGTCTTTCCCCCTATACTCGTACATCTTAATTCAACTTCTATGACGTACTATGTAGTAGGGAAAAGCGCTCGATCCTCAAACACTCCACGATGCGTTGTCAGGGCCCGTTGCGTCTCCACCCGAGCGTTCGCGGTCGCATTCGCATCATCCGAACTGAGCCCCCTGCCAGAACCGCATGGATGGGCCAGGCACGGGGTGTATTATGGCGAACCTTGGAACCTATGCTATAATAGCTTTAGCATAGGCATGACAAACCGGGTGACTTTACTCCGTGGGGTTTTAGTTGCAATTGCAGTACTCGCAGTATGCCCCGCCCTGATAATGTCCACGGGTAGCAGTAGGAGAAAAACTGCGAGGGCGCAGAACAGAAGATTGGAACCGGATCGGTCCGCCCCCACTGTCTCCATTATGACGTTGATTTATTCTCCAGAGTGAAACATACATATATACTGCTAGTGTCTGATGGAACTTGAAGTGAAGAAAATATCCGAGTACTGAGTCAACGAAGATCTCAGGCAACGAGAGACAATAGCTATATCGATACCGATACTACTGAGATCGCTGAATGGCTTGGCTCTGGCGACACTGGCGATCAGACCTAAAGCCATGACCTGAACACAATGACATCGTTTCTCACCAGGCCCAAGTCCCACCTCACCCGCGACCGCGACCGTGACCGTGATAGTCGAAGCTAGAGCGCACAAGCCCCCATGGCCAGACTCTTCTATGCAGCCCCTCGCCCCACTCTGACCAGTCAGACCGGTGTCACGGATCGGAGGGGGGTCGCAATCCCATTTTACTAGATGGAAGTTGCACCAGGTTGGTGGGTTGGTGGGTTTGTGGGCTGGTGGTTTGGCAACGAATGGCAGTTCGACACGGACGTGCAGAACACATCACGCTCCTCACTTCTACATCCGAGGCTACAGTCCCATAAGTATGTCCTGTATCTGGGTGGTGTGGTTCGTCCGTGT